AAACGTGTTGCGATTAAAACCTAAAACAGATGTTAAACAGATCCGAATATACTTTTGGAGCTGACTTTTTGCGGGGGAAAAAAATCATTTTTACAATAAGGACTTGATTTCTCTCCGCTTTACGAGCTGCTCAAATCAGAATTGGATCTTTACTTTAAAAAACCATCAAATCTGTCATCAAATTCAATCCAATAGTTCTGAGTTGCAATAGTGTTTCCATATAGTGAAAAAAAGCTATATGCATCCACAGCCAGGCTCATATGAGATATAGCCCATGTTTGCCATCACAATTGAAATCACTTATAAACATGTTTCATGGAAACTGAAACAAAACTCTTCTTATTATTTATCTCGTATTCTATAAATTACGATTGAAAAGTTACTTATAAACTGTGCCAAACGGGCCCATAATGGGCAAAATGAAGTGGATGCATGGCAAGTGCAAAATTTGCCTGTTTGATGTTTTCATGTTCTCTAAATAAAATCCCCAAATCAATAATTTTTAGGGTTTATGATTCTCACATTCTGGGAAAAACTAGCTGTTGAAGGTTTAGTCAAAATCTCAGTGCTTGATTCACATAATGAAAGGACAAGGACAATATTAAAATATATATACACACATATATATATAAAGATAAACTTCTTAGCGCTCATTTAAGGCCAGCAATATGCATGTGCTTTTGATAAAATGCCATCTATATTTCGTCATGTCTGTAACTTTTCACAACTTCAACAATTGAAAATATTGGTCATTTTGAAAAATAAATTTTCTTCATTACCTCAATGTTCTCACGAGCAATCTTGAGTCTTTCCAAGTTTGCATGCTTGAGTTTCAACAGATCATAAACATCATCAAGAATGCTCCATATTTCTCCCTCCGAATCAATATCTAGATTGCTCAGCCTCAAGTTCAATCTAGCTGAGATCAAATTGACTGCATTAGATCTTGCGTTCGACATATTCAAGTAAAACCTACTTGATATCAAAATCGATCTGTTGCTAATTCACAAATGCAGAAAGGATTGAGCCTCTAATATATATTCTTTTTTCAATGCAGAAAATATCACTAGCAAAACTTTTAGCTTGCAAAATACGCTACTTAAGAAGGCCTGCCCAGCACTTACAGTTTTTCTCTTTCCCTACAGCAAAGAAAACGCTGTCAGATACAATGAATTGAAGATATTAACGAGTGAGGACGTTCATTGAATTAGCATAACTTTCACATATTGATGTTTTGGATTCTTAATTATACAATAAAAGCTAAAGTGTATATTTAGTTTTTTAACTTTACACAAGATCTTAATTTGGTCCTTTAATTTTACAAAGCATACATTTGGTCATTTAACTCTAAAATTGTTAGGTTTATATTATGATTTTTAATAACAATCATAGATGTTTTAAAAATTAAATTTAATATATTAGCATTTGAGAATATTGTTTCAACATTTAAGATCTTAATATCATTATTTTTGGTTAACAATTTTATGGTTAAAAGATCCAAAGTATACTTTTTAGAGTTAAAAAATCAAATTAAAACTTTTTATAAAATTGAAAAAACTAAATATATACTTTAGAATGCAATAAATAGAGAGATATAATAGTGGGACCTATACGTCAGGTGGGCCCACCAAACCCTCTTAATCTCTCTCTCTCTCTGTTTTTTTAGAACAATACAAGTGCTATAGAAGTTTGAAATGTTGAAAAAAACAGAGAATGGAAAATATTAATGATCGAGGACAAACATTAGATTAGCATGGTTTTGACATATTAATGTTTTTAATTCTCGACAACGGTTTGGATAATACAATGAAGAGAGATAGAGTTAAGGGATCAACATATGATTTGGGCCACTTCAACCCCTCTCAGCCTTTCTGGCTTGTGAATTAGTGGGGAGGGTGAGAGTGGTGGAAACTCACAAGTTAAGTGGGCTCTTACTCCTTATCTGAATGGTGTAATTGCTATAAGATACCAACAAGTGTTAGTCCAAGTAGAAAGGAATTAGGTACCTTAAACATCATATCCTGGATTCGATCTTTAAGACGGTATGTATAGAACAAACACTTTTAAGAGGGGTTCTCACTACGGCACTTGATAATATCCCGAGAAATTAATCTCTCATTGTTCAGATATGAGGATATTCTGGGTAACCAAAAAAAAATTTGCTACAAGATGTCCATTTTTAGTTATACCTTAAAAATAAAAAAAAGGAGAGATTCAGATTTTAAAAATAGTCATTAGATTTATCTTAGAGTCCATATAGTGCCACCTCACTCGAGAAATTTTAATATTTTAAGAGAAGAAAAAGCAAATCTAGGCTAGTAAAGAAAAGATAGCCTTATCCATCCATTCCCGTTGCAATCCCTTTTCATAGTAACATCCTCCTTTGTTGCTTATGCTCGTCTCTTATTGTTCATACTATTTTTTTGGTTAGACACCAAAATGGTTTTCAACTTTATGGCTTTATCTAAATACGATCCTCAATGGCGAAATCTGGTGTTTCCCTAACGTTACTATTTCATCCATGTCCCAATGAAATAATCTATTGACCACTGAAATAGGATCTCGTGGCACTATAACTTGGCTCTTGCTTGAGGACTTAAGGAAAAGAAAGATATTAAGCCTCCTTTTCTAAATTTTGAATATGATTAACCTCAAACTAAACTAAACTGTTGCCATTAAAGTGAAACTCCATTGTAAGTATGCAACTTTACTTTCTTTTTATCTTTTTCTCTAATTAAGGGGTAAGCACCTGATGTTACAGGCAGAATAAAAATCAGGACCTCTCATTAATCTATTGGAAACTTTAATTTCGTGTCCTTAAATTACAAGGCTATCGGTGTGCAGCTTTACTTTTTAAAAGTAGGATATAATAACTCAATTCATACCCATGATCGGTCAAGAAGATTTTGAAGTGGCAAGGGCTGGATGGATTCTTTGAATGTTAACATTCTTGGGTGTACCTAACACCTGGGTCGTCTGAGGAACACGCTTGCATAGCAAGGAAGATAATGAAGGTCCCCTGTTTTTGATGGTTGATGCCCTTCTTAAATAAAATTGATGTATCCCCCTACTGATTGGACTTTTCAGCTATCTCTTCATCTTTTTGATACAGTGATTAATAGCCTTTTTCTGATGTAATGGCCACTTCGATTTTGCTTTTTGCTGTATGTGGTGATTTAAATCCCTCTGATTAAGTCTTCTATTAATCAAGTCATTGATAAAATCCAGACTCTACAAATTTTCTTATATTTAACTTGTTCTAATCATTTACCCTTGAGTGCGGCAAATCCCTTGATGGAACATTTTGAGTGGAAACGAACTATGAAACTGTGCTACAAAGAGAATTGGGTATTGGGATGAGCAAGTGGGGTAAATGGACTGGAAGTGGGAAAAATCCAAATTTTGTCACAGCAAAATAAGCCACACTGCTCAAGCCTAATGAGTAGTAAATTCTCTCTCTCTCTCTCTCTCTCTATATATATATATATCATGTAATAATATTTTGACTCATGCTTTGTAAATATTGGCAATATAATATTTCATCTCAGCAATGTGACAAATGAAAATCTTGATTCTATCGTGTTGACCCGATAAAGATTCAATTCAGGACTAATCATAAATTAAGGATTAAAACTATTTGTCCCTTGTGAGCACCTAGTGGCCGAGACATTAAAATAAAAATGATTCTAGCAAATGAAATTTGAGAAATTAAGCTCTAGGTGAACTTTACATAAACTTACTTTGTTTGGTCATGGTTTGGATTAGTTGTGAAGAGATCATTTTGAGTTGCAGTGGATAGATATGTTAAGAAAGTTTTATCTTTTACAGTGTGAAAATACTTATTTTAATTTGATCCAATCAGCTAAGTAATAATAAATTAAGGAATTGAAAATATTCACGCCTGCTAACACCTGACAACCATGCATCAAAATAAATACTTTGTTTTCTAATTGTGAAATATATTTATAATTAAAATTATTATAATTAGTCATCGAATATGGGGTAACGGCACATATTTCGAGGTTAGATTTATTGAAATTAATATTAGTATTGATCACTAATAATCGAGAATCCAAATTGATTATGTTGAAATGATTCAATTATGTTCTTTGAAATTCATTATTATCATATTAGATTCAAGGCTTCAGGGTTCAGGCAATGTAGATAATTCTCAACAAGGTTTTTTTTTTTGCCCCCTATTTTACCTTATCCAACCGCTGAACCTTTTTTTTTCTTGAGATAATAACTATTGGTGTTTTTAATTTTGGAAAAAAACAACTCAAGGTTTTAATATTTTGCTTGATTTTAATTTGATGCGACACTTTTAGGAGAATTACAATCCAATTTCAGGAAAAAAAATAATAAGTCCTAATAACAATTTAAACAGCTTGTAATGATAAGTTTTAAAGTAAAAAAATGATATTCACTTTTGGGACTTTTTTTTTGAGATTTCATTACATTTCTCCTTTTAAAATTTGAATGGAAGATGTAATGAATGCATGAGTTACTCCCTTAGTCATATTTATAAAGTAGAGAGAGAAGATATTTTTTGGTCCTATTTATAGAGTGCTGAGAGAAGTTTTTTATATGAATGTATAATTTTACCCTTTATTTATTATTGTATTAACTTTGTTTATATGAAATATAATATATATTAAATAGGATTAAAGTTGAAAAGTTGTTTAATTTTAAATGAGAGTAAATAAAGTTTAAGATTTTTTTTTTAATCTGTATAAAATATGCTAGAAGTGATTTATAAGTAGGACTTGAATAACATGTGGTGGTAGTAAAATTAGTAATTTGAAAAGATAATTACCTAATCTTGCCCCCCGGGTACAGAGACAATTAACTTTTGGACATGTAAAAAGTCAACCAATTTTCTGATGATTCATCATCAGTGGGGGCACGATCGCCAGAATTGGTGATGCTGTTCAAAATCAAACGCAGTTCCTTCTTCTGCCACTAAACCTCTAGTCAAACGTCTCTCTCTCCCCCCCAGGCAGACACTCACCATTTATACCCCACCATCACAACCACCACCACCAGAAGAAGAATCACTCTCTCTCTCTCTCTCTCTCTCTCTCAGAGCCAACCCGCCAACTTTTGGAAGAAAGAGAGCAGCAGAGTTTCTTTCTTCCATGGACCCCAACTTCGTCGGAAAGCCGCCGATGACGGTGGACCTCGAGCAGATGCCTGACACCCCACAGCGAGGGTCCCACCACCGTAGGGCCCACTCCGACAACTCCTTCCGCATCGCCAACTTCGATGAGCTCCTCCTCTTCGACCCTTCCGACCTCGATATCTCCAACCTTCCTTCGCCGGCGTTGCCCAGCGCCACCGGCACCAACCCCTCGCCTTTCGCCGCCGCCGCTACTGCACCCAGCAGCGGCTTTCCTGCCGCCATGGATTTTGCCTCGAAGCCGTCGGAGGAATCTAACTGCAGGAATTCCCGGTCCAGGCCCGCGGGTTCCCCCGTCGGCCATATCCGGAGCTTGTCCATGGACTCCGATTTTTTCAACGGCCTGGGATTGACTGGTGGCGTTGATGGGGACAAACTTGGCGGGAAAGGTGTAGAGGAGAGAAGGGTGGGTCATCACAGGCACAGCAATTCCATGGATGGGTCATCATCGTTGTCTTTTGAGGCCGACTCTTCCATGGATATCGACGGTGTGAAGAAGGCCATGGCTCCCGATAAGCTCGCTGAACTTGCTCTCGTTGATCCCAAGAGAGCTAGGAGGTTGATCAGTCTACTTCTGCTACTTCGCTCTTTCTTTTTCAACTAAATTTTGGGCAAAACCGTTTTTTTTTTTTCAGCTTAAAAAAATCGTTGATGGCATTTTATGACTACCAGGTTTGCTTTGGTGATGAGGATAATGAAACGAGAGAAATATATTTTGTGACTTTGATCTCGTGATAATGTTGATTTATTTTGCAGTTGAAAATTATGAGTATTTTGTGCTTACCATGCTTCATCGCGGGTTCTTTTAATGGTGTTTGGGTTAAAAGCTGGAGAAGAAATTTCGGGTATAAACTTGATGTAATGACATTTGATAAATTGGCGCTGTAGGATTCTTGCTAATAGGCAATCTGCTGCGCGATCAAAGGAGAGAAAAATTCGGTACACAAACGAGCTGGAAAGGAAGGTGCAGACGCTTCAAAATGAAGCAACAAACCTCTCTGCTCAGGTTACCATGCTTCAGGTATGTCCTTTACATTTCTCACATATCTACCGATGGCAAATTTGATAACTTGGGTGAGGACCAGACCAAGTTCATCGTGGTCTATGGAAGTCCCCACCTATTAACTAATGCTGATCAGGCTATCAGACTCCCCCCCTCTTTTTTTTTTTTTTTGGGTCCATGTCTTTTCAATGTTGGAAACATATTCTCTGTCAACAAAGGAATTGGGATGTTGGCTGGCTATTCTTAAAAGTTGGGTTTGATGAAGCTCCTCTTCCACCATTGTCATTTATGGAACGTAGTCAACAATTCACAATTCCAAATTTGCAATTATGAATGGGGGGCCAATTTGTGAATCATGAATTGTCAATCATATTGGATCTTACGATTCAAATATAGTATGAGAGCCAGCTTGAAATATATTACTCCTCCGGTCCTAATTATAAGACCCATTTTGTAATGTATTTACACTACAAAATGGGTATAATATTTAGGAACGGAGGGAGTATATAAATTTTGTATACTACAAAAAGGGGCTCACTTGATAACATATAAACAAGGAATTGAAAAAAAAAAAAAGTTACAATTCTCACAAAACAAAATCACGAGTCATAACTCAGTCACTCTGTAATTTGACAACTTATAAGTTAATAAAATACCTCATAGCTCGAACTATAGGTTATCTAAGAAACATCTTTCTTCACCTTTTTCAAAGCCGTGACTTGAACTAGAAATTTTGAGGATAATAACTTGTTAATTATCTCAAAGGACAAAGAGATGGGAGACTTTTATCCCGGGGCCAAAGAACAGATGCTTGAGGATGGGAAATTTTAAGACTTGTGCAGCTGAAGCACTCGCTTTCGGCTATTGAGTCCATTAGGACACGAGGGACTGGACCAAAAAGCTCGTTCTAAATGGTTGAAATGCTGCAAACCTGCGTTTCTGATTTGCTTCATGAGTTTAGGGATTCATGCACTGATACAATTGCATCCCTGATACGTCCAGTTATTTGTATTGGTGGCAATGCCACTCAAACTGCGCATCTTGAATAAAAAAAGCAGAGGATCTCTACAACCATGATAAAACACTCCGTAGGGGTTTATTTTTGTGGTTTAAGCATGAAATTGCTTTTGACCTGATAATTATTGATGGTTATTCGTAATCTCTTAATAGGTTTGATGAAAATGAGATGCTGAAGATATTGAAAGTTTCATAAGTTGCACAAGTCCACTTTCATTCTCAGAAGTGTCACTCAAGCTTCGATTTAATGCCAAAAGTTTATTTTTGTTGATCATCATGATCAAAATTCTTGAGAGAAATTCAATATTATTCTTAACTTCATATGGGCCGTTGTCGAAAGTGTCTATTCTACTGCAATTTGACAAACTAAAACGGAAATAAGTTCCAAGTAATTTGGCACATTTGGACCACAGTTAACTTATACAATAATAGTAGCAATAGTTTCTTGCATAGATATTCAACAACTCCTTGTTAACATCGGAGCCAAAATCTACTACTACGGTATGTGGAAAACTAGAATTAGGGAAAACTGTTGGAATCATGCACGTAGCTCTAAACGATGCATGACAGGAGAATCAAATTTCCGTGTTGTATTCCCTGTGAGTTATCACGACAACTTGTCATAAAACTTTTCTTTTGGAACCATCCTTATACTTTGTTTCAGTTATTTACTCTGAAAGCTAGATTTATGTAGAGGGGTATTACGTGTCTTGATGTAGAATCTAATGGCTAAAATGCAACATTACTTTGTTTCTACTGCATAGCAAGTTGTAAAGGTTCATGTCTTTATTTGGGAATAGGGAACAGTAGGTGTTGGGTATTCTGTCAGGTGGATTGGGGAACCCTTTAATCTATTGGCTATAATGTTTTTCAAATGATAATAAACGTAACTCCTAAAATGTCATGAAAATTGGTATAGGTACTTCTGAGAAAGGAGCCGATGACCAGTAAACTAATTTGTGTCTTGTATAATGCAGAGAGACACTACAGGGTTGACTAATGAGAATAAGGAGCTTAAACTGCGCTTAGAGGCGATGGAACAACAAGCTCAGCTTAGAGATGGTATGCTGGGTTCCAGATTTTTTTTATGCCTTCAAAATAGTGTCATTAGATGAAAATTGAAATTGTGCTTTCCCATTTTGTTTCAAAAGTCTCAGCCATTAGACACCGTTAACTGAATGGTACTTCATGAATCTTTATGTTTAAAGAACTGGGGAATTTTATGTATATTATTTTTATCAAAACTCCTTAAGTTCTAGGGAAGACTATCATGTGGAGCTTGATAATTTCTTGGATATTCTGATGCTTTTTTGTTTCAAGTTAATCTAATGGATACTAACATGTAAACACTTATTGGTGCTCACAGCGCTCAATGAAGCATTAAAGGAAGAACTGCAACGCCTGAAGCTACAAAGTAGTCAAATAGCTGCCATGAATGGCAACCCTTCTTATGGCGGGTTTCTCTCTCAGTTTGCTTCTCAATTAGCCTTGCAACATCTTGCTAATCCTCAATCCCAGCAGACACAACAGCAATCACAGGTTGGCATGCCTCCGTCATCCGCCGATCACCCTTTCAACGGGCAGCCTGACCCGGACTTCTTGGACTTCAATGGCAAGAACTAGCTCATGAATATTTTCCCTAAATCATTGGCAATAGGCAAAATTCATCACAAGTAGCATCATGTGCATATACATATATATATATATATATATATATGTATGTATGTATTACTGGCGAGGCTTGTGAAGATCAATCATTGTGCAGTTTAGTGTCCTCTTTGTCCTATATTGTGTTCTCTATATTCTGTTTAGGGCAAAAGCATAGTCTGTTGCTGCGTGTATTTACTGCAATTCTAGGGTAGAATCACAGGTTATAACAACATGATGTAGATAAGCTTGAACCGTTGGTTGATAGCTGTTGAATGAAATTATCTATCTGAATAAGCAGCTTCTGAATTATCTGTCATAATCGCACATAGCAAATTATATTTTCATTTTCAGGGAGGTATTTCTTTTCCTTTAGAAAATTTAAAAATAATTTTATCTTTTTGTGATGACTTTTCCCTTTCTTTGAAAGCGGCTTATCAAACATGATTCCAGACTTCTTACAATTCCAATTTTGGCTTTTGTTAAACCGAAAGTGATAATAAACTCTGATATTTCAGGCCCAAAAAAAGATGATATTAAGTTGACCGTTTGACCTATTGATCTTTGCATTTTAAGCTTCTTAGAAAAGCGCCACATCCTTTATTAATGATTCAAATGTTCAGAAAAAAATAATTGAGATAGGAGAAACTTTTAAAATAAAATTTTCCGAATTATTTTTTGAGGAAACTGATCAGCTAATTACAAAGAGACAAGTAAAAGTTCTCTTAACTATAAATAAACTGATAATAACGGAATATGTCTTAAGATTAACTAGAGTAATACAATTATACAAGTTCATGATTGGCTTATCTAAAACTAGAATGTAATTACCCAAGTCAGTTATCTCGGAATTACATTTTTAGTATATTTCACAATTAATTTAGTAGTATATATCATATTTAACTACACCCAAAAAATATATAATAGTTACTCTTCTAATACTAAATATAAGATTCATTTTGTAGTATAATTTACATTATAAAATAAATATTACATTTAGTATAAGAGAATATTATATTTTTATTGAAGATTTTGACCGACAAGTTTTCTTTGGCAAAATAAACGATTTGAACACCAATATTTTCACTTGAATTACTGAATGTCATAGTAAGGACGGCAAACAATTAGTACGGTCAATGAGAGCCATGTTGTAATCATAATATATAACCACAATGAAGAATTAAATATAGCTTCTCTCCAACAAGACACAAGACTGAAGCTATCTACCAACTGATTAATTAATTAACATAATGGATTGATACTAACAAGAACAAAGAGAAAAAAGCGATGCTTCCAAAGATCCTCCCCAACAAACACGACCTCGAATATTGATGCTTTCGACTATTGATATCAGAATCATCGCTGATTTGATCCCAACAGTAGAATAAAGAATAAATGTTTAAAATAAAAATTGATATTCATATCAAATATTAGGTGTTATTTTTTACTCCTCTTAACATTTACAGAAAATTGGACGTTTTTTATATTTCATCTGAAATTCTTAAGCTATTAAAGAGGAAATTCTTGAGGATGAGACTTAAATGCAATTTCACAAGCCTTTTATTTTTATCATTTAATTTCATATGGTTACATTTAAGGGACAAAAATAAATTTTGAAATAAAAATCAATAAAAATTTTTTTGCCAGGCCATGTTCTTTAGCATTACGTGGGATTTTGTTTAAATACAAGCGGTCGGCTTTTATTAAGTCGGCCAATAAAAGGAACATGAAAGCAAAATGTTGGTTTTGTTCAAAGTGCTATATAAGTCTCTGGTTATGATCGGAGTCTGAAATACATTAGAACTGTCCTAAGAAGAACAAATTGTAGATAGAAGGAGGTGGAGGAAGTGAAGGAGAATAATGATGGAGCTGATAAGTTTTGTGATGTCAGTGATGTGTGCCATATTAGTGCTATCAGTTATGTGGTTGCTTTATATAAGCCGATCTCCAAAAGAAATGGAAGGCATACCAGGCAGCCTCGGTTGGCCTATTGTGGGTGAGAGCTCCTCTTTTATATCTGACTTCTCTAGTCCATCTGGTATTTTCAACTTCATGAACACCAGACAGCAGAGGTAACAAGAAGTTTCGGCCAAATTAATGTTTCAGTTCCTTAAATTTCCTTGTCATTTTTGTTTTGGTCCCTCAACGGTGTTTTTGTTTCCTGACTTCCAAAACTTTGTTCATAGATTCGGGAAGGTGTTCAAGAGCTTTGTGCTTGGGAGGTTCACTGTGTTCATGACTGGGAGAGAAGCAAGCAAGATATTGCTAACTGGGAAGGATGGCATTGTGAGCTTGAACTTGTTCTACACAGGACAGCAAGTTCTGGGCCCCACCAGCTTGCTTCAAACCACAGGAGAGGCCCATAAAAGGCTTAGGAGGCTGATTGCTGAACCCCTATCAGTGGATGGTCTGAAAAAGTATTTTCATTTCATCAATACTCAGGCAATGGAAACATTAGATCACTGGTCTGGAAGAAAAGTTATGGTTCTTGAAGAGGCCTCTACAGTTAAGTGTCGATAACTCAAAAATGGCATCAAAATGCAGCATATCCCAGAGTTTTACTCTTGCATACTATACTGAGTCATTAACTGAATATTGCAGTTTACCCTGAAAGTGATTGGGCACATGATCATGAGCTTAGAGCCTACCGGGGAAGAGCAAGAAAAATTCCGTGCCAATTTCAAGCTAATTTCTTCATCATTTGCATCTTTGCCTTTCAAGATTCCAGGAACAGCTTTTCATCGTGGTATCAAGGTATAAAAAGTAGTATATAACTATATGTTGAACAGCCATTATTGAACAGATTGGACAGTGAAGTGCATCAATAAGATGTCCCGAAGCAGATGTGAACTTTAGTGTTAGCTTGCCTAGATATGTAGTCAAAAGTGATGATAATTTAAGTGTTTTATTTGATCAGGCCCGAGATAGGATGTATGCCATGTTAGATTCCACAATTTCCAGAAGGAGAAGTGGTGAAGAGTTTCAACAGGATTTCCTAGAGTCCCTGATTATGAAACACACCAAAGTAGCAGATGAAGAAGCAAGTGAAAATAAACTTACAGATAAGCAATTGAAGGACAATATATTAACTTTGCTGGTTGCAGGCCATGACACTACGACTGCTGCTCTCACTTGGCTTATCAAATTTCTTGAAGAAAATCCTGCAGTTTTGGAACAACTGAGAGTAATTTTTTAAAATTAAAAGGACACAGTACAAATCATGTTTCTTTGGTTTGACGAGTCTGAAATCTGAAGTTGAAGTTGGTTTTGCAGGAGGAACACATGCAAATTATAGCAAACAGAAAGGATGGCACAGATCTTACATGGTCTGAAGTGAATAACATGCCTTACACAGCCAAAGTGAGCAATGCTTTTGAAAACATGTTAGTTTGTTAGCTTCAATATTAGCATCATAATTTCATAAGGTTATTCTGATATTTGGCCATTATTGATCTTTAGGTGATTAGTGAAACACTGCGAAGGGCTACAATACTACCTTGGTTCTCTAGAAAAGCTTCCCAGGATTTCGAAATTGATGGTATGACAATACTGTCTTTTTCTTCATAATAACATTGTAATTTACGTTACATTACTGTAATTTAAAAGGTCTTAGACAAGTAGAAACTTGACAAAGTCATAGTCAGTCACAACACTTGTATATGAGATGCTTATGTGACAGATACAAAACTAATGTTGGATTTTACAGGCTATAAAATTAAGAAAGGTTGGTCGATCAACCTAGATGTTGTTTCCATACACCATGACCCAGAAGTCTTCCCAGATCCTCAAAAGTTTGATCCTTCAAGATTTGATGTAATCTATCTCTTTGATTAATTATCCTTTTTTTTTTTTTTGTTAGAAGAATTTCCAGTTGGATGAGCAATTCAAAATATATTCCTGACTCAATTGCAGGCAACATTAAGGCCTTTCAGTTTTCTTGGATTTGGCAGTGGACCACGCATGTGCCCCGGAATGAACCTGGCTAAGATTGAAATTTGTGTTTTCATTCATCACCTGGTCATCAGATACAAGTAAGATGAGAACAGAAAAAGTACATCATATCAGTTAATGCAGAGGGAAGAAGCACAAACCAACTTTTAAAACCCAGATGTGAATGTTCACATAATCACTCAAAGGCCATTTACTAGACACAATATCACCTGACACTCTTACACGTCTCCCACTTTTCATTTGCCTTTCTTAAGCTAGATGAATTATTCTAAGACAAAGCAACATACCAAAGATAAATAAAGCAAGCCACTCACCAATAGACTTGTAAGCGCATATCAATTACATGTTTATATATTTTAATTATGATTGACTTAATCCACACACCTTTCATGAAACCACTTTGTATGAGATTCTCTGATGCAGTGATTACATCTGCGTCTAATCTCAATACTGTTGTCACAGGTGGAAGCCTCTGGAGAAAGATAATTCTGTGCAGCCAACTCTTGTAAGGATGCCCAAGAACAAATATCCTATTATGGTGGCGCCACTGTGAAAGTGCCTAAGGATGCACACAAGCAATAATTGCATGTTTTGCAGTGTGTTAGCCAATATAAATATGGACGTCTTCATAAAAGTGGATCACCACCATTAGACGTGGGGAGATGCAATAGCAATTGTGCTAGTGAATCATAGACAAAGATAGTCTTATCCAACGAAAAAGCATGATTATCATATCGAGTATCTTAATTTGAAGTTACTTTTATATTTGAATTCTCACTTTTTTGGGGACAATTTTGTATTTCTTACTAGCTCCTCCTCATATTTTAATTTTACTAATCAAATCTTAGGATATACAGAGATTGCATGGCGTTCTATAAAGACTCAACTCAACCCAACCATTTGGTTGGAAGGGGGAAAAAAAACCAACCCGACCTTTAATCAACAGAATGGGAAAAAATTAAATGAAAAATAAAACAGAAAAAATAAGTTTTAATGATAAAAATTATTGTATTCTTTTTAACATAGTAAAAGTAGAAAAAATATTTGAATAAAAATTATAAATCATAATATACATACTAATAATAAATAAAAAAAAGGACCACCAGCAAAAAAATTTTGCAGATACCATAGGCGCTATGGACTCGAACCTATTAACGAAGACAATGAAAATAGGGGTTGGGTTTGGACTAATGTTGGGAATTTTATTGTTAGTTACTCCTAAACTTCAGAGGTCTCTCTAACGATTTCATTGTACGTCAGAAGAGGGAGCAATTCATTACTCATCTCCGAGGGATAAATACATTAAAATGTGAAAAAAGGCCCGAATGATCATAATTATAACTTCGGTTTACAGAGAAACGGTACAAAGAATGTTAACATTAGTATAATAAAGAATTCTCAGCTACAGTGAGCATTCAGTATGCCACTTCTGGCTTGGGAAATTAAATTGGACAAAGACACTGAAGGCTGTAATCCTGAATTTATCATCTCTCTGAGAAGCATCTCAGCTTCCTCCCACTTCCCATCCCTGCAAAGAACTCTGATTGTCAAGCTGAAGCTGGCCACGTTTGGCACCATTCCACTCTCCACCATTTCGTCAAGCAACCTTAGGGCCCTATAAGAGTTGTCTTGTCTGCAGTAACCATGAATCATGATATTATATATCACACTGTTTGGTTTTAAGTTCTTGTCACCCATTGATCTGATCAGTCTTGATGCTTCTTCCATACGGCCGCTGCTACATAAGCCGTGTATTAGGACACTGTAAGTGCAAACATCCGAGGCCAAACCAGACTTTTCCATAAAAGAAAGAATTCCAAATGCTTTCTCAATCTCATTTAGCCCTACAAAGCCACCAAGTATAGTTGTATATGTTACTTGGGAAGGAGCAATGCTTCTCTCTTCCATTTCCTTGACTAAGTGAAGAGTTTTTTCTAAATTTCCAGTCCTAGCATATCCTGCGATCAGTGTATTATATGTGACTAAGGATGGAGATGGTCCGTTGGTCTTCAGTTTGTTGAATAGTCTAACTGCAACGTCCATCTTTCCAGCCTCACAAAAGCCCTTTATTAGTGTGTTATATGTGATTACGTTAGGACGTAGACCAACAATGTTTACTTGATCAAGCAACTTCAAAGCTTCCCAGATCCTCTTCACCCGGCACAACCCACAAATCAAAATATTGTACGTCACAACACCACATGCCACACCTTTCTCACTCATTTCCTCGAACACCTTAAAAGCTTCGTCCATGTTCCCATCATTGCAGTGTTCATTAATCACACAGTTGTAAGTATAACCATTAGGGACAACTTGGTTGCGCTTCATAGTCCCATACATTTGAAATCCTTCGGTTTTTAGCCCTTGCTTGAAAAACCCATCGATTAACACCGTGTAGGTATGAGGATTGGGTACCAGACGCAACTTCTGCATCGTGCAATACAACTTCTTTGCCAGCTGAAAATCACCATTCTTGAAGCAGCCATTAATCAACGTAGTGTATATGACAACATTTGGAGGCCATGCCAACTTTTCCAACTGAGCAAAAAGTTGAAAAGCTTTAATCATGTCACCAGCTTCACAGCAACCCTTGATCAAAATCCCAAAGCTGTATATATCTAGCATAGGCCTACCCTTTGCTTCGTTAAAAATCTGCCATGCTTCTCCAAAACAATTGGATCTAACAAGTGAGCTCAAGACATTATTGAACGTTTTTGGTCTTGGAACAATGCCCTTGTCAATCATCTGTTTAAAGATATAGAGGGCTTGATTATGTAATTTAGAATGAAGATAGGCATTAACAAGTGCTTCATAAAGAAGGGCACAAGTTGCCTCTGAAAAGTAACAGGTTTCAGTTAGCTGACCCGTAGGTGAAGATGGAGAGAACTTACACGAGAATCGTCCAGCGATCATCCGCACAAGTAGAGATTGGGCTTCAGATAGCATGCCAGAGGTGAGGAGACAGTTTAAGATGAAGGATATCGATTGGTGGGTGTGACTAACACCTTGGTTGGTTAAGCAATTGAAGAAGAAGAGCGCTTTTTCTGGTGGGAGTTTCACCATTTTTTGGATGAGAATGAGAATTTCATGGGAACGAGGCAATGTCCTACTTTTCATCACTGAATATTTGCCTGAGCTCTGTTGCACCCAGTATGCTTAATGGCCTTCATGCGGCAAACAAGCATCAACGAGAGAAAAGCAGTAATAGGTTTGCAATTTTCGCAGTGGTGTTTCTCACCCTGTACAAATGTTTCAAGATCATAGAAAAACCAAAATCAAACATCATTCATCAATCCATACGCAACAGAAATTCATTTAGAATGAAACAACACAATGAAAATACTTACCTTGAGACTGTGCGGCTTAGAGAAACGGCAATTCAACGGGAAGGGTATTTGTACGTTTCTGCTCGGAAAAGGAAGATGGGAAATCGGAAATAGAAATGGTGGACCAGTGGAAGCGGGTTTGGTTTGAGGTTCCATGGGGTTTAAGCGTTGAGCTTCTTTTTTTTTCATATTGTCATGTGGGCCAGTGACCCTCGGCGGATCAGAAAGAGGTTCGTCCAACTATGGGCTGGGTGAGTTTGAAACTTTGGAGACTATGTATAAAAAAATTGATCATTAGGAGTTTTAATATTTTAAAAATTCCTGCATCTTTTACTAATTAATAAAGCATGGTATGTTATATTCATTTTTGCTTCAAATAAAAATATTTTTGCAGTATAAGATACGGTAACATAATTTATTTTTATAATTTGAGGAAAATCTAGTTGATAAATATTGTTTCATTTTATAAAAGTGCAAGTAAAATCACGATGTTATTGTCATTTCACAAAATTTATGGCATTATTTTCTAAATTTTAAGAAATGATAAATTCTAAGAAGAAATGTTGTCTTCTAAAACCTAGCTGGCTTCTCCAAAGTTCAAGCAATGCAAAGAGGCAGCCTATGTTTTCCAATTTCCATCGTCGTTTTTGGACAGTGATATAATTTTATACTCTATTTTTATAGTTGCTTTGGTTTTAATTTTGGGCTTATTTTTATATTTTTTTAATAAAAGGTTTACGATAATGATTTTAAATTTTTTTGGCTTTTAACTTGAAATGCTCCCTCGATCAGTCCCTCCATCCATTTCAATTGTCGTTTTAGCAATTTATTTTGTTCTATTTTCACATCAAAGGGTGCTTTTCCAGTTTTATTATTAACAAGTAATTAGCGCATGGTTTTTGAATACTGTGCAATCACACAAAAATAAAAATTAAAAAAACAGAGAGAGAAAAAGAAGATATAGTAAGAATAATATAGTTATTATATCATTCATCCATTAAACAATTTATTACTATCTTGTTCCTAATTGTAAAATGCACCTTGTAATTTATACTATAAACTAGGTGTTATATTTAGCATCTATTATATTGGAAAAAGAGGGTATGTGCTATTAACTCAGTCTTATTTTATTGAATGTGACCATCTCACATAGGTTAACCAGGAGAATGGAGCAGAACTCACATTCATGTCCTGATCATCTTTATGTGAATGAGTCATTGCTAGGTTCTTTGAACTACTACATGGTGCAGTGTATGCTATAAACTGCATCCAAAATTTTAATAAAGATTTTCATAAATTTCTTGAGAGCAAAAGTAAACTTATAGACTTATACTACCGCCGGTCCTAATTATAAAATATAGTTGACTAATTTAAGGAGATTAAGAAAATAAGTTAAGTTGGTTATTTATAATAAATATATGCTGTTTTTTTTTAAAATATCCTTACTAATCAACTATATTAGCTAGAACTACTATTATTAGAAGGACAATCTTAAAAAAAAAGTATAAATGTAAAAAACAAAGTGGATTGAGGTCTTATATTTAGGACCAAAATAAAAGTCAAATAAGATCTTATACTAAGAATCAGAGGTAGTAGTAAACATTGCACCGACAACTGAATTATGAAAACCATTTAAAATCTTTAATCATTGTCGGCTAACTAGCGTTTGTCTATCATTACTTAAATTATTTTTGAATTCTAATATCTTCAGAGTCATAGTCAAAGTCAAATGCAGCTTATAATAATGAGTTTGACTTGAATAGGTCAAAAGCAAAACCTAAACCCAACACAATCAACTTACAGCGTGCATTGCATCTGCATTTGAATAATGAAGGTCATTTAAAATTTACAGCTATTATGGGCCAACTAAACATTTTCTGTCATCAAATTATTATTAAAACTTGATATTTTTGGAGTCATACTCAAAGTCAAATGTGACTTATAAAAGTGAGTCTAACTCAAATAGGTCAAAAGCAAAAGCTAAGACTCAATATTGACTAAAACAGTCATGAATCCTGATTTGAATAATTCAAATTTTGATTCTTCAGATGAAGAAATAGAGAATGTTCTGAACGGTGTTTTGGCGGAATTAAGCACTAAGTTTGCAGAATCGAGAATGCTCCAAATGGTCCTTGACAGTATTAAGGTAACGAAGGAAAATTACTTTGATTATTGCATTGAAGACCAATAACTTGCATTATTCGAGTTGTGAGAAAATGATGGATCATAGATGGTATCCATCACAAGTGTGCCTATTTTTTCTTCCTGTGAATGAATTGGGCACGAGAAAATTAAACCTATGCTTCGTCTATTTTATCAAATTATTATACTTTGCCTTTGGCAATGTGATTTTAAGCATTGGAGATATTGATTCATCCAGTAATTCTCTGTCTAGTGAAAACCGCTAATTAATATGTTTTCACTTGAGACCAGATTCAAGATGCACAAGTTTTCATTTGTTTCAAGAGACTTTTATAGCAGATCAAGTAAGATAGTTTTTATCGCATGTAACGCAGGGGTGCAATAGGGAGATGGCTGCTGAGAAGAGGGCACTTAAACTGCAGATAGAGACCATGAACGAACAGGCAAATATTAGAGAAGGTATGCTTGAATCCAAGTTCATGTTAATTTATCATTTAATACTGACTTAGATTAAAAAAAATTATCTGCATTTTAGAGACAGAAATGAGTGCGGAGGCCTATCAAGGGTCCATAGGCTAGATTGGCTATATAAGTATGTCAGGCATGTTTAGTTAAAATCTGGCTTAACCTATTTTCATCTCTGTTTAAAATAGAAGAACATGTGATTTTTGTTTGATAATTTTCTGATTAGTCTCTGTGTTTTTATTTTAGCTTATGGATGCTAACATAAACAAAACTAATTGGTGTCTACAGAACTCAATGAAGCATTGAGGACACAGCTGAAGTACCTGAAGGAAAAGCATGCCCGTATGACTGCTTTCAAAAACAAGTCTTTTGAAGAGCTTGCCTCTGAATTTGCTTCTCAGTTGGCGTTGAACCGTGTAGCTTATTATCGACCCCAGCAGGCTCCACCGCAACCTCAGCCTCCCATGCCGCCATCAACTCCTGATCACTTAGCCCCCTAATCCTCGGACTCCAACCCTAACAACTAGCTGCGGGCTGACATCAGCACTAATAATAACAGATATTGATAGCAATTAACACCATATGCACATCTGTATGTACAATTGGTGAGGCTTGTGAACATTATCACTGGCCTGTTCAGTTCCTTCTTAAGCCTTTATGTTGTTTTTTCCATGTTCTGCATGTTTAGGATAGAGACATACCCGTTATGTTTTGTGTTTTCTGCAATTCTGGTTATATAGCCCAGTTTCAATAAAGATGTAATGCAAGTGCTTATGGATGTTTGATGAAACTTGATTTACCGCATTTGACTTGTTATATGCTTTCTCGTTGAGGTTTAGCTTTCTTCGAGCGCCAGAATTTGAAGGCATCTTTTTGGTTTGTCTGTTTTCAAACTATAGTTTATTGTTTACTGTTTTCATTGGATTTTTTAAAGAATGCAAATAGTTTTTGTTTAAAAATCTGATAACAAATTTGTTTGATAGGCTCATAGTAAATATTTGGAGTTTTTAGTTAATTATTGATCAACCAGCAGTTGACATAATTTTATTTGATAAATGAGCATCATTGTTCTTAGCTTTAGAATGGTCAAGCTTCTTGTAAATTACTGTAGACCTTGATTTTGGAAAAACGCTAAAGTCGCATATTTTGTCTTTTAAATTAAAGCGTCTAAAAAGTTGTCTCTCTTTCCAGGATTGAAGTCAACAAAACAGAAAAGTGATCAAGATATAAAAATTGATGGGAAATGGAGATTGATGCTTTTCTGAGGACATGATGTTTGGGTTATTTCCTCCAAAAGTTTCACTTGCTTAAACAAATATGTACAAAGCTCCCTGGCGGAAACCCCGTCTTTAGAGAAATAAACGAGAGAGATCAAACCCATCTTCTGATTAACGCCAAGGATATCACATACCACAAAGAAGATGATGAGAAAGATCAAATATAACTCCTGAAATTTTGAAGATAACATGATTTAATATACTAAAACAAAGTCAAAATCGAACAAAGTTAATGCTGTTTTCCTAAACCACAACAGGCACAATGCGTATTCGTTACATATTCAATTGTCTTGTTCAGCGCCTTCGATTATGTCTGCGCTTTCTCCTGCCCTTTCTATCATCAGAGTCTGAGTCAGAGTCTGAAACTGAATCTGAATCTGAAGATTCTGATGATGTGCTGCGCCTTCTTCGCCTCTCCCTCTTCTGTAGCTTCTTCTTCCTCCTTCGCCTCCTTTCTTCCTCTGACTCAGATGACAAGCTATACCCCGAACTACTTTCTGAGGTATAATCTGACCCTGTAACTGATGATGACTTGCTATCAGTCTCAAAAACTGAATCCTCACTGCCACTATCAGAATCGGAGTCAGACCGATACTTCCTTTTGCTTTTCTTAGAGGTAGAACTCTTGCCAGCCTTTTCCTCCTTAGTGGCAGGCTTATCATCCAAATCATAGGTCACAGAAACATTTACCCTCAATTTTGGATTTTTAAGTTGTTGTGTACGAGACGGCCGTGATATGTAAACCCGTTCATTCTTGCATTCATATGTCCAATGACCACTTTGGAAACACTTTTGGCATTGGGCTGAGCCACTAACAGTTGACATGGTAGATTTAATGTCTTTTCTTTCACCCAATTTAACGGCTTTCTCTGTACTCATCAGATACATTTGCCTCTTTGCTTCCCTTTTCTCCTGCCATCTGCTAGGTCCTTCTTCCTTTTGACCATAAGCGTTCACATTTCTCGCTGCTGCAGCAGCTGCACGCTCAGCCTGGGCACGACTGAGACCTTTAGCAGCGCTCAAGGCTGCAGCCTTGATTCGGTCAGCCGCAGCCTGAGCTTTCTCTTCCTTCTTACTTGACATCTTCTATGTCCTTATGTGTATCACAAAGGACAATTTAATCAAAGTTCACACTGCAACAAAGTTAAAACACATTAATACCACATCAAAAGGTTGCCTTGGCGACATGTAAAGAACGAGCCAAAAACCCCTTTCACAATACCCATCCACAATAAGAATTTTACAACCTGAACGATAACTAAGGCAGGGGCAGGAGTTCACAGAGTATAGTCTCCTCTCCAAGCATTAGCTTGGAGATCACATTAGAGAAAGATTATACACTTTAGACATAACTGCATGCCTAAAGAGTATGTTTTTGATAGAACACACTATATAGCGGATAGGGCTTGTTCTCTTTAATCACCCCAACTTCCTTTACTCTCACATTTTGCCCTTATCATAAATAATTTTAGACCAAAACTGAGACTTTTAAACATGGAATTTCAAATTATTTCCAAAGATCTAACGGAAAACAAGCAGAACATCAGGAAACCAAAACAAGTAACCAAAATTCAGAAACAACGCCAGTCCAACAGGACAGAACGAATAGATATAAGCATCAAATAGACGACAAAACCATCTGATCGAAATTTGATGATCATGATCCCAAAACAAGAAAACATTTATTAAGACTCACAGAACGCGACGATCCCGGGAGCGAGACTTTAGGAAGGTAGGCGCTTCTGAAGAAACCCTTGGCGCTGAGATATCGACTTATCGAGGTCGGGGGTAGCACGAAAGCTCCAACAAGATCCTCCAGAATGCCGAAAGGCACCAGAGCAGGGGAATCTGGATTGCTATGGGCCAATGTAAGAATGGGCTATTTTCGAATGGGCTTTAGGCCTGGTATTAAAGGCTTTATTTCGACGGGTCCGACCTCAAGTGCTACTTGAATACCAGATAGAACCACCAATCAAGACAATAAATAAGTAAATAAATAGACACAATTGGCTACTTGCTATAAAATACTGCCTCTGGGCCTCATTAACCTTGTTTATAATCTATAAACAGAATCTTATAATTAGAACCTAACCGAAAATAGTATCAGGTTTATAAGCATATGCAGCGTCCACCAATTATGAACATTCAACTCCCCTTGATTTTATGCAATTTTCATTTTTTTTTTAATTTTATCACTCTTTTCATTTTCATTACTCCAATGTTCTCGTATGTTTTCAGTATTATTATGGTACAGAAAAAATAAATAATCTTTTGAAAACGATCGAGTACAGTCGGTATACTTCAACTCTGGCTAGAAAATATTATCTAATTGCTGTTAAATATAATTTCGCAACTCTATTTTGATACTTACAGATTTGAATGATTCAGCATCAATACCTTATCAAAGGTAATAATATTTTGAAGCTTAAAATACTTACCGGAATACTCGTATATTAGTTATTGAGTAGGCTTTTTATATTAAAGGATGAACTTGAACCTTTAAAGTATAAGCCACATTCTTACCCACTTATATCAAGTGAACCAACCTTTTTGGTTTTGGCTAAAATTCATTAATATTTACATGACACTAGACTTATTTTTCTAATCTTTAGATGTATGGTACATGGAAATTTTACTTTTATGGATTTAAGTAGGTTCAGGGGTCGTGCAGCTTAACAGAAATAGTGGGAGGAGGTCATAAATAAGTAAATAACCTTCAAGGCTGCATTCCAATGATTCAGGCGCAGTGCGCTTCTCATCATTCATCCACCTTGTAACCTCTAAAAACAATCAGGAAAGAAGCCCCAAAACAATAAAGTATACAGAAACATTAAAAGAACTAAAAAACCACATGAACAAAGCTCCCAAGAAATGCCCTCAGATCTCATAGCTTTGATTGATCATCCGCAATTTAACTACAGCGGCGTTCATCAAATGCCTTCATAAGCCACCACAATAAAAGAGTGTGTGTGTGCGCGCGTGTGTTTTGATAGATAGATAGATAGAGAGTTGCAGTGGCAGTGGCAGGTGTAGACAAATGGAGAACTGAAACCGCTGAAAATTGCTCAATATAGTTTAATTTGTCCATCATTGGGCAGCAGAGCTCATAGATAAAGGGAAGAGCAAGTGAAGAAATTAATGCTAACAGAAAACATGAATATAGTCCAGAATCAAGGTCGCCACAACCTCAAATGAGGTTGGCAATATCCGTGACCCCTACAAAAGCCCTCGTATTTCAGCATCTCACTGGTTTCTGTTATAAGGGGAAATTTACCCACCTCAGATTATCATGACGTCAATGTAGAGAGCTCAGTATCCAATTACAAACAAAAGAAAGATATCAGAATCAACGACGAAGATGATGATGATGATGATGACGACAAAACTACTCTGGTGCTAAAGGCTTGTTCATGGGTAAAATAGCAGAGTTTAAGGTCTGAAGGACCAAATTTTCAGCTTTAGCTTTAACAAATTCACCCTCCAAGGGATTGTTTCACAAATATTCCGAGATACATTAACCAAAAACACATGATAATCAATCGCTTGAAGGAGATGATGTTGTTAGTATAATACATGGGTTTGTAAACACAAATATAAAATATAACTCGTTGAAAAAAAATTAAAAACAATAACAATCAAAACCATTTAACCTTTACAAGATATAACAGTAACCATAAATACGGGGAGAAAATAAACCAATCCTAAACCCCCAAAATTGAAAGAGTTGAAAAATGGGATTGCGAATAGAGGAGGAGGGTGTGGGAATCCTTTCCTAATCCCCGCTCCGTTTCCTCAAAAAAATTCAAACAATAGTTTGTGTCTCTATACATTCTCCCAACGAGCCCTGCAGTTTAGTTAACAAGCCCTAGAGGTTGATAATCGAAATCCAGGAAACCGCCTCACAGAATGTAATTCCACCATGAAAACAAATGGGACATAAAATCAACAACGAATTGATTGATTACCGAAAAATTAGTATGGAAGAGTAGCCAGCAAATTGTGAAACAACGTGGCAATAACAATCCTAGATCATTCTCAGTTTAAAGCCAACAGTGTTCATCAAATGCCTCAAAAAACCTACACAGAAATTGCGCGCGCGCTCGGGTAAGACTGAAACACAGATGGACGAGATAGAGAAATCATAGATCAGAGGCGAAGCAGACGGAGAAGCAGCATCAGGTTTAACCGAGGAGCGAGACCTTACGCGGAAAATGAATAAGCTGCCGACCTGCCCCTTTATTCTGTCCTTTGGTGGGCTTGGGCTTTATTTTTTAACAAGCTCTGACCTGAGCCCATTCATCGAAATAGGTTTGAGCCCACTTTATGTGAGAGTCTATATGTTGAGCCCTAGAAAATGATCCATTTTCCCAGATTGAAGATCCGAGTGGAAAACAAAATGAGCTGAATTATTTTGCACAAACCAGTACGTGAGTGTATTTATTGAGGATAATTTTAAAATTTTGCAAAAAAAATTAATTTTAATTAATTTTAAATTTGAGTAAAATAATTAATTTAAGTTTATCAAAAAGATAAGAAAAAATAATTTTAAAAAGTTATATCGTTTCAAAAAATTTTAAACACTTCCTTATCAAAAAAATAAAAGATCAATACGATATTAATAATATTGAAATGATTATTTATAAATCTTAATTGGACATCAAAATAGCAAGAAAACGTTGGCAAAAAAAATCAAAATAGAAAAAGAAATATTAAATGTTTTAGATATGATTAAACCGGAACTTGTATTTTGAACTAAGGTAATGTGAGGAAAAAATAGCGTATATTACAGATCTAAAAAGTAGGTGTTCTACGAAATGAATAATTTTTTTTTACCAGCATTAAAAATGAATAATTTAAAAGGTTGGTTGTGAGATTTTAAAAATAAAAGGGATTAATTTCATATGAGATGAAAATTAAATTAAAAATATTAAACATGGCTTTAATTCCGCCTCTCCTATCTGCAGACCATGCCGTCCTTAAATTATGATACACCTCACCGCACAATATCAAACCTCCTCCCATCCTCTCAGGCAAGTGTGAACTGGACCGGTCGAGAAAACCCGTGGGTCGTAACGCGCGGGGCAAACCCTTCTTGGTTCATCCGGGCGAATTGATCAAACAGGATCATGAGCTCCTCTTGAAGCAGAGCTCTAGTAAGTTTCTCGTTTCTTCACTGAGATTTTTCTGTTCCAAAAACATCGAGGCCTGGTTTTCTTTGCTCCCATTACGAGAAACCGATTCGTGATCTTCTATTATTTCTTTTATGTGCGCAGAGTCAAAAACCGATGCACATTTAATATATGTGTATATATATTATATTTACTTTTGGACAAATATTACATTTGATGCCTCATTCTTTTAAAAAATGGATAAAAATATCTTGTGAATTATAATTATATTTAAGGATCACAATTATATTAACTTAAAGAAAAAGAAAAGAATTTGGATCCTTACAGGCTGAATTATTCCTGTATTTGTACGCTATAGAAAAGTAAAGTTTGGTGAAAAATAAATGGAGGCTTTATTAGGATCAATAATTGGTCAAATAGTTTGGGGCCAAACTACCACTGGTCCTATGCCTAGCAAAATGGTTCAAGGGGTCATTGTTGAATTGCCTAAAATAGTGAGAGAATTTAATGGCTGGCAAAATTACGAGTCGTGTGACAATAAAGTTGTCGAGTTTCCTCCAACGTATTGCAAATCTGTACAAAATAGCAAAGAGGACCACACACATGGATGGCTTCAAATCAAGACAAACTAAAACACCTGGACTCTTTTTCCAAGCCCGTCTTCCTCTCATGTCATCAGATCAGCTACCATCTATCAGATATCCCCTTGCATTGCCCACTTCTTCTTCACTTTCCCTTTCACATTCCAACCCTTTTTCTCTTAATTTCTCGCAGACGTGAACACTATTAAGTATAAGTCAGCTTAATGTTCATAATCAGTCTGAGTTTTTCAGTCATGGAGAATCTTTTTACCCTTATAAAGAGCTCGAAGGAATATATACACACACACACACAACTTGCCTTTCATATCATTTTAAATTAGGACTAAGAGCTCCATATTTGACTCAAAGATTAAGTTCTTTTATAGAAAGTCTTGTATCTGATATATACTTGCTTCTGTGTCACTGAATCGTAAAAAGGGTATAGATTATGTTGTGTAAGATTATTGCTTTCATAAGTAATAGATGACAATCTAATCTACTACTCTAGCTTGAACATGCAGCTTGAAATCAAAGTACTTGAGACATGCTACAGCTGGAGGATCGTTCTTATATACATGCGTATATATTATTATACAGAGTCTGATATGTTGAAGCTTATAGTATCTGGTACATACGATTCATCAGCTCAAAATAAATACACAGGGTTACAGAGAGAGATTAACTGAGGTTGATCTGATATATAATATTTGACAGACTTACGAGAAGTGAGCACTAGTACATATACTGGAGTTGCGCCTGCCATGGTTTATCTGAAGATCGACTCATGTACTGAAGCTTTTCATGGAGGCTGATATGTATCGTTGTCTTCAATAATCATTCTCGGTACTGGAAAAGGGAAAACCCTAATATTAAGTTATAAAGAGTGAGAGAAGTCTGAACAAGGGTGAAGAAGAAGAAGAAGAAGAAGAAGAGGAGGAAGAGGAATTAATAGTGATCTGCGGTGGACATAAGAGGTAGATGAAGTTAGGAACAAAAGGATAAGCATGATAAATCAGCAGGGTTTATCTCCATTGATTCACCTTTACATAAATCTATATCTATGCATATAGTACAATACATGTCATAAATAATGTGGTTCTAGCAAGAGCAACACATGCTGTGGTGGCGAAAGTACTTGGCGTGTAGCACTAGGAATGTTTATGAACTACTCATTTTTCTTATTATTTTTTAAAAAAATTTTAAAATATGTGTCTCTATATATGCCTATGGCATAGCTTGTAGAGTGACTAATAATAAAATCAAGAGTCCCCACGTTGACATGCGCATGGGCCAAACCTTTTACACCATTGGTCAGCCTTACTAAAATGGTAAAATGGTAAGAAACCTTTTTGTTTTTTTGACAGAAATGGGGATAAAAGGGAAATTGGCCAAAAAGACCACCGAAATAAAAAAATTACACACAGAGATCGGTTTATAAAAGTTGTTACTAAAACCCATACTAATATTGTCATGAGTCCTTATTTATAATTTTTTTATTTTGACGGTTTTTTTTTTTGCCATTTTCCTAGGTAAAATACTAAAATCTCAAAAAGTGTTGCAGCCTGACAATTTTGACAAAGAATGAAGATGTCTTCTCAGGGTCCTTTTCTCTTTTCTAAAACAAATATGAAGAATGGAGTTTGGAAGAATCCGGTTGTGAGGTTTTCCCTCCATATACAGACACACACACATATATTGTGTGTGCCATATTAAAATTATATTAATGAAACAAATGGCGTTTCCTCTTTTTGATCATGGGCAAAAAGTATTCTCCACTAAGAGCATAAGTTAATCATCCCTGAGTTTGGCCAGAATAAAATCAAAGAGATGTGTTTTTTTTTTCCTTCTTTTGATAAGACAATCACCCTTGAGATATTGGGGGCAGAGAATGAACAAATTTAATTTATACCCAAGAATTGAATATATCAAAACCCCAACAACTTCTTTAAAAAAACGAGAGTCTCTTTCATTACAGCAAATTTTGATTGATACAAATGACCTGAAAGATTCCAGTTTTTTTAGGAAGAAGAAGTGTGGCCGCATATCATTTAGTATTTGCTACTACTCCCTCCGTTCCTTATTATAAGAGACAAATAACCAAAGTACGTTGATCAAAAAAATAGTTAAAATTAGTTAAGAACAATTAATGTGTAAAAAGTATATTTTTTTTTTCAAAAATGCCCTCATTAATAAGGAGAGAGAGCATGAGAGAGAACAATTAAATTATTAAAAGAAAGAGAAGTGGGAGGGAGAGAGAGTGTGAGTTGGAGATAATAAATATGGGTAAAATAAGAAATCAACACAAAAAAGTAGAGACAACTTTTAAGTGTCTCTTATATATAGGAACATGTTATAAACATCAAATATCTCTTATAATAAGGAACGGAGGGAGTATTAATTTGTTTTAAATTGAGTAAAAAAAGTCAGTTTCTTACTATTTCACTCCATCCGTGGTATTTTATTGGGAGGACAAACTTTGGAACTTGGAAATGCATAAGAATATGGTTGTTGGGCCCAACAGTTACTACTAGGTTCTGCCTTTCGGATGGTTAGGAAATAGGCTGGTATCATAATTAACGATGCCCGATGAAAGATTTGATTAGATCTGTCCTTTAGTATTAATAAACCTAATTAAATTCGAAACTAATCCTTTAATTTACAAGTGGCTCAACAAAGATATAAGTGTTAACTTGTTCCGGTGGGGTAAGTCCACTATTGATTTGATGAGATATCAAAGGAGCAAAAGGAAAAGAATAAGATCAAATATAAATCTTTAAAATTGAAGCACACATACCTTAATCGCTTCTTTACTCCAAACCCATGCCGTAGTATATGTCGCTTCATTCATAACTTTATTTATTGTTTATTTGTTAACTTTATATACTTCTCAGTGCTTAAAAAAAAAAAAAGAACAAAAATGAGTATCTTTCGGTTACGGCTCTTTGGCCAAAAAGACAAACAAAAAAGAAGAAGAAGAAGATTTATATATGTATTTCCCCCAAATAGGGTGACGAGTGAGCAGGCATTTGTTGGTTTTTTGACGTGTGATACATACATGCTGGTAAAAAGAAAATTATAAATCATGGCGTGGTCATGGCTCGTCTTTTTCGGCCACTTTATCATACATAATAGATTATCCCCTTCACGTAGTGGTTTCATGAGATAGATTAAAGGAAGGGGGATTTTTCCGTCCTAGCAAAAGGGTTTATATTGTATTCTATGGGAAGTGGGCCTGTACATTTGGGCCAATATTCTTGACTAAACCCATACTTTTACGGGCTTAAGAACAAGGGCCCGAAAAATGGAAGACCAGGAGGGGCAGTTTCGTAACTGTCGCTCGTATACATGGTTCCCCCTCTACAAAACCCTGGCATTCTGCATTTTTGCTGCTTGGCGGCCGGGGAAACTGGCCTTTTTCTTGATGGCTTTCTTTAGCGTCCTTCGTTTTTCATTTTCGCTTCTCTGTAATTTGTGTTTCCTAGTCGCTTTAATTTCTATTATTCAGTCTCGCACATTCTGTTTGTGTCTCTAAATTGATGATGCCCAATGATGCACAAATCAAACTCTATTGAGCAGTTTTCGGCGGTTCCGGTTCTGCATCTGCCTTCACTTACCACCGCTCCCCTCTCTCTCTCTCTCTCTCTCTCTCTCTACTCACACACACACACTCACTCTCACACATAAATGTCTTGTGGTGGTTTGTGGAGGCATTTGCTGAGCGCCGCTGGCTTTTTAACTGTGAGTGATCGATCAAAAGCTATGAGATCTGAGGGCATTTTGTTTATTTTTGCGTAACCATAGATTTTTAGGTTTTGATATTTGAATGTTTATTTGCTGCTTTGAGGCTTCTTTTCTGATTCTGTTGAATGTTGGAGTTGGAGTGGAAGATGATGCATGCACTGGGCTCTGAGCAGTTTTTTGCTGTATTATTGATGGAAATGCAGCCTAGAAAGCTATTTCTGACCTCCCTTCACGATTCCTGTGATCTACATTATACGTTTATACTTCCATAAGATCGTTAAAATCATAGTAGGAATTTTGGCATATGATGATTGATAAGAGTCAAGTTGTTTCAGAACGTGATCGGGACTTTTACTTTAGCACCGTTCCGCTATTGTAGTTTTGTGTCAACTAATGGATAAGGCTTATTATGGAGCAGTGGATAAAAACACTAACCGGTGCACGGATTGTTGAAAGGCAATGAGTTCGGACCAAGATTGGACTCCCTTAACTTCCCCTTCCTGTGACATTCCAAACATTCCGCTTATTTTAGCTTGGGAAATTCAGATGGCTTGATCTGATTATTTTGCTGTCCCGTATAATCTCCATGATTTTCTTTGGTTCTTTTTAACTCAGCAAACCGTTGGTAACTATGCCAAAGAACGAACAACGCCTTTATGAACTAAGAATCATTTTGAAGTTGATTTTATCATAAATCTGAGGTGGGTAAATTGCCCATCACAACGCCAACCAGTGAAACCGCCGATATGTTGAAATAATGTCATGGCTTTCTGCGTGGTGTCTGTGACAGATCTTGTAAGTACACAGAATCTCTCTTGAGCTGATTCAAACAAGCCCTTAATCATACACCGGAGGAGAATTCCCTCGTCAGGAACAAAAACAGGAATGGACTATGTGTCTGTGCAAAAGATGCCACCGTGAGTGCTCCATGTATTATTCACATTCTCTCAGGAGATATTTGAGAATAGTGCCCCAGAGGGACATCGAATTGTGGGCTTACTGTATGACAAATGTAATTAATCTCATTTAATGTAGTTTTATATGTAGCTGTACTAAGGGTTTTCTTAATGGAATGGCCATCAAGAAAGACACACTTCCTCCGGTCGAGCTGTGTTGACATGGGGTGTAGCAGTAGAGATATGAGCGGCTCATGCGGACTAAACTTTTATTATGAATTATGAATCTTATATATAAAGAAATAAAAAGTAAAAGCACTAAGCTTTTAATTTAGGTCTGGTCCTCCCTACCAAAAAAAAAAGCATGTTATGATATGATATGATATGATGCTTATCTGGTTATCTATCTTCGTCCTGATTTTTTTTTTTAGCCTTAGTCTTCATGATTTTGAAATGCTACAAATGAGGTCTTATAATTAGGAAAGGAAGTAGTATAAGAATTAGTTTAACTTTCAATTTGGTCTTAAATATAAGAGTTCAATTCACTGTCTTTAATATTTATGGATTTTTTAAGTAATTCATATAATAATTGTATAAGTTAAGAAATTACTATTATTTTGCAATTTAAACATATATGATTACTAATAGTATTTTAAGAAATACAATATTTATTTATTATAAATAACTAATTAAACTAATTTTTTTAATCTTTTTAAATTAGTTAATTAGATTTTATGAGGTCTTGACGTCTTATATTAAAGGAGTGAGGCAGTAGATGTGAGTGTGATGACTATTGTGTCCATTTCCGTCAGACTTTGATGCAGGGAAGAATTCTTTTTTATCCGCAAGTCCTGAACAACGTCAAACTATGCATAGTGAGTGTTGAAACCTGAAATCAATACTTTGGCCGCGATGGGGGCACTCATGAACCAAATTACATGTTCGCTGCTAGGGAGTTGAGAATCCATTATACTATTTCTCTTGGCCTTTATTGTCAAACTCTTCAGCATGATGCCGGCCAGTCCGCTCTGGAAGACCTCTGACTCCACCAATCCAACTCTACTTGCACGCAGTTTTATGGATGTGGCTTGTTTCGGAAACACGAAGATAAGACCCCGTGATAATAATTCCTTGTAATTGTAATATACACACCTTTTAAAAAAAATAACTATTTATATTATAATAAATAAATAATAAAATAACTTATTCATATTAAAAATTTAATGAAGTAAGTTATAAATATGAACCAAAAAAAAATCTTCTCTTTACCTTATAAATAGGATTATAAGTGTATATATTTAAATCAATTATCCATTGATGATAGTCTAAGATAAACATCAAATATACTTTTAACCTAAGTACCATTTTATATTGCTTAAGTGAACTGTCTTTCATTTGAAAACATTATTTTAAAAGAAAACTAATATATACACACACAGAGGGGAAAGCATGGCATCTTTATTAGAACAAAAATGGGGGATTATCTCTAATTCTAATAATATTGTCAGAAAACTTCTATTAATGTGCTGCTTGATATGGTAGCTTTCTTTCTTTTCTTTTTTTTGGCCAACGATACGGCAGGGTAGCTAGCTAGCTATGGACCCATGGTCGAGGTTAAATTATTGATTGTGATTGAGAAGTAAGAATAATAAAATACTGCTCCTGTTTAGGAGTGGGACGGGGCAAATAAAATAAAATAAAATGGGAATTACAAGCGGCGGGTAAGAGGAGGAGACGGAGAAGAGCACGTGTGAATGGGAGGAGGATATAAATAAGTGCGTTCACATTGTGGTAACAGGAACGAGAGTAGAGGATGGGGACCTGGCTTCTCTCCGCTGACAAGGTCCCTCCTCTACCCAAAACACTGCCGTTTTGGGTGCAAAATGAGGGGAGCTGATTGCTTTTTTTTTTTTCTTTTTTTTCTTTTTTTTTGTATTTTGAAGTTTTTTTAGTAGCATCTAAAATATTTTTTTGTTACATTCAGTATTATAAAATATTCTTTTAGTGACCTGGCTTGAAAAAAACAAAAATACAAAAAAGGGCAAAATATTTTACTACCTCCGGTCCTTATTATAAGACCATGTTTGAATTTTATTTTGGTCCTAAATATAAGACCACAATCTACTTTATCTCTTATATTTATTCATTTTTTTCCATTATAATCCTTCTAATAATAGTAGGTATAGATAACAAACTTGACTAGCAAGGATATTTTAGAAAAAAACAACACTTATTCATTACAAATAACTAACTTAACTAAGTTCTTTAATCTCTCAAATTAGTCAACTGGGTCTTATAATTAGGATCGGAGGTAGTAGATGCTACTAAAAAAACTTCAAAATACAAAAAAAAAAAAAAAAAAATCAGCTCCTCTCATTTTGCACCCAAAACGGCAGTGTTTTGGGTAGAGGAGGGACCTTGTCAGCGAAGAGAAGCCATGTCCAGAGGATGATGCTTAGGCTCTGTTTGGGTGCTCCAAAACCATGGTTTCAGAAGCATTTTCCGCAAAACGATAACCTCCTCCACATATTTACTTCGTAATCCGTAAAAGCACTTCTGAAACTATAGTTTGGTTTTATCCAAACACTCTCTTAGCCTCTAAGCATGACACCATTCATCATGCATCATAATTACTCTCACCCCTTTTAACGCTGCTTCCTCCTTACTCTACTTCTTCTCATCTCCATCGAATCGCTGTTTACATATTGTGTGTGCGCCCGTGTTCAGATACATATATGTGTGTGTATGTATTCCTCTGTGTATCTGTAATAACACACCCTCTCTTTTTAAAGCTTTGGGGTGAGACATACTAGAATTTGGCAGTGATTATAAATAAAATCAGTGTGTATATACGGAGACAGTATGCATATAACTAACATATATTCCCTCAATCCTTAATATAGGATCTAATTCTTGAGTTGGTTTTGATCCTAGATATAAGACCCGTTTATCATATTTATTAATTTTCTCTAAATCAACCCTATGAATACTTCTCTTACTATAATCAAGCAGAAAAGAGAGATGAGATATTAAAAAGATGATTATGGTGTTTTAGAAAAAATGCGTCACTTTTCTTATAATTAACTAACTTACCTAACTTTCTTAATTTAATCAAATTAGTTAAATGGGCCTTATATTAACGATCGGGGAGTATTTATCAAAACCAACATATGGAACTTATATCGCTACTTCTCAGTATATATTTATTTTCTTTTTCAAACCAATTATGTGCATAAACAGAGAATACACACGTCAGCTTCTTTGTTTATGTGATGGTATGCATTCTTTTTCTTTCTTTGACCGGGAACATATATATATATATATAGAATCATTTCGGTTTAGTTTAGTTTTCAGCAGCACGATGAATTATGAAGATCAGGTGCCAATGGGCACAAATTGAGCCAATTCAAATCTTGAAAGTGGCATCACCGTATTTGAAATATGTCTCTTTCCCATCGGAGAAAAGTAGTTTGAACCCCCACGAACTCATCGCTAATTTTATAGGCTCAACCTTTTCTTCTTTTTTTTAAATCCCTTTTGAAAAAGTTCTTAATTTATAACTTTGACGAAAGATATCTATATTTTTATTCATATATCTCAAGATAAAAAATTGACATCTTCAAAAAGTCATATTGATCATCATAGCATAAATGAATTGCTCAGCATGACATGGGGAAAAAACATACGCCCTCCTGTTCTATATGTGAAATACAACTAATTGAGTTACATAAATAAATCAATTAATTAAATTTGATTAAATATAATTAATATGTAAAAATATTATCTGTTTTTTTAGATATATTCTTATTTATGGATAGGATAAATGAGAGGAAGAATAAGTGGAAAAAATATGCAAAATAATGTGTGAAAAAATAAATGAAAATGAGTTTGCTAAAGAAAAGGAGAATAAACTTATTAATTACTGAGTGATCATTTACTATTTCTGGCGAAATCATTTCTGTAATATTTGAAAGATCAAGTTCTGATTCGTGTTTTATAATTAGTGGTTGAGTTAAAGTATGCTAGAGATTGTAAGTAATAATTACAACAAACAATCAAACGTTAGTTATAAATTATCTTAAAGCTCTCATTTGAAAAAAAAAAACAGTGTTTTGCAGTAGTTATTTTTATTCATTTGGCAAAACAAATAAAATTTGAGAGTGTGTATTTATATATATAATTCATACGTATAACATACTAATTATTAAAAATTGAACAGCTGGCAAAGAAAATTAATTGAACAAAAATTGGCAGATTATATTTATGTGTCATCCTCGTACGGCAGCGATACAATTCTCATAAGTTTTATTGCATTGACATTTTGCCAAACTCATTATTATAGAATTAGTGTATGGAATTCATGAAAATCACAAAAATTTGAAATTATGGCGTTATCTTAATGTGTTGAGCCATAATGCAAATATTATTCTTAAATATTAAAATAACTAGCATATCAACGTTCGGAGCCCTATATAAATTAAATAAATGTTTATATATTATACTAAGTTTAACATGAATCACATTGTTTGTAATTTATTAGAAAAGAAACTCAATTGCTTCTATTCCACTTTTAAAAGTGGATTTTGATTTTAAACCTTTTTAACGCAATATCTCCTTCATTAGCTTTATCTCTGGGACCAATACTTCAAACTCACCTGTCTTTTTTTATTGTTGTTTTTTTTTTCAGGGGACTGCACTTGTTTTTTTGGTTGAAGATGCCAAGTCCCAAAAAAAAAAAAATCCAACATGTCGTTCTATGTGGCAAACAAGAAAAAAAACCGATTTGACTTGGTCAAATCCACTCTCACAAGAGGCTCAAAGATTTAATGGCTCTTGTTTATTCAATTTAGATGATGCAATTTTGTTTTTAAGATAACATTGTGCCCAAGGGAAAAAGAAAAGTAAGATAATGACATAAAAACTATTTTAGTAATTCAGCATAAAGTGGCATAGATTCATTGAATGTATTTTGTTTTAGGCTTTTCACACATTACAAGCGTCAAGTGTCACATCAAAAAGAAAAATAAATTTCCATGAAGCGGTCCACGTCTTTGACAACAGGCTAGAGGTTCAGGAGATAATACCCTTTTTTCCAAAGAAGAATAATGATGGAAAATACCTGTTGCAATTTAATATTAAATATAATATTTATTTATTTTTTAAATAATTTTTATAGTAATTGGATAGATTAAAAATTTTTCATAAAAAATAATTTTAATATACATAATTAATAAAAACGTTTTAGAAAAATAATATCTATTTATTATAAATGAATATCAATAATACATCGTCAATTCATTGTTTCGGCAGGGGTACTTTCGCCATTCGGGCTAATGAGCATCTGACGCCCCCATCTACGGTTCTAGAGACCCTGGAATTGTATGAAACAGACCGAGTCCCTTTGTCCCTTACGCGCCAACGAAGACTCAGTTCATCCTTCCACGTCAGCCTCTCTGACCCCACCACCAATGGGAAGACTCAGTCCTGACCAGTCAAGCACACCCACGTATCCGACCATTGCCACTTGTCCCCCATCAAAGTGTCTCAGCCCAGGGCACACAATGCCCGGCTCATCTGTAATCTTACTATGATTCGCTGAGTTTTAACTTTCATAAGTAAACTAATATTAACTCTATTTTAAAATAATATAAAAATGTCTTTTTTAATTTGGATGGATTATAAACTTACTATGCCTTTGTCTATTCATATACAATTTTATACATGCCTACAACATAATTTGAGCAATATAATGTGCTGCTAAAATATTTGTACTTGTTCGGATAACAATAGAATTTTTTAAAAACAGATTTTTAATCATAATTTTAAAAATATAATATAAATATGTAAGATCAGTTTTATCTCAATTTATATAAACATATTTATAAACACTATGATAAAGTTTTATCTCAATATATGTCAACTGAAATTACGTTTTTTTCAGAATGCTTTTATGATTAAAAAAAAGTTTCACATGCATGAGATGAGCCACGTCGTGCATTCATCTACGTAATAAATTAATAATAAAGTTAAACTATACGTATAAAGATCATCTCAGTAACTATTATGTATTACTTCCGGTTCTAATTATTTTATTTATAATCTATAAATAAAACGTTATAATTAGAATGAGAGCTTGCGAGTGAAGACTTTCATGCTCGGATGGAAACAAAAACACGAACGTGGCCGTACGGGGGATCGGCTGAAACTGACGGCGAGGATGATGTCCGTATGCATTACTAGAGATCTGTGCGGCGAGGCCGGAATCTATGTCCTTGCCAGCGTGTTGGAATCGCGTAAGGTGCGCGGCTTAAGTTTACTCGTACTCGCTCACTTTTACAGGCACAACAACCTTAATAGGTTACTAATTACAAAGGTTAATTAGTTAATTAATTCTAATTTGGGAAAATCCGCCTTTTCCCATTCATGATCATTGTGGTTTTACTCTTTTAGCCCTCCCGCTTTCCCAACCACCACTATTACGCGGTCCATTTGTCCCCCTTATAATCCCTCTCCTTCCTTCTAGGGTTCCCATTCCTCTCACTCCACCACACCCCTTCGTCTCTCACACCCTCCTTGTCTGACAAATTTCAATCTCTTCAGCTGTGTCCCAACCCGAGCTCAATCCTCAATCTACTTCGCCTGGGTTTCCCATTCAAGTTCTTACCTTCACTCTCTGGCTTTCCTGGGGACAGTTTTCGGTTTTCGCAAGATTCAATTTTGAAATCTGGCTTCTGGGTGTGAAATTTGAAGGCTGGTTTTTCAGTTTCATTTGCTGGGTTTTCAAATTTGGGGAAAATTTCGGGTTTTTGGGGATTCAGTTTTGAAATTCAGCTTCTGGAGGTGTGATTGATTTTGAAAGAAGAGAGGATATATGCGATAATGCCCGCGACGGACTATCAAAACTCGTCGTCTCCATTGTCGTTCACTCATATTGGTCGTTCGCTTCTGAGTCTCCGGCGTGATCACCAGGTTCACTCCATGGAAGGGTCTACGACGCCGAACTTCCAAAACGGCAGCTTGGACAACGATCTTGAGTCGTTTCAGAGACTGGTCACTGAACTGTTTCACGACCTCGCTTCTGTAAGCCAGGACGATTTGCTTTCCCTTTCGTGGGTCTCGAAGCTTCTTGACTCCTTCCTCTGTTGCCACGAGAACTTCAGAATGGTTCTTCACAGCCATGGAGCTCAGGTGTTCAAATCGCCGACGGATCGAATGGTGACAGATTACTTCGAACGGAGCGTGAAGGCCTTGGATGTGTGTAATGCGATTCGCGATGGGATTGAGCAGATTCGTCAATGGCAGAGGCTTCTTGAGATTGTGGTTTGTGCACTGGACCGTGAAAGAACCGTGGGAGAAGCTCAATTTCGTCGTGCCAAGAAAGCGCTTATTGATTTAGCAATCGGGATGCTGGATGATAAGGATTCTAATTCCAGTACGGGCTCGTCTCTTGCACATCGAAACCGATCCTTTGGTCGAAGCAGAGACACAACTCATCATCATCATTCTCACAACCATCATTTTCGATCACTTTCGTGGAGCGTTTCTCGTACTTGGTCGGCTGCGAGGCAGCTTCAAGCGATCGGGAACAATCTTAGCCCTCCCAAAGCGAATGATCTCGCTGCCTCCTACGGCCTAGCACAGCCTGTATACACCATGAACGCCGTTCTTCTCTTTGTGATGTGGGCTCTCGTGGCTGCAATTCCGTGTCAGGATCGAGGGCTTCAGGTTCATTTCAGTGTTCCCAGGCATTTCTCATGGGCAGGTCCGATGTTGTTCCTTCATGAGAGGATCACGGAAGAGTCTAAGAAGAGGGAGAGGAAAAATGCTTGTGGATTGCTGAAGGAGATTCATCAGATTGAGAAGTGTGCCAGAGTGATGAATGAATTGTCTGATTCTGTCCAATTTCCATTAACGAAGAAGAAAGAAGAGGAGGTTAGGCAGAGGGTGAAGGAGGTCTCAGAGGTCTGTGAAGCTCTGAAAAATGGATTAGATCCATTGGAGCGACTAGTTAGAGAAGTGTTTCATAGAATTGTGCGAAGCAGAACAGAGGGACTTGACTCTCTTGGTAGGCCTAATTTTGCCGAATAATCTGCGTATGGAGAAGCAAGCAAGGGATGATGTAGAGAAGTTTAGGGTATGTGAAGAAGATAGACCTCTGTGATCTATATGTTTTTCTCTTTCTTTTTCTTTTTTCCCTTTGTGATGTTGCCATTGTATAACCTATTTTCTGGGCAAGTTGATAATGCATCGCTCATTGCAGCTGATTTTGTTCATGAATTTTTGGTACACACACACACACACACTTACCGTTGTGTTGGAAGAGCTGATTTGTTGTAAAATCTTGTAATCTTCCTCCAGGATTTTGTGTTGGGTTTCATGTAATCATACAAAGATCCTGGTATTTGGATATAACAGTTGACCTTAAATGTATTATAAAACTTATAAACACTTTTTACACTGTTTTCCTCCATTCCTACTGCTCTCTGCATCGTAAGAACTCTTAATAATGGCAGCGCTTTTCCTAAGCCATAAATAATTTGATTTATTTCTAAGACATCATGTAAGAATTGGGTATCACATTGATTGCTATGTAAAACATGATTTGGCTAAAACTCTTGGTAACTTTTTATCTTTCTAACCTCAGTATGTAAAATTTAGTCTTTTAAGCTGCTATAGGCTTTATATTGATCATAATCCTAACTTTATGGTTGACAAGGCTTCTGTGATTTTGGCCCATATTGGCCATCAAAAGTCTAGTTTAGTTGATTAAACCTCAAAATTAATAATGAGTGAATCTTTTGGGAGATTGTGGTCAAGTCATGGGAGTGGTCTGACTTTGACTTGGTACATTACATTGCCATCCATAATTGAACATTTTTCAACCTGTGATCACGCAGTTGGATCTTGGTCAAGGGTTATCTTCCTGACCACATGTCAATGTCTTCCGGGTAATCCTTTTCTTTTAAACAACATTATCGGAATCTCCGCTTTTGCTTAACATTTATGGCTTTGACTGGTTTTCGCATTTTAAACAATTCTTTAGACACAGCTTCCAGGTTATGTTGTCCCTCATCATCCTTGAGTTCTTCAAAATTACTTCTCCACTTCTCGATTGTATCTAAACGATCTCTTTATTTTATATATATATATATATATATATATATATATCGTTCATTTGGGTTCATAAGCAAAATACGTTCTGAGTTCTAACTATGCCATATTTTAATTTTTGAGGTAAGGGCCATTTAGTAATTTTCAGAGAAAGATTTCATTTTAATCACACAATTAATTAAATATAATTTTTTTGCCATAATGAATTAAATATAATTTTTATCATATCTTTGATATCTTTACTTAATGATCTATGCACTTGCCAAACTTCCGTTGTGAGGCTTTGGCAACAGAAAATCCGGTGCTAATTTTGCAGTTTCTTGCACTGAATATATATTACCGGGATAACAATCATAAAATGTTAGGATATTCAGTTAATTACATCATTTTTTTTCCACAGGAGATGGATATTACTACACTGAATTTTTGAAAAAGTAAATTTTCAAGTAAATTTTTTTAATGAAAGAAATAGTCTAATTTTTGAAAAGACATAATCTGGTCAGCTTAAATATGTCATACCCAAGTGTTCTATGTCCCTGATACAATGAATTTCTGAAATTATAGTATGACTACCTACAGAAACGTCACTATCTTCAAATTAATTTATGAAATTTACGGCTTTAAGCAACTAGGGAACTTATGATTGTGAAAGGCTCTGTTGAAAACTATCATAATATTTAATTATTTAATTCATTATTATCTTTTTTTTGCCGCCTAATTAATTAATTATCATGAGAGTTTGGAAGAATGGTGGTGGACCTACTGGTGGTGGTTTGCATGTTACCTTGTTATACAGAAGAGGTCAGGCTTCTCATTCTAATTACCAAACCTTAATTAAGACAATCAATAATCACTTAGCTGTCATATGAATTAATAATCATTAGGTTCGAAGGTTCAATAAAATGAAAATAATTTCTTCTGCTTCCTATTATAACACATTTTTTAACACACATTCATTAAAAAAAAAAAAGTCCTTTAATGAAGAATTCACTTCTTTCTCCCCCCCCCCCAATTTGATCCTTTTTTTAACGCCAATTATTAATTATTTATTTTTAATGATTACTTTTGGGCAATCAGTTTTGATATACTCGTAAAGATATTTTAGGTAAAAAGACATTAATTGTCTTTAAAATTCTGTCAACTATCTTACATATTTAAAGACCGGATTTTTTAAAAAGACGTCTTCTATTATATAAAGGGGCGAGCATGTAGCATTATTATTAAACCATAAAAACGAACAGCGAACCTGAAATGATTATTCTATTTCAATATTTTCTAAGGAATGTAGGAAGAATCAGAACGTGGTTTTATGGCCACACATTTGTCTGGAAATAAATATCTTCCCCTTATGATTTTTTTTTTGTTGGCCTAACTGCCCCTCATGATTTGAACGCATCAATTTAATGCCACGTGATTTGTTTAGTAACAATTCAATCATGGCGGGTTTTTTAAACAGCTTCTCGTTTCTTCAACAATTATTTCTAAGGTTCTTTTTTCTGCTCAAGATTTCTAAAGTTCAGTATTGTTAAAATTAATATGATAACTTGAAATCTAAAACTACTATCAGATTATCCCAGGCAACTGTTTCAAATTTCAAGGAAAATATGATTTCAAAATATTATCAAACTAATCAAGGCAGGAGGTCATTTAAAACTATTTAAAGTCAATCTTTGAGCAGATATTGTTTGGGGTCAAATTAAGCAGATTCAAACTCGTGATATATAAAGAAAGTCAACCATTAAATTCATGCAGTAATATGCAATGAGATGTGTTTAAATTATTAGGAGGGGCAGTCCTGGCTGTGAAGGACATGTCTGCCCGCAACGAGCTGACAAAACTATCAATGCAGCACAGGCCAACATGTTGCCAACTTAAATGAAGTTATGTTTTATCCATGAAAAGAGATGATATATAGTTAAACTAACTAATGCTTATAAATACTAGATATTATCTCTTGTCTTTAATATAAAAATTAGTTTGACTTTTAATTTGGTCATAAATATAAGATTCCAATCTATTTTGTCTCTTAAATTTATTTATTTATTTCAAGATAGTCCTTATAATAGTTGTACTTGTTAAATGTTTCATCAAATAGTAATTTTAGTTAATACACTTGTTAATAAGGGTATTTTAGGAAAGACAACACATGTTTATTAGAAACAACTAATTTAACTAATTTTTTTATAGCCCGTTTGGTTGGATTGCGTGTGAGGGTATTTCTAGTAATCTCAATGCATTTTGCTATTCCCATTGTTTGGTTGGTCTAAAGTAATGTAAATGAGATTACATTGTGTAAAGGAGATTACCTCAAGTGCTGTAATCTAGATTACATAAATGGACCCAAGCGATCGTCATTCCCACTTCCTTTATCCCATAATACCCCTCCCCATTCATGTGCCCCTCCTCTCTCCTTCTTCCTCTCCTCCACTAGTGACACTCCTCCACTATCTTTTTCTGATGACCGTAAAGTTTTCGACACTGATGTTCTCCTTCTCCTTTCAACACCTTTGTTCTGCCCACAACTACCAACCTCTTCCTCCTTGCACCACCATCATTCTTCTCCAATTGTAGATCTCGTTCTTCTCCACAACAATCTTGTTTGCTGCACCACTATTGTTCACATCCCCCATTGCACCCTTCTTAAATTCTGCACCACACTTGCTATTCGTATCATTTTCTTCCCCACCAATATTCTTCTCCAGACTTGATTTTTAATCCTCATCTTCAAATTCTTTTGTCATATTGTGGGTTTTTGGGTCTGATTATGTTGCTGTGTATTTTGGTAGATGATGATCAGTAATGGTAATGTGGCTAGGAAGCATCAAAGAAAGAGGAGGATGGGCGCGGTTTTATTTTTCCCCCCTCTTATGACCAGGGCTACAATGGTCATTTCATATTCCTTTTTAATGTTTTTAATATTAAAAAATGTATTCATCCCAACACGTACCAAACAAATACATTGTGGTTATAATTGCATTACATTACATTCCCAATCATTGCATTCTATTATAATCCCATTCATTCCATGAACCAAACAGGCACTTAATGTACTCAAATGAAAGCAGTGTTTATATTAATACTATCATCACCGGCTACTCTTTTTTTGGGCTTAAGGAGTTGAGGCCAACACAAATCACAAATAACGGAATTGGCATCAGAGACTTCCAACAAAGAAAGCTGGAATTAAGGCATGCAAAAGATAATGCAAGACAAGTCTTGGTTCTGTTCCTTGCTTTTCAGTACATAAAGGAACTTGTTGCAATATGCGGACTTACTAATTCATAGCACGTCATATACAAGTCGAAAAAATGAAAGAATTTGACCTAATTAGTTCTAATTGTCTGCTCTATTCATTTACATTGTTAATCTGGACCTTTACTTTCGTCAGCAGAACATGGAGTCCTCGTTGACAATGTATGGTGAAACTGTGATACTTTCTACGATTAGAAGTTTCAAAAGAATAAGATGAATCTTTTGTAAAGTGAAATAATATGACTCTGCATGAGCCCTGGCTCACTTGGTTAACCACCTTCTTCGCCTATTTAGACTTCTTTCCACCACCTATCCGCAGGGATCAGTTACCTGCAAAAAGAATAAAGAGAAAAAGATAAGCCATGCTAATTTCAATATCAGAATTCAAACAAAAATTAATACTGTAATAGATAAAAAAAAAATGATTGTTGGGTGAAATAACCAAGTTCGAACTCAGGGAAAGTATTATAACACTTGCGACCAGAAAACCGGAACTTGCGCTCCAAAAACATCTCCAAGCTTTACAAATGACCTACCTTATGCTCTTTCAATGCAATATGCGCGAGTACAAAATTTGATATGAACTTCAGTTATTGCTTATTAATATTGGATAAACAGAATATCTCCAAGTAATACTGGAAAGCTAGATATGATGGAAAACACTACCTTCTTCCAGCTCTTTTATGGCCTAAGAATAAAATTATGAGAGATGCAATGAAGACTGATCCTGCAACAACCAGAGGGGCACGCAGTTCCACTTTCTTTTCACTTTCTTCCACTTCAATATCTTCGAGATCCTCTGACTCTTGAGAGATTTCCACTTGAGACACATCGGCTGCTTCACCGGCTTTTTCTTCTTCAATTGCAAGACCTTCATGATTTTCTTCTTGCTGTGAGAGATGTGTTTCCTCATCTTCTTGGTCTGATCTCCTTGTAGTTGATTCTTGAAAATCTAATTCAGATTCCTGCTTCTCTGGTTCTTGGGATTCTAGATGTTCACCATCACGGCATTCATCTATTTTGCCTTCCTCTTCCTCTTCTAATTTTTCATCTGGTGGTCTGTCCAGTTCATTCGCTACAGTTTCTGATGCTTTAGTGCCCTCTAGGGAAGAAGTAGACTCTTTACTCTCCTGGAATTGTGCAAAATTCTCAACCGTCGGAGCATCTTCTTTAACACCTGGCCTTGATGTTCTAGATGGCCCTTTGCTCATATTTTCTACGGATGGAGATGGCAATTTTTTTCTTTGTGGCTTATCAAGCTCACCTTTTGGTTTGTCGCTGCTGAACTTTATACTTGATTCTTTTGGATGTGCAGCATGAGGTTTTTGAGATTCCACTTCTCTGTCAGATATGGCTTCTTCTGATTCTTCATTACCATGAAAGGGAATTTTCCTCCTTTTTTCTTGCTGTACTTCTCTTATCTCTGAAATTTTCTCTTTACGTTCGATCTCTGCAGTTCGAACTAACAATGTCTCTTGTGATTTTTCTGTCTCATTATCTGCTAGAACATCTCTAAATTCTTCAGCAACCCCTGTAATTTGATCCATCTTTTCACTTCCATTTTTCTTCATTTTATGCTTCTCATCTTTGCACTCTACAATCTTTGTTCTTTCCCTTTCGCAAGACAACGTTTTTTCCCCATCTTTTTTATTCTGCTTCTCTTCTTCTGCAGTTTCTAATCTTCTCTCTTTTTCGAGCAAATAATGACCTCTGTCCTCATTTAAAGTTTTGAAGTGTTCTTTTCCTTCCAAGCGTTGATCTGAAAGAACGTTTGGTTGCAAAGCTTCTATTTCCTTTGGAAATTCTATTTCAAACTTTTTCTTGTTAACCTCGGATTGCTGAGTTGATGGTGAACTTTTCACGTCAGGTGGTTTGCCTGCTTCATACTCTTCTCCTTCTCTTGATTCTAGCACAGGCTTCTTGGTTTTCGGAAATTTCCACTTCATATTCCTTTTGTCTGATTCAAGAGGCCCTAAGCTTTGCACTTTTACTCTTGGAGGAGGCAAATCCTCCAACCTTGATCCTTCAACTTCGTTCTTTTTCTCAACCTCTTTTCTAAGTTTTGGAGGGGAAACTTTTGCTTCTGGATATTTTGCTTCTTTCTCAACTTCTGATTTTCCAGGATGCTCTTTCTCAGGTGACTTTTGTATTGATTTTGCAACCTGTTTAACTGCATTCTCTCTTCTAAGCTTCTCGTCCTTAACACCTTCGGTTGTTCTCCATTTTTCTATTTCAAGATTTGCCTCTGAGCTTTCGCACTCTTCCCATACTTTCTCTATTTCCTTAACTTCTGACTGTTGAGTTGACATCATACTTTCTCTTTCTTGCACGTCTTTTCCCAATGCTTTTTGCTCTTTTGCCTTGGGCGCTTCTCGCAAAGCTTTTCCGAATTGGTTGGTCTTGTCAATCCTTTTAATCTCTTCCTCTTGACTCTTTCCTTCTATTATAGACTCCTCATCTGCCACAACTTGAGTTTCCTCACTCTTTCTTTTGGCCTCTCTCATTTCTTCTACCTTCGTGTCTTTTGGTCTATCCCCTTCATGAATTGATTCTACCATTTTTGTGGGAAGCTCCTCTACACGATGTTGCGCCTTATGTTTAGTTCCAACCCTGGGATCTTCAGTTTCCTTCTGAGTTTTCACCGTTCTCTCCCTTTTATTATCTTCCACGAGAGGACTAAATAATGCACCTTGTACGTTGTCATTAGTATCTCCTTTTGCTTTCTCAAAAAGAGGTTCAGTTTCTCCGGAGCCTTCTATAAGAGTTTTAGTTTTGTCCCCATTTGCAGCCTCTAAAGTCTCCTCATCAAATTCTCTTTCGTCGCTCGGTTGTCCAGTTTTCAATTGAACTCTGTCCCCTGTTGTGATTTTCTCAAAACCCTCTTTTGTCTCATCGTATTTGTGTACAATCACTTCTTTCACTTTCACTTCTTTCTCTCTCTTTACAATGATCTCTTCTTTCACTTTCAATTCTTTCTCTCTCTGGGCCTTTTTTCCTGACAACTGTTTGGGAAACTTTGCTGTATCAGTCCCCAACTCTCCAAACGCTTTGTTGACAGTATTCTCTTGCACGTGTTGTCCATCTCTAGAGAATCTAATGGCAGACTCTTCAACTTCCTTTTTTCTTGAGTCTCTTGCATCATCATTTCCATTAATCTTGCTTGTTTCCTCAGACATCTCTGATTCTTCTCCTTCAACTTCTTCCAAAATTCCCTCAGCTTCTTGGCTCCGTCTTTTGGCCATGGCTTCTGTGGCCTTTTCAATTTCTTCCAAATTTTCTCCCTTTGAAGTTGCACATTTTGGTATCATGCTATTATCTTCAACCCTGTGAAACTTAGGCTCCTCAATTTCTTTCAGTTCTGCTCCTTCACTTTTGTCTTCATCTCTTTCTATCCCCTCCCTTTCTTCTGATCGAATTGGTAATTTTGGTTCCTGCATAGGAGACTCTTTTATCCTAGTTTCGCTTGCTTCAAATTGTTCATTGCTGATTTCTTCTTTCAACATTTCTTCGTATCTACTTTCACTTTCAAATTTACGAACATAAATTTCTCCCTTTTTCGTCCCTTCAATTGTGTCTTTCCCACTAGCCCCATTTGCACCAGAAAACAACTTTTCAGATACGCCTCCTTCAATAGGAGTAATTTTAGCTTCAAGTTCTTCCTTAGTTTTTGTTCTCACCCTCTCTTCATCTTCGCCTTCAATTGCAAACTCCTTCTTTCCAATTTCTTTTTCTTGTTCCCCTTTGAATACTTCCTCCACCTTTTCTTTGTATTTATCGTCAACTTCAAACTTAATCTCATCAATTTCTCTCTGCTCTGTCCCTTCAACCATGTCTTCCTCACTAACCCCAATTTTTCCGACTAACACTTCTTTGGATTCCCCTCCTTCCATTGCTTCAAGAACTTTCTTATCATTTTCTGTTCCTACCTTTGCTTCCTCTTTCCCTTCAATTTCATACTTAGTTGCTTCACTTTCTCCCTGTTTTGTCTCTTCAACCATGTCTTCCCCACTAGCCCCGATCGAACCAGCAAGCATCATATCAAGCTTCTCTCCTTCTTTTGTAGTGTCTATTGCTTCAAGTCCTTCCTTACTAGTTGCCATTCCCACCCTTTCTTCACCTCTTTCCCTAGTTTCAGAATCAAGCTTTTGAATATCCCTCTTTTGTGTCCTTTCAACTATGTCTTTCACCCTTTCTTTATCTTTATCTTCAATTTCCTTTTGTTTTATGCCTTCGGCTACGCCTTCTTCGCTAACCTCAATTTTTCCACCATCCACTTTTTTGGGTTCCAATCCTTCCATTCTAGTTTCTACGACTTCAAGTTCTTCCTTAGTAGTTTTTCTTTCCTCCCTCCCTTCTTCTTTGCCTTTAGTTTCACTTTCAAGCTTAGCCTGTTCAACCTTTCTCTGCTTATCCTTATCAAGTCTGCCTTGGTCATCAAGCCCAGTTGCCCCAAGAAGCACTTTTTCAGATTCCCTTGCCTTCATTGTAGTGTCTACTACTTCAAGTGCCTCCTTATTAATTTCTCGTCCCTCCCTTTCTTCATCTTTGCCTTCACTTTCAAATTTAGTCTCTTGAATTTCCTTAGCAAGCAAATTTTTAGACTCCTTTCCTTCTATTGTAGTCTCTTTTGTTTCAAGTACTCCCTTACTAATTTCCATTCCCACCCTTTCTTCCTCTTTGCCTTTGCATTCAAATCTAGTCTCTTCAATTTCTTTCTTTTGTGTCCCTTCAGATTTGTCTTCCCCATGAACCTCAAAAGCGCTAACAAGCACCTTTTCAGTCTCCTTTCCTTCCATAGCAGTGTCTATTCCTTCAAGTCCTCCCTTACTAACTTCAGTTCCCACCCCCTTTTTATCTTTGCCTTCTCTTTCAAACTTAGTCTCTTCAATTTCTTTCTTTTGTGTCTTTTCAAGTTCGTCTTCCCCACGAACTTCAAAAGCCCCATCAAGGACCTTTTCATCCTCTCTTCCTTCCATGGTAGAGTCTATTCCTTCAAGTCCGTCCTCACTAATTTCTGTTTCCGCCCTCTCTTTGTCTTTGCCTTCTCTTTTAAACTTAGGCTCTTCGATTTCTTTCTTTTGTTTCCCTTGAATTCTATCTTCACCATTAATCCCATAAGCCCCAACATGCACCTTTTCAGGTTCTCTTCCTTCCATTCTAGTGTCTATTGCTTCAAGTCCTTCCTTTCCGATTTTTGCTCCCGCACTTTCTTTATCTTTGCATACACATTCAAATTTAGTCTCCTCAGTTTCTTTCTTTTGTGTCCTTTCAAGCATGTCTTTCCCCCTTCGTTCATTTCTATCTTCAGCTCCAAACTTGGGCTCTTCAATATCTTTCTGTTCTATCTCTGCAGCTTTGTCTTTCCTACTGACCCCAGTTTTCCTAGCAAGAATCTTTTCAGGTTCCCTTCCTTCCATTGCAGTGTCCGTTGCTTCAAGTCCTTCCTTTCTGACTTTTGCTCCCCCCCTTTCTTCATCTTTGCCTTCACGTTCAGATCTAGTCTCTTCAATTTCTTCTTTTTGTGTCTCTTCAAGTATGTCTTCCACCCTTTGTTCACCTCTATCTTCTTTTCCAAACTCAGGTTCTTCAGTTTCTCCCTGTTCTATCTCTGGAACTTTGTCTTTCCCGTTAGCCACAATTTTCCCAGCAAACACTTCTTCGTATTCCCCTCCCTCTTTAGATGTCTCAGTTGCTTCAAGTCTTTCGTTACTCATTTCTGTTCGCACCTGTTCTTCATCTTTGCCTCCATTCTCAACCTTAAGCTCTCCTATTTCTTCCTCTGGTGCCCCTTCAAATTTTTCTTCTTTAGTGGTCCCAGGTGGCCTGCCAAGCATGATATTTTCACTTTCCTCAAATGGCTGAAGCACAGATTCCTTCAACACTTCTGGGCTTTCTTTTCCAATAGTTTTTGGAATATCATCTGCACTTTCCCCAATTTCTGATTTCTTCATTGCTTCAAGTCTTGGGCTTTCAATTTCTTCCCGGATTTTGTCAGCAGTTACATCGCCATTGGTGGATTCTACAAGCTTCTTATCAGATAATCCTTCTTCCTTTCTAAAAGCACTCTCATTTTCCCCAGTTTCAGAAGCTTTCTGGCTTGACTCACCAAATCCTTCTTGTTTCACCTCTTCAATCTGAACCCCGCAGATCCCTTTCACCAACTTGGGCATGACAATTTTCAATAATGACTCATCTTCATCAAACTTGGCCTTGATCCGATCCAAAACGACTCCACTGGGGATTTTAAAAGCCTTTCTAAACCCAACAACTTCCACATTTTTCTTCAATATTACCCTCCCCATCATCAACATTTCCTGAATTGGCTTCTCTCCACTAATGGAAATCTCCTTGCCATCCTCACTAATCTTGATCTGAAAACTATTTCTCTCGTAACCTGCAAATTTCATTAAGGCTTACTGTGGTACACTGGACACAAAAGTTCCTAAACCATCTAGTATTCAGAGCGTTTCATCTTCCAAGAATTAAATATCTTAGTTGAGTGGCATATAAAAGAATTCTCAGGAATCAAAACTAGGAAGGAAGAAACAACATATATGTATATATGCATCGAGGATTGAGAGAAAAATAGAATGACCTTTGAGATAGCAAGTGAGGATGAAGGAGGCGCGAGTTTCTGTGGAGACGAAAACTGGGCCTGCAACGTTTTTGGAAATGCGAAGCTCAGAGACAGAAGTGGCATTCTCAGGGGCTCTGGTTCTAGTGACCTTGAGTCCAAGTTCAAGCGCCATAGCTGATTAAGTTGCTGTGTTGTGTCACATAAAAAAAATAAAAAAAAAGAAGGAAATGAGAAAGGCTTCTTGGTTAGTAGTGAAGAAGAGTCTGAAAATGGAAGCGGTGGTTTAGCTCCAGCAAAAGAGAAAGGTATATATTCATTTCTTCCTCACTCTGACACAGTGCTCGCCGTCACCGTATCAGTTATTAATATTATGCGCGCAAGTGTGCAACGGGAAGGGAATTAATTTCCTTTTGAACAAAAAATTAATGTAAAATATATAAAAAAAGATCAATAGTAACCAAGATTTACGAGTAGTGACAAAATTTGACTTGCATAACAGACTTTGAGTGCTTTGTTTGTGTGCAGTTTTTTTAAAAATATTTATTTTACTCATTTAACAATTATAATTTATCACTTCAATAATTTTTTTATTTATGAGATCATAGATAGAAATGTTTAAAAATATACACACAAGTTAACAGTTTAGAACATGCTTAACTATACAATGGACTAATTAACATTTTAAATATTGCTTACTATTTTATAACTTCTGGGTTACATTGTATGTGCAGAATTACAAGGCACACTACCCCACAAGTTAAAAATCCAAAAAGAAGAAAAGCGTTTTCCAATAAAGCAGCTACAAAATGAGGATCATGATGACCTGCACGCTGCACGATAAAATAAATAACTAAAACTGAGGATCATGGTGACCTGCACGCTGCACGATTCTTAATATGTCGACCGAATAAATAATTGCATTGCTTTATATTAGAAAATAGGAATATAAAGTAGTATTATAGTATAGTATTTATAGGTTATGGCACTAATGGCTTCTGTTACCCGCGCCGACACTAGAGAGGGCAAATAGGGCACTAAAGCCCGTTGATCTGATAAAGAACGTAGGAGTAGTTCGTATTTATTCCCCAGCTTTTTTTTTTGGTGAAATTATTCCCCAACTTTGTTTCTCATACCACACTTTTGTCTCGTCAGGCCCAAAAAAAGGAAAAAAAACAACGATACTTTTGTCTTTCGATTCCTCTCCTCGGAACCTGTGGGATTCTATCACTCCAATGTGTCGGCCAAAAAAAAAAAAAGAGATCAATCCAATATCAAATTTACTATTACTGTGTTTAATGAGAGTTTTGCGTGATTTTTCCCCAGTCGAATGAAAAATAATCAACACTCACTCGGCTGGAAGAAGCTAAGCCACGATTTTTTTTATTATTCTTTTATAAGCTTAGATTTTTTAAATGGGTTTAATTTTATTTATTTATAATCTACTTTAGATATATCTTAACATTTTATGTTTTTTTTTAATCTTTACTTCTAATCAATTATATGTTTTTTTAAATCTTTTTCCACTTATTCTCTCTCCCATTTGCACTCTCCATAAATAAAGATGTCTAGTGTAATTTAGTTATTTGAAATTTATAAAAAGAATTGGAGGAAATATTATAATTATAATTGTTTATTGACTAATACAATGAAAATGTGATCATTTATATGTATAAATTAATATATATTATTTTCCCCCTAAATGAGCAAAGAATAGAAATAATTTGCGACTAAAATTTCAGTATGGCTCCATTGAGTCTTGAGTCCAATTTTCAGTCGCTCTGATGGACGACTATTGAGGTGCTAATTGCAGTTTGCATCCAAACATTATTTCTTCACATCATGATCTCATATTATAAAAACAATAAAACAATTTTTCTCCCACTAAGTTTTAATTTGTTTTCTCCTCTAATTTGTTTACATCTTCTTCCCTCTGAACCAGTAATTGATCTGATGCTTTCCTTTGTTCACGCTGAAAAGTGAAACAATATAATAACATGCCATGTCTGGTTGGGTCACCCCTCTTTAATTTCTTCTTCACTGTCTTGTTACTATCAAATTTGGATGCCATGATAACCTTTCTTTCTTTTGGTTCCTTTGACCTCATCCTTCTCCTTATAAAAGAAAATGAAGCGGGGAAAACCATGCCTTAATTCTAACATCATAATGAGTATATATAATTTAACCAATTAAGCAACCTATAATCATATGTTGATCACAGGTAGCCTAGCTATGTGAATTGTGAGATTACCAAGTTTGAAGTTGAGGAAAGTAGTGGCATTAACAAATGGAACATACATAATTATTGCATTTACTTAAATATCATCACTGAGAAATCAAAACCTTACAAGTCTATCTTTTTTCAACTCTTTTATGACGAATGAACAAAACTACAAGAAACACAACAAAGGCTGATCCTGCAATGAACAAAGGACCATGCAACATTTTTCTCTCTCCATTTTCTTTGAATTGGCTTCCTCTTCTCTCTTCTACTTCATGGGAGATTTCCACGTTCACTTCATCTCTTTGTTCTTGAGCTTTTTCCTCTTCTCTAATTGCTTCCACTTGGATATCTTGCAGTTCATGATCTATTTCCTTCGGGATTACCACGTAGACTCCATCTCTTTGTTCATTAGCTATCTCCTTTTCACTTTCTTCCACTTGGATATCTTTAAGTCCATCTGATCCATGATCATCAACCTCCACTTCAACTTCATGTTCTCCATGGCTTTCTCTCTGCCCAATGACCTCATGATTGTCATTATGTGGACCTGATGGGGACTCTAGTTGTGATCTTCTCAATAGGTTAGCATCAGAATCTTGCTTCTTTGGTCCTTGAGATTGTTGATTTCCACTTTCATCACCGCGTTCGTTGTCATAGGTTTTACCTTTTTCTTCATCTACTGTTTCTTCAAATATTTCGACTTTCTTTTTTGCTTGAGACCTTTCCTTACAGCTTTCATCTTTGACTTGTCTAAATAACATAGGCTCTTCAATATCTGTCTGTTCTTCCCCTTCTGTCATCTCCACAACAATGTCAGTTTCATCTTTGACTTCTTGAAGTGGTTCTTCTGGTTCCTTGGGAAGCTCTTTCACTTTCGTTTCCATTGCTTCTTCTTCAAACCCCTCCTTACCAATCTCTTCCATTTGATTTGAATTTCCCATGCCTTCAAATTCCTCCTCCGTTCCTTCAGCGGTCACATCTACATCTCTATCTTCAATTTCATACTTAGGTTCTCCAATTTCTTTCACTTTTCTCACTTCAATTATGTAGTCTTCCTTCCTAGTATCTTCTTCTTCCACCATCTCTTCTTTTGTGTCTTCAATTTCTTTCTCTTTTCTCCCTCCAATTATTTCTTCATCAACTTCCGTACCTAGTACTCCATTATCACTTTCCTCTAATGATTGAATCACAATATGTATATTAGAAATTTCTTGGTTTTCATATCCTGTGTTCTCTGGAATACGGTCTTCTACATTGATATTTTGCTCTACTTCTGAATTCTTCACTTCTTGGGCTTCTTCTTTGCCATCCTCTTCTCTGTGATCATTTTCTCCATATGTGTTTCCAATTTCAAGTACCCTAGGGTTTTCACTTAGATCATGAACCTTCAACTCTTTGATGACTTTGTGGCTTGACTCTCCAAATTCTTCTTCCTTTACCTCTTCAACATGAACCCCACAGATCTGTTTCACAAATTTGGTCATGCATATTTTCAGTACAGATTCCTCTTCACTGTACTTGGCCTTGATCTGATCTGGAACCACTCCATTAGGGATTTTGTAAACCTTCCTAAACCCTAAAATTTCTTCCTGATTCTTGCCCATTACCTTCCCCATAATCACCAGCTTCTGAATTGGTTTCTCTTCATTTGTGGAGCTCTGATCTCCACCTTCGTCCTTGATTTTGATGATCTCAATACTATTTCTCTTGTAACCTTCATTTTTCATAAATACCTTGTCATGTATATTCAAGGTAAAAAAAAAAAGACAAAAAGAAAATCCCAAAAGAATTGAGATTATCAACTTTATGACTTATGAATATATGATATATCTACTCTTGATTTTGGATGAGAAGAATGATAGTTTACTTAGAGTTAACAGAGTATGATTTAGTAAAAAAATTAAAAATGGATGAAAATGTTGTTACATATGACTTCAGAAAGAGAAATGGTATATTTTAGAACGGATAATAAGAAGTTTGTATTATAAAAAAGTTGCATTTAAACTTTGATTTCAATGCTGTGTAATTAATTTGACAATGTAGAAAAGGTTTATATGTAATATATATATATATATATATATATATATATAGTGCAATTTATTATGAAACATTTGAACCCTGAAACATTTCACACATTTTGGAAGACCAAAAGTCACAAAAACATATATATGAACTACATGTATGAATAAAACTTGCGATAAGATAGAAAGGTAGAGAAACCTTGGAGACGGGCAGAAAGGATGAACATGGAAGGAGTCTCTCTGCACCAGAACACTCCCTCTTCTCTATCTTTCGCTATCCAAAGCTCACATCCAACACTTTCATTTTCATCATCATCTTCTTCTTCTCTGCTTCTTCTGATCATTTTGTCCCTTAATTCAAGCTCCATTAACACAGACACACAGCCCAAAGCAAAAAAGTAAAAAAGTAAAAAAACTGCCGATCGATCGGGTTGCTGATTCCTATGTGTATATATGTATGTATATTATCTATAACTACATGAACAAGGAAAGGATTTTAAGAAAGATAGAAAGAGTGGAAGAGAAAAAGTGAGATTGCTTTAATGCGTAAAGGGAAATGTCACATAACTGAGAGACGACAGCATAGATTCATTTCTTGCCCATCCATACAGTGTCGGCACCCCACCTGTGGAGCCCCCCCCCTATTGACCACTTCCATATTTTTTTCATTTTTCTCTTCTTCTCAGTTTAAATCATTTCAATCAAATTTTAACAAGTTCAAATTAACTTTCTGTTTTGATATATTTCAGTAAAAACCCATAAAATATGAATCCTCCAGTTTAATCTAAACAGTCAACTAAATTGAGAAAGAATTAGAGAGAGAGGGAGAGATATTCAGATTTCTGGTATTTAAATAAATATTTCAATACGTTGATAACTTAGGGCATGTGACCTGTGACCTTCCTCCTAACAAGAATTTTGAGGATCTCCTTAGGGCTATTGTGGCACTTAGGTTGTTGAAAACTTGTACTTATAATTAATATCGTGATATTTTTTTATTATGAGAGTCATGGGTGTTTTCTTTTTTACAAGAAAAAAGTGTGGGTATTATCAAGCTATCCCAATTTGAATTTTCTTGAATTCACATTGTTCAAATCTCACACACAATTATTTATTTTATTTTATGGTCATGAAGACTCTATGAGATTAATTTTAAATTTAATATTCTATTTATAATTTTCTTAAGAGGTGAAACCTAAAATTAATCAAAACCAAAAGACTTGCAGACCATTAACATATTTTTCTAAACAGTTTGAGTAGAGCTCCTGCTCACATCATTCCACCACACCTAGCTAATTGCCATAAGCCCGTATGACTTATTAACACAGTACTATCTTTCACACAATAAAGACGGAATTTGTAAACACACCCCCTCCCATTTTATTTATTTTTAAAGCACCTTAGCTAACATTACAAGCTCCAAGCTCACGCAAGATGCTAGGCGAAGCCAAAGCTAGCAGCACTCTCTTTTTAGAACCGACCTCCACGTGCATCTTCAGAGCTGCCGAATCTTCCGCCTTCCCTACCACCGGAACTGCCAAAACCACCGGAACGCTCATTGTCACCACCGAAAGATGATTCCTTATAACCAGTTTCGGAAAAGCCACCATTGGAACGCTCATTATCACCGCCGCCGTAACCACCACCAAAAGATGAGTTGTGGCCACCGCCAGTTTCAAAGTTACCACCTGCACTGCCAAAGCCACCGGAGCCCTCATCGTCACCACCAAAAGATGATTCCTTCCGCCCAGCTTCGGAAAAGACTCCCCCGGAACGCTCCTTATCATCACCGTAACCACCACCAAAAGATGAGCTGTGACGACCGCCAGTTTCAAAGTTACCACCTGCACCGCCAAAGCCACCGGAACGCTCATCGTCACCACCGAAAGATGATTCCTTGCGACCAGCTTCGGAAAAGCCACCCACGGAACGCTCATTATCACCGCCGTAACCACCAAAAGATGAGTAGTCGTGACCGCCAGTTTCAAAGTTACCACCTGCACCACCAAAGGATGATTTGTTCTCATGAGAAAAGCCACCGCGCTCATTGTCGTCACGGCCACCACCGAAGGACGACTGGTTGAAGCCGCCGGATTCGGAATCACGGCCACCAGCGTCGGGACCACCGAAGGATGAGTAGTCGTGTTGTTGGCGAGACATGATGATGATGAGGAGGAGAAATTAATGGGAAGGAAATATAATGCAGATGAAGAAACAGAGAAGAAATTTCAGAAATGGGTGTGAGTTGAAGCAAATAAGAATAATGTTTTTGAGATATTTATAGAGGAAACATGGCCAGTTTCATGGATGACCGCAGATAACCTCAAGGAAGATAAGATCGCGGAGAAAATATCTGGCTGTACGCTAAGGTAAATGGGTACACGTGCTTTTATGCTTACAAATATCATTTCGGACGCGTATACAGTATACACACACACGCACAAGCATCCAACAACCATAGCCAATCAGCTCATGCATGGGCCCCATAACGTGCTGGTGTTTTTTTGTTAAAAAAATTGTTAAAATCAACACACTACCCCATCTTTGATATAAAAGCTAATTTAGCTTTTAGTTTAGTTATTAATGTAAAACCTCAATCCACTTTATTTGTCATAATTATCTATTTTTTCTTAAGATAGTCCTTGTAGTAATAGTAATTCTAGCAAATATACTTGATTAGTAAGGATATTTTAAGAAAGACAATAATTATTTATTATAAACAGCTTACCTAACTAATTTTCTTAATATAGTCAAATTAATTAACTGGTTCTTATATTAAAGAGCGGAAGTAGTATAATAGTAGTAGCAGACCGTAGTAATAATAATAAATATAACATCTATAATATTTTTTTTAGGTTAAATATGTTTAGTTTTAAAACACAGACATAAATATGGGAATTGAATTGATCAAACACAGTCTCTGGTTAACCAAATTGCATGCTCATGTTTTAAGTACTATTTTTAGGTTTAAACTCCAACAAAGTTTTATTTTAATAAAATTAGCTCAGACAATACATTTAAATATAAATCATACAAGTTTTTTATATTTATTATGTCAAGTTTTACAATCACACATGGTAATATATGTGCAAAACTTGACATGATAGATAGTTGGTATGAGTATTTTCTTTTAAATCTCACATTTTCATTGTCCCAAAAAACATATCATAATTACGGCCGACAAAAAGAAAAAATCTTGGGTGTGAGCGGAGAATCCAAGAGAGATATAAAGCCAGGGACCATAGAAATGCTGCGGGAGAAAGGACGAGGAAACTAAATGAAAGGTCGATTAAGAGCCCATTATATTGGATCCAGTATCCACTTGGGCTAAAAAAAAAAAATCAACCGACACGTTATGAAGCAGGTAGTAAATCAGATTTTGAATTGTACCCCAAACAAAAAAATCAGATTTTGAAGAGTAGAAAGTAGAAATTAATCAATTAATTAAAATAATTATTGAAAGGAAAAAAAGATGCAAAAATCACAGGTATCTCTATCTGATTGAAGTCGATAACGAGAGTCTTGTGGTGTAGAAAACATTAATCAGTCATTCACAAGTTCCCTCTCACCCGATCCATGGGCAACCATAGCCACCTCAACAAACATGTCCTTTTATTTAATTTTGAATTCAATGTTCATTAATTCATTCAGTAGGCTAGCTGTTTCATTTACTCCCCAACGAATTCAAAGTTAATCATTCCATCTAATTAAACCTTTTTTCTTTTATGTTAATGTTAGCTATAATACCTTTTCTATCTAAATCACGCGCATACTAAGAAAAATTAATGACTTATAAATATATTTTCCTTGATTTTAGTAAAATATGTTAAAATCAACATGTGAATGGTTTATATTTGATTTCTTTTTTCGGCCGTGGAATAGATAAGTGTATGATAGATTAAAATCAAATTGCATTCTATCCTCAGTTGAAATTTAATTTTATAATCTGTTTAGCCCTTGATATCACAGTTTAATAAATTTCAACATGATTTAACTGGTACGTAACAAGAATGTCTAAATGTGGAGTATCATTGTTTGAAATTATATATATCACAACATTTAACATTGAGATATTTTTTTAGGTAGTGCTTCCCATTCAATCACACCTCAGCCACATGAAACGAGTGAACACCGATGCCTCTCCCTCACTTTAATCTATTATTGTCAAATCATATTCAATGTTCTCTCTCTCTCTCTCTCTCTCACACACACACACACACGCGCGGCCACCCGCCACCCGCCACCCGCCCAACACACACACACACACACCCACATGGATCCTATATATTTCTTTCCAATGTTCATTATGAATGATCTCTCTGGACTTAATTATGCAAAAGACAAATTAAAACAAAAATCATATAATTTTAGAATAAGTTATTTTCAAAATGTTTAACAAGAAACAAGAAAAATCTTAAACTCTATTAAATCTGAATTAAAATTTAACAACTTTTTAAACTTTATCTTATTTCATATACATTATGCCCAATAAAAAATAAAACCAACATAATAATAAATAAAGGTAGACCTGTATATTTATATGAAAAATTTGTGTCTCTATCTTATTAATAGTACCAAAAAATTTCTTCCCTCCTTACCATGTAAATAAGATTGGAGGAGTAGTAAATATATATAGCAAGTCGCTTGCCCATCTTCCATCTCTAATATATAGGTAATTAATTGTTCTCCTTGATAGCGATGAACTTTTGCTATAAACTAACTAATGCATCTATTTTATCCCGAGCGATCATCACGGAAGAAACTGCAATTGATGAGCTTTCCTCACGTAATTACCAACATAAGTACGTTGTTGCAATAATTAATGAAGCAAAAAGAGATCAGGAATTGCAAAAATCAATTGACTGTGAGAGAAATTTTAAACTACTCTTTCGATTATAAATATAAAATCTATTTTATAGTGTAAATTATACTATAAAATGAGTCTTATATTTAAAATTAGGAAAGTATTTTTTATTGTATTTGCAAAAATAATAAGTTATAAATAGAGAATGAGGCACGGGGTATTAGGGAAAAGACCAAGGTCAATCAGTTTAAAAATTTAATGATCTTCGGAATAATAGTAGTATGACACTGTGACCTTGGAGCCCCCACATTATGTCTCTTGTCTTTTTCCCCAAATACAATCTAATTAGCCCGCCCTTCTTTACCCAAAAAAAAAAAAAAGACTTGCCTTCCCACCATCTGGCGACACTTGGGGGCCGTAGTCCCTCAAGTTTTTTTTTTTAATTTTTACTCTTCTATCATACTTATAAGAATTAGTTGACTAATTTAAAGAGATTAAAAAAATAAATTAAGTTAGTTTTTTGTAATAAATAGGTGTTGTTTTTTCTAAAATATCCTTGATAATCAAATGTATTAGTTAGAACCACTATTATTAAAAATACTACCTTAAAAAAAATACATAAATATAAGAAACAAAATATATTAGAATCTTATATTTAAAATAAAAATAAAAATTAAAGAAAGTATTATATTAAAGATCCGATGAAGCATTATAAATTTATACTCCTTTCGTCCTAAAAGGACCGGAGGAGTATATTTTTTGAATACCATCCACCTCATATCTAAATCCTAGATCCCCTCATCAGTGGAAGCTGTCATATGCTAACGGCAATGGGTAGATCCGTAGATCGGTAAAAACAAACAATTTCCCTTTTTTTTTTTTCTTGTCGATTGGATTGTGCGGTGTGTGCGCATAATACTTCCCTCAGTCCCTACATATGTTCTTCATCTGTTTCAAGTTACAACAGAAAACTTTTGTTATATGCACGATTCGTACATTAGAGAGAGTCTCATAATTAAAGCGTGATTTAGGAAGAGTTGTCTTATATATAAACTTGTATTATGGGTGGATTTGATTCTGGAACGGGTTTTGTTTTTGTGTATGCGTGAATGATCCAGAACTAGAAGTGATCTTGAACATAAACTGAATCCCAGTAGTACAACATACACGTATAGATGAAGATAAGGACATACATATATATATATATAGATGTATGAAATTGAAAGCAACAACAAGACACGCAACCTGCAAATCACTCAAATACACAAGGGGAGGGTTATTCAGCGACACGGGCATGGTGGAGCCATGTAAAGTAGGAGAATTGGAGATGCATAAAACATACAACAGACTCAAATCAGAAGAAAAGCCAGAAGCAGATCAAAGTTGAAGACGATCGACGTCGACCCATCGTTATGATCCATCAGCCGAAGAGATGGTGGTGCTTCTTTTCATGACTTCCACCCTCCTCTTGTTCCTTTGATTCCTTCTTCTCATGATGTTCATGGAAGGCGAACCCCCCAGCTCCCACCGCCCCCACCGCCGCAACCTCCTCTGCTATCCTGTGCTTCTGAGCATTCTCTGGGTCCTTATCTGCCTGGTGCTTCTCATACTGTCACACATCCATCACCATTACTCAGCCATTTGAATCATATACTATTGTGTTGTTATTCCTTTCCATTTAAATAAATAATATATCAAAATATTAATACAGATTTAAAATTTCTATCCATCAAATTTAGACATTTTAAATCGCTTGCTTGATTACCAGCAAAGAAAATTAATTACCAAGGCATAAGCACCAGCCGCTGCAGCACCAAGCCCGCCGAGCTGCTCAAGATGCTTGTGGTGCTTCTCCTCCTTCTTGTAATCCACCTCAGACTTCTCACTCTCGCCGCCGTACCCACCACCGCCTCCGGAACCGTACTCCCCGGTTTTCTCACTCTCACCGTACCCACCACCGCTGGTCTTATCAGAGTATCCTCCAGCACCTCCATACCCTCCGCCAGTGGTGCTGTCAGAATATCCACCGGCGCCGCCGCCATATCCCCCCACCTTCTCAGTCTCGCCGTACCCACCACCGCTGGTTTTTTCAGAGTATCCACCGTCACCACCGCCGTATCCCCCGACCTTCTCAGTCTCGCCGTACCCACCACCGCTGGTTTTTTCAGAGTATCCACCGGCACCACCGCCGTATCCCCCGACCTTCTCAGACTCACCATACCCGCCACCGGTGCCACCGTAGCCGCCACCGCTCTTGTAGCCAGCAGACGGCTCATCGCCGGAGTAGCCTGTCTTTCTGTAACCTGAATCCGTGTCGCCGTAGCCACCGGAGGGTTTGTCGGAGGAGTAAGAAGAAGGCCTGTCGCCACCATAAGCGGTGTCGGAGTAGGAGGAATCCAGGGGCTTGTCATCATCGTCCTTCTTGTGGTGGAAGAGACCGCGGCTGTGGTGCCTCTCTTCAGCCATGAAGGATGAACTGAAAGTGAAGTGTAGATGAGTGATGAAGAAGGTGAAGGAGAGGGGCCGGATGAGATGGGAGAAAGGGGAAGGGGATGCAGACGCATTTATAATAAGCGATGGGAAGGATCATGTCGACGACCTATTGGCTATTTCCCTCTTTCTTCGTCAGCCATCAATGATCTTCTTGCAATCTGGGTCCCTGTGTATTCTTTACGTTCTCCATTTTCCTCTAAAGGAAACGGCGGAAAAAATCTATTTCTTGCAAACTCGCTATTCACGCGGATGATCCGTAAGAAAACAAATTCCATCCCAAATGTGAGATTCTTATTTTTAAAAAAAATTGATTCTCTGATTTCAAATAAAGCAAATACATTATTGAAACGAAAACTACAACATTAACTGATGACCGGCCATGACAAACTTTTTATATTAATTTATATATAATGAATTTGACATGTTTTGAAATATTATTTCTGAATATGAATATTACGGTTTTATTACTATAAATTTATCAAGGTGCACCATTAAAAATAATAACTGACATGAAAATGGGTGTGACAGTTATAAGAGAGTCGTTATCAAAATAGGTGATGAGTAGATATTGAAACTAGACATTTAGAGGGGACACGTTTTAATGATAATTAAGTATTCAATTTTTTGGGCCATGAATTAAAGAGGACCCCGCTTCTTATAATTCACTTCCTCTTCTTTTTATTATAAGTTTTAAATAACTAATTTATTAATAATAAATAGTAATTAGTTGAAAATAATAAAATTGGTTAGAAATATATTTTTATTTTTAAATATATCTTTATAATAAAAGAAAAATAATTCAGGAAAATCTTTTTAAAAAAATGTATTAAATGTTAAGATAGATATAAATTAAAACTTATAAAATAGACCACGTTTTTTTTCAAATTTGAAACTTATAAATACGATTAAAATTTTTTTAAGATTAAAAAAATTAGTTGAATGATAAAAATTTTTTTTATAATTTTCAAAATCATCTTTAGATTTGGGAGGTTCATTAAAAAGGTCATAAACAAACACTTGCCTTTTTTTTTTTTTAGGTCAATTGGATTGTGCGGCGTTTACGTGTGTGATTCTGCCCTCTAATCCTTATCTCGAAGTACAACATACTTTATATGAAGCATTAATTTTTTTCACATAGTATCCTTAATTAACTATAAATTTTTTCTAACTAATTAATTAAAGTCTTCTGACTAGTGATTTTTATAGAGGATAATTTCATAACAAGTTTTAACTAGCTCAGTTAGTTTGATTTATGTAAAGTTACTATTAGGTGCTTAGAATACGAATAATGAGAGTATCGTACGTGGGAAGACATGGCTATGCGTGTGTGTGTGTTCTCCATTTGTTTCAATTTACAATTAAAAACCATTTGTCCTATGCATTATTCCTATAGTAGAGAGATCTCATAATTAAAGTGTGATTTATGAATTTTTGCACTAGTCTTTTCAGTTAGGAAGAGTTATCTTATAAACTTGTATTATTGGTGATCTAGTCTGATTTTGGTATGGGCTTTGTTTCTGTGTATGCGTGTATCAGGTAAAATAATAACAAATGTAACTAAAAGTATTAATCCTCTGATCTTATTTAGAAGACAGAGATAAGACATTTTTTTTATCTTATTTATAAAATACTGAGAGAAATGTTTCGTATAGATGTATAATTTTATTCTAGGGGTGTGCATGAAACAAACTGGATTGGGCTTGTTATTAACCCGAAGTCTAGTCCAGTAAAGATCTCGGGCTGAAAAATACAACCCAAGATCTGGTCCCGTCCAGTACCAACCGGATGTGGGTTGGACTGGATTTGGTCTTTTGGACTGCTTAGACAGTCCAGGACCTAAATCTATTTTTTAAAAAAAAAATTTCTTCAATATGAGGTAAGATTGTAATTTATTGTATAAAATTTTGCATATATTTTAATCCAAAGTTCATCAAATTTAATCATTCTCTTTCAATTTTTCAATAATGTCATGTTTTATTTATTAATCCTCATTAATATAGATCTAATATTGCAAAAAATATACACATGCTTATTACTTTGAAAGTTAATAGATAAATCTTGATTATTTGAATAGGCAAAAAACTCATATAGAAAAATTAAATCAAATTAAAATTATATAAATAATAATTTAAAAAAAACCAGGCTAGACTGGACTGAACCAACTAGTCTGAAAGGCCAATCCCTAGTCCAGTCCAACTTGATGAGACTAGTCCAATCTAGTCTAGTCTAATCTTGTTTCGGACCAATTTTTTCTAGACCGGACTAGATCGGGTTGGACCGAACCATATTGGACCACCGGGTTTTTATACAGCCTTATTTTATTCTTCATTTATTATTATGTTAACTTTGTTTAAATGAAAGTTAACGAAATTTAAATTTTTTCTTAATTTATGTGAAACATGTTAAAAATGACTTATAAATTATAAATAAAATTAGACGAGTAGATATTAGTACATCATAACATATATATATAGAGAGAGATGAAAATAGGGACATACAGATGTATGAAATTATGAAAGCAACAGCAAGAAAAGCAATCTACAGACCACTCACATACACAAGGGAAGGGTTATTCAGCGACACACATGGTGGAGCCAAGTAAAGTGCGAGAATTAAAGATGCATAAAACATACAACAGACTCAAATCGATCAGAAGAAAAGCCAGAAGCAGATCAAAGCAGAAGACGATGGACGTCCACCCATATATGTATATGCTCGTATGATCCATCAGCCGAAGAGATGGTGGTGCTTCTTTTCATGAGTTTCACCGTCGTCTTCCTTCCCTTGCTCCTTTGCTTCCTTCTTCTCATGGTGTTCGTGGAAGGCGAACCCCCCGGCTCCCACCGCCGCCGCCGCCGCAACCCCCTCTGCTATCTTGTGCCTCTGAGCATTCTCCGGGTCTTTATCCGCCTGGTTCTTCTCATACTGTCACACAGCCATCACCATTTTTCACAATTTCACATATGTGATATGTCACAATATAAATGCAAAAATTAAAAATTTCTATGCATCAAAATTTGAGATTTTAAATCGCTTGATTATCAGCAAAGAAAATTAATTAATTACCACGGCATAAGCACCAGCAGCTACAGTGCCAAGTGCGCCAAGCTCCTCAAGGTGCTTGTGGTGCTTCTCCTCCTTCTTGTAATCCACCTCAGACTTCTCACTCTCGCCGCCGTACCCACCACCGCCTCCGGAACCGTACTCCCCGGTTTTCTCACTCTCACCGTACCCACCACCGGTGGTCTTATCAGAGTATCCTCCAGCACCTCCATACCCTCCAACTTTCTCAGTCTCACCGTACCCTCCGCCGGTGGTGCTGTCGGAATATCCACCGGCACCGCCGCCATATCCCCCGACCTTCTCAGTTTCGCCGTACCCACCACCGCTGGTTTTTTCAGAGTATCCACCGGCACCACCGCCGTATCCCCCGACCTTCTCAGACTCACCATACCCGCCACCGGTGCCACCGTAGCCGCCACCACTCTTGTAGCCACCAGACGGCTCATCGCCGGAGTAGCCTGTCTTTCTGTAACCTGAATCCGTGTCGCCGTAGCCTCCGGAGGGTTTGTCGGAGGAGTAAGAAGAAGGCCTGTCGCCACCATAAGCGGTGTCGGAGTAGGAGGAATCCAGGGGCTTGTCATCATCGTCCTTCTTGTGGTGGAAGAGACCGCGGCTGTGGTGCCTCTCTTCAGCCATGGAGGATGAACTGAAAGTGAAGAAAAGTGTAAATGAGTGATGAAGAAGATGAAGTTGATCAAGAAGGTGAAGGAGAGGAGCTTGATGAGATGGGAGAAATGGGAAGGGGATGCAGACGTATTTATAATAAGCGATGGGAAGGATCATGTCGACGACCTATTGGCTATTTCCCGCTTTCTTCGTCCGCCATCAATGATCTTCTTGCAATCTGGGTCCCTGTGTATCCTTTACGTTATCCATTTTCCTCTAGCAGAAACTGGGGAAAAAATATATTTCTTTGAAACTCGCTATTCACACGGATGATCCATAAGAAAACGAAGCGGAAAGTATTTTCCATCCCAAATGTGAGGTTCTTATTTTTTTTAAAAAAAAAAAAATTGATTCTCACTATTGAAATGAAGACTACAACATTAACTGATGACCATGACAAACTTTTTATATTAATTAATATATAATGAATTTCACATGTTGTTTTGAAATATTATTTCTGAATATGAATATTACGGTTTTATTATAAATTTATCAAGGTGCACCATTAAAAACAATAACTGACATGAAAATGGGTGTGACAGTTATAAGGGAGTCGTTATCAAAATAGGTGATGGGTAGATATTGAAACAATAAATTTGGGGGGGCACGTTTTAATGATAATTAAATATTCAATTTTTTGGGCCATAAATTAAAGAGGACCCCGCTTCTTATAATTTACTTCTTTTTTTATTATAAGTTTTAAATAACTAATTTATGAATAATAAATAATTAGTTAAAAATAATAAAATTGATTAGAAATATACTTTTGTTTTTAAATATGTCATTATAATAAATGAAAAAAATAATGAAAAAGAATGTGTGAGAAAATATGACAAAAGAGAAATAATTAAGGACGACATTAAAAAAATACATTAAATGTTAAAATAGATTCAAATTGAAACTTATAAAATGAACGATATTTCTTTTTAAATTTAAAACTTATAAATACAAAATAAAAATATCTTAATAATTAGTTGTACATATTTAATTAAATATGATGGATGGGAGCCTTTGGTTCCCCATGGTAGCCGTAGCCAACAGTTTTTGGGGGCACTGGCACGTTTGATCCACTGTACATCATATAAAAGAACAAGAGAATAAAATTTTAAAATATATATCCCTTTTTTTATCAGCCACAGAGCAAACTTTATTAAACGAAGATAAAAAGATTACATAAATCATAACTAACTTGCAGGTCACATGTCACAAAGAAAATTGGATGGGGTAAACAAACCGAAAGTAATCCGGTCAAAAAAAAAAAACAAACAAACCGAAAGTAAAAACCACACTGGAAAGTGAAAAAAAAAAAAAAAAGGTATGCTCCCTGATCCGTATCCCTTGAAAAACCAATCCTCACACGTACATAACTTGAAAATATTAAAATACAAAATCTTGTTCGTTTCTTTCAATTATAAGGGCTCTGGACTCGTCATGCCGTGTGACAAGTCAAAGAACACTTAAAGATGTACCGTATTCCTTATTCATGACAGAAAAATCATTGAATAACATTAGATTCCATAAAATTAATCTGCTGCTTTTCCAAAACGCTGTTAGTTTTCTTCCAATAAATAATATTCCTAATTTAATGAATTCTTAGAATCGAAAATAATTTAATGCGGGGCAAAATATGAAATAAAAGATTTAATGCATTCTCAGGATCTAAAATTGACATGCATGATAAAATATGAAAAAACAAAATTTACAATAAATAATATTTATTAGATCCATAATATAAGAGTTAGAGATTAAAAAAAGCTAAATAAATTACTTAATTCTAATAAAATCGGTAACATCTCTCCAAAATACCCTAAATATAATTATCAATTTATAAATCAGATAAATTAGTTAAAAATAAGTGATAAATATGAGAAATTAAAACGATTAAAATCTGTATTCAGACTAAAACCAGTTCCAGAACTAACTTTTATATTTAACTAGTATGCAAAGAGTATGAAACGGAGGGAGTATACATGATCATATACGTTGAATAAAACCGCACTTGTGTAAATTGGCTTCATGAAAATAGGGATTAGTATCTCTCTTAAGCTGCTTTTTGTAGCGGGGAACAGTGGTAATTAAGGCGTGAAGCTGTAAATGATGATACGACTCGTCTTCTTCAATCCTCCCAAGTCTCCTATAATGACCCCACCTCAATGTCGGTCCAATCATGCAAATTTTTTTCTTTTCTTTTTTTTAAAATGACATTGCATCCTTGTACAGTATCCCGGGCCGGACAAAATATCGTGATAAAAATTATATCCAGGGTCTTTATAACAATTATATCCTATTTATAAAATACTTCTAGTATGTTTTACATAGATCAAAAAAATTTTTAAACTATATTAACTTTTTATTAAAATATAGTAACTTTTCAACTTTACTCCTATTTAATATATGCACATTTCAAAAAAAATAATTACCTACACTATAATAAATGAATAACAAGATAGTACATTCATGGTAAAAATTTAATAACATGACTTATAAATAGGGGAAAAAAATTGGAGTACATGGTAAATTTTTAACTTATTTTACATTTAAAGTTAACCTTTTTTCGTGCCTTACTATTGGAATTTTTTTTGTTAACATAATCACAGAACAAAGTTGATGCCATGTTATCATATAACATAAATATATTGATGATAAGCCAGAACAATTTGTTTTATTTCTTGAGAGAGACTCTCTTATTTTGTATATAAGAAGATGATTCTGTCGATTGCGATTTGAAAGCGAGTCAAGAATATGTGCGAAATTTTTTTTAAAGATCGATATAAAATTAATTAGAAAGATAATCTGTGATAAATAAATGGGAAGAAAGAGTGAAATATATAATGGGAGGAGGATGGGGAGCACTGGAGCAGTGAGAATTAAGAAAGAAGTGAGCGAAGTTTGGGGAGAAACATCAGGCGGCAAAAAAAGTTGGAGAAATAAGAGAGCCAACAAGTTCAGCATTATTTAGCAATTATACTACTCTTCCGTATCTTAATATAGGGTCTAATTCTTGAGTTAGTTTAGTCATAAATATAAGACATATTTCTCATATTTATCAATTTTCTCTAAATTACTTCTATGAGTATTTTCTCAACCATAATCAAGTAGAAGAGGGAGAGAATGTATTAAAAAAAATAATTATGGTGTTTTAGGAAAAATATTTCACTTTTCTTATAATTAACTAACTTACTTAATCTAATCAAATTAGTTAAATGGGTCTTAATACGACGGAAGGAGCATATAAAATACTATGAGATATTTGAATGTCAAAAATATTTTCAAGGAGACCTACTCTATATTTATATTAAAAAGAACTCCCTTGCCAGTTTTTATATTTAAGGTTAGAGAAGTACTATCTCCGCTCTTTAATATAAGATTCTGTTTGACTTTTATTTTAGTCCTAAATATAAAACCTCAATCTACTTTGTCTCTCATATTTATATTTTTTTTCAAAGTAACCCTTCTAACAATGATAATTCTAGTCAATACACTTGATTAGCGAGGATATTTTTAAAAAGACAACACCTATTTAGGATAAATAACTAACTTAACTTATTTCTTTAATATTCTCAAATTAGTCAACTGGCTCTTAGAATAAGGACCGGAAGTAGTATAAAATATAAAAAAGCTCAATAAAATTAAAATTAAGGGATGTGTCAAATCTCTAGACTACGTGTACAGTCACATCAAAGAGAGAGAGGTGCCCGCTAAACTTAAAAAAGTCGGTAGAGTCGGTTATGTTGTACAGTTGAACAATCCATTTTCAGTTGGATAAATGCTCTCCACCAGTGCTGTGCTTGTAGAGTGGAGAGTGTGGACCACACAAACCAGCTCTTTCTATTTTTCGATTCAATTTTTTTTCAAATAACCTTTTAGGATTTTTTTTAATTTATAAATATGAAAGGCTCCCTAAACGTTTCTCGATTGCATGTGGTTGACATGTTGGATGTTGGAGCTATCATCACTGGAAGTCCGAATTCAAAAGGTTATCTCCATGAGTGGACCCACTCATCAATGATTTTATTTCCTTTTTTTTTCCTTGAAATGAAGTTCTATGGATTTAATATGGTAATCTTGTCTAAGATAACTTTTTTTTTGGTTGCCCAAAATATTTTTTCACTCCCTGAAAGATAAGAGACTGATTTTTTAGAATACTGTCTAGCGTCGTAACGAAAACTCCTCTTAATAATATATTTTTTTTCTATATACCGTCTCAAAGATCAAACTAAGAAAATGATATTTAAAGTGTCTAGCTTCCTTCTATTAGAACACTTTCAAATAAAATCGGGACTTCGCAGTCAAATTGGGCTATGTTGTGGTCACGGTATTGGTACACGTGGAAAATTTGAGCAGAAGAAACGAAAAATAGTGGATATGATAAAATATTAAGAGGGACCTGCCTAGTGTTAATCCAAAAGATTTCATTCTCCGCAAAACACGCACAACATACAACATGACGAGAAAGGGTCCATAATCTAACCTTCTTGTGCATATATGTTGCCACGTGTTCTTGTTTCATCTCGTGAAAATGAAACTCAGAATTCACAATACTTCTCATTTTTTTAAATATAAAAGTATTTCACATAAATATCTTCAGTTTCAATATTACATCTCCATGCATCTTGAATTTAAAAACCATTTGGTGTTTTTTCTGAACACTTTATTTATTTATTTATTATTTTGCTTACTTCTATTTATGCCCTCACATTTTTTATTACACATCTGTCGGTAACTAATTATTAATTACATACTAGCAATAAATTATTAGATTGACACAAACAAAATGTTTTTGGGGCTAGAGTGTATTTATATATTTATAAACTAAATGTGGGCATTTTAAAAAAAAAAAAACATGATTTATAGTTAATTAATTGTTGACCATTTTTTTTGGGGGCCAAGTTGACATACTTCTTTATGAATATCAAATTTCTCAGTAATAAGTTAGTCAATGAAAGACCTTCTAAAGAGACAAACATTCGATAATTCAAAGAGTTATTTTGAATCACCGAAACAGAACAAGTTTGAGATTATGGCCTCGTTTGATAGAGTGATAGAAATTTTTTATAAACACATTTTATGCAAGCTGAGACAAAATTCTTCTTATATACTTATTTTGTATTCTGTAAATCATTATTAAAAGATAATTTATAAACCGATCCAAACGGGTCCTATAACAATTATATTAAAATGGCAAAAAACAAAAAGGTAAAAGAAGGGAGGGTAGAAGAGTGGGGCGGAACGAGGAGACAGGGGCAGCCGGGCAGGTAATGGGCGGTGGGGCCCAAGTTAAGTTTACGGTTGTGTCGGCAACGGCAGATGTTCCTTTCCAATAAACCCGTTTCTCTTTTTCTAACGTCCAAAAAAAATCCTGAGAAAAGAGAAAAAAAACTTTAAAAATTAAAATTTTTTCTTCTCTGTTTTTACTTTCTAATTTTTTATCCAAATTAAGAGTGAGAAACATATTTATGATAATTAATACTATTTCTAGTCCTAAATATAATAGCTAGTTGATTAATTTGAGTAGATTAAAAAAATGAATTAAGTTAATTATTTATAATAAATGAATATTGTTTTTTCTAAAATATCCTTACTAATCAAGTATCATAATTAGAACTATTATTATTAAAAGGACTACTTTAAAAAAAATACATAAATATGAAAGACAAAGTAAATCGACGTTTTATATTTAGATTCAAAATAAAAATTAAATAAAATTTTATATTAAAGAACGAAGGTAATATTACATTGCATTGGAAGCCTGTCATCAAACCAATGGAGTTCTCGTAAATTTTAGATAATGGAAATTAGTATTTTAGAATTAAAAAGCAATAAAAAGAGAAAATAAAAAGGGTGAGAGAAGAGCGGGGAGCCATGTGGCGAGGTGGGGCCCTGGGCATCTTTCGGCAGACTGACCACTCAACACGCAACCAAGTTAGATTTCAGGCCCCGGGGTTCCTCCTTTTCCATGGAAAGGCAACTCATCATTTCTGCGGTTGAAATCCTTCCTCATGATTTTTTGTTTCCTTTTCCAAGTTTAATTAAATCGCAGTTTAATCGATTATTACTGTTAAAAATCTCACGCTATAATATACAGAACAGATTATTAGTGAACCTGAAGCCGACAACAATGCCTCGAAACAAAACCACAACACTGATGCCAAGTGTCCAGTGATTTCATCGCATACAACATATTTATTCCATCGTCTTAATTTTATAAATGATACTAAAGACATAAATCAGTTAATAGTAGTATATTTTATTATAGTAGTATGACGCTTTTAATATATAAAATTAAATAATATATATTTAATTACTCATCCCCGTCTTTTCGGTCACAACGAAGACTATTCTTTTTGAATTAAAATAGCAAAATCCAATCCCATAAAAAGTTATGACAAGCCAAAAAAAAAAAAAAAAATCACAGCAGTTGCTGCCCATGCATTCTCATTGTGAAATTAGTTAAGAGTTGGTGAGATAAAACTTATTGTCGTTATTAGCACTTTAATACTCCCTCCGTTCCTTATTATAAGAGATATTTGATGCTTATGGCATGTTCCTATATATAAGAGACACTTACAAGTTGTCTCTACTTTTTTGTGTTGATTTACTGTTTTACCCATATTTATTATCTCCAACTCACACTCTCTCTCCCTCCCACTTCTCTTTCTTTTAATAATTTAATTGTTCTCTCTCATGCTTTTTCTCCTTATTAATGAGGGTATTTTTGGAAAAAAATTATACTTTTTACACATTAATTGTTCTTAACTAATTTTAACTGTTTTTTTGATCAACGTACTTCGGTTATTTGTCTCTTATAATAAGGAACGGAGGGAGTATAACACTAGATTTAGAAGATAAGAGTTCTCCCCCCCGGGGGGATCCAATGCTCAATTTAAAGTTATTTGATGGGAAGGGCAGCATAGATGCGCGCATAACTCCCAGTTTCTACGAAAGTTGGGTTCCATTTTGTTGCCCATTAAAATGTCAGCAGCAGCAGGAATTGGGCTTTGCTGATCCAAGTAAGAGTAGATAGAGGGGTTAGGACCTGTTTGGGTATCCCAAAACCGTGGTTTCAGAAGCACTTTTCCGCAAAACGAGATAATCTCCTCCACATATTTACTTCGTAATCCGTCAAAGCACTTCTGAAACCATGGTTTGGTTTCTATCCAAACACACCCTTAATAGAGAAATCTGATATCTGTTTGAAGGGAAAATAAAACGACCGCCTGTTGCGTTTCTTCTCCCTTTTTGGTGGGTTTTGGCAGTGGGAACGTTTTTGTCACAGACTTGTGGGAGAGGAGAGACTAGCCTCTCGAAAACCAGAGCACAGGTCTGTTTTCATTTTCCATGAGCTTTTTCCTGGTCATTGTTTAGGCAAAATTATATAACATGCTAACAAAATTGAGACCAGTTCTCAAGTTCAGAATTTGCACGTCTTATAAGATACAACAATGACGTCCCAAAAAATATTTGGAAAAACATAGCGCCCTGTATTCCGAAAGAATCAGCATTCAATCAAACAACCTCCTTTGGTAAAACAAAAAAAGAAAAAAAAAAAAAGAAAAAAGAAACAAGCTTCTTTAACACTGCTAGAAAAGATTGAATGAGTAACAAAATAATGAAATTGGAGGGGAGTGATTGCAGAGGAGAAAGACAACATAATCAAGTGACAGATGTCCTCATGCAGGATTTCTAAAACCGGTGTCTAAATATTGGGTAATACTAATAATATGGGTTAACAAGGGTTATTGTTTAACTTTGAGACCGGCCTCAATGCGTTCAATGAGCTGATCTGCAGTCAATGCTCCCTCCTGCAGAACATAAAATGTAAGGCTCTTTCTTAGTTTTCAATTCCTAAACAGAGTATGAAAAAGAGAGGAGACAGTTGTTTCAAAGGTATCTCAGTCGTCAGATTCAAAACAGTGTAGCATCACAGTGGTCGCTTCCAAAATAAAATGACATTAAGTGCAAGAAAAAAGCAGTAACCGTTGTTAGGATAGTGCTGAGGTCCTAAGGAATAGTCATAGTACATTTACACTACATGCCAACTTTTGAAGCACCGACTAGATTTCCAGCATCATAATTAGAAGAACACAACCATCCATCTTAACATGAAGGGGCACGCCAATATCAAGTTCGTAATCAAACTGAAAGCATTAGGTGGTTCAACCAGATAAAGACGCTTTATATATTGACTAGTTGCAGATACACAAGTTAACCACCATGCATGGAGGACAGTTATGATGACAAAGATAAATTCAACTTACAAAGCGATCAAGAGGTTTTCCATCCTTAAAGATGATGAAAGTAGGCAATGCCTCAATTCTGTATTTGTCAGCGATGCTAGGATACCTTTCAGTATCAATCTTCACTACCTGTATCTTATCTATAAGCCGAGTGCTTACTTCATCTAGTATGGGAACCATAAATTGACAAGGACCACACCTGCGAACCAGGGCAGGATAACTAATTTGAATCCGATGACATAATAAGTTATTGAACTCCTAACCGATATGCAGACCCAGAGAAGCATATAGATAAGGGAGGGTATGAAGTTACCAGGTTGCATAAAAGTCAACCAAGACAGGTTTCTCTGAATTAGCAAGCAAATCATCAAAAGAAGAAAAAGTTTGTTTCTTTGCTTTAACCTACAGAAACAAATTTTCAGTCAGTACATAATCAATATCACTATAATCATTGACATAAAATGTAAAAATTATAATCAGCCGCACTATTTATAAATTTTGAATATTGGGACCGATTCCTCAAACTCTATCCGATGCACAGGACCATATCTAGTTGGGAGTAAACGTTGAAACTACAACCACTTCATTGCAGATGCAAAAAAAACCCATACATAAGCTTGGCGAATAGAAGCATTTAAAACCTTATTTACAGGGACAAATCTTCGCTTCGTGAAGCCGAAAAGGTATCAACAGTGAAATATCACTAATTGAAACCGTGAAAAATAGAAGAAATGCTTTTGCTTGCTACTGACAATTTCAGTTGCCCGCTTATTCCATTAATCATTCGAAAACGGAATAATCAAAGAGTAACCACTTTCGCAACTCAGTACATTTAGAACGATATTATTTTGTAATTCGATTAAGAATTGAACAACTGAATTTGACCAACGAAGCTCAACTGCAACAAATAATCGCAAAAATCCAACACGCATTCCACTGAACCAACAAGGGAAAAAACGAAATTTACAGCTTTGCAAAACGGAAAATTTGTTACCAAAGGAAGGGTTCGAGGCCGGGAGGGAGTGGAGACCCCGAGGCCGCCAATTCGAAGAAGCTGGGTCTGCACTGGAAATTGCAGCGACGCAAGGGAAGATAGTTTTATCGAGTTAGAAGAATGTAATGAACGAGTGGAAAGTTCCAAGTTCAAAGAAGGAATCGCGGACGATGAAACCGAGACCGCCATGGAAGAGAACCGAAGAGCTCGGGGCTTGAAGATACCTTCAACTGCGTATGTGTGGACGGTCCCAAAATGAAAATATCCCTGGGAAAAGCGAATAAGTTGATTGCCCGCCGAAGCCGGCCAACCGAGACCGAGTACAATTTACTGATCACCCTGATGGGCCCAAGGAAAAAAATTACGCATTTCACAATACAGTTTCTTAAATCTGTTCTCTTTTTCTTTTCACTTTTTGTATTTATCTAATCTGATTATTCTGATTCAGATTTAAAATCTTAATTTTAATTTATTTTGTCCTATGTCACGAGCAACATCGTATTGTCTTTATCACAAACCTCACAATCCTAATAGCCATACCAGGCCCCATACATAAATTCGCATCAACGTATTTTTCTTCATATTTGCCTTTATCTTCAATTTTTTCAGTTATATGAAGAAAGTCTTGATGCTTTTTGTATGTTTATTTATGTAGGGTCTTGATTATCATTCAGGGGTATGGCAATTTGAAGGGTATGGTTTTGTGCCAAATGGAACATCTGGGGCTACAGTGGCACAGATCCATGGAGCAGCCAAGGGTGCTACAACGTTGATGCTGACAATAAAACATGGGAATCTGTTGTACTATAATAGAGTCTTGGTGGCTAGGAATCTCTATAAGTGGTTCAGACTCAACATAATCCATGACGTTGATGGGGGAACTGTGACTGTGTTCATTGATGGAGTGAATAAGCTTCAAGTGAGGGACAAGGGACCAGGTGACTTGTACTTCAAATGTGGGGCCTACGCTTCTTCTGCTAATCTCAGCTATTACATGGAATCAAGATGGAGAGACATCAATATATATACACAATGTGATCACTGATTCTATTTATAGTCCTGCAAACATAAGTTACTCCCAAGTACTTGTACCCGTATTTACTATGACTTTAAACTTCTCGATTGGTTACAGTTCTTTTTAACAATTTTGAATTGTGTTTAAGAACGTTGTTACTTCTTAATTTCATGTTAAGAGGACGGTGCACTTCCACTGTAAATCAAACTCTCATGTCTCACATGGGAACTAGAGTTCTCTGTTGTCTATCCCTCTAATCATGAGTCTTTTCAGCAGTTGCGGCTCCTTGGCCAAATTTATGGATTAATCTGCACAAAGCCAAAATTGGATTCATCAACCTGTATCAGTGCCTATATTCTTCGTTTGAAAGAGATGAGCGTAGAGATTGCGTAATTGACATAAAACACATTAACAATTAGTTGACCCACTTGACCACTGGATTGTTTCTATCCTAAGCATTGTACAGTTTATTCTAAATCTAATTCATTAAGCTATTTAGTTCTTACATTAAAAAAAGAAAAAGTTTTTTTTAACAATTTTTTAACTTTCAAGTAACCTTCACAGTTGAACCCAAAAAAGTTAGTATCTTGGGTTTATATGTATATAAGAGCATTACTCTTGTGCTTAAGAGCTCACACCTTCCACAAGCGACTTTGATTGAGCAAAGAGAAAATGAAGAGCACTTTGAGCTTTCTGCTTGTATCTGTATTCCTTTTGGTGTGTGTGGCAGTAAATGGTGGAGATCCTACTGATGGCTTCACCCCTGTCCCTCTAACAGATGCAAATTTTGTGATCCAAAAGCCATATAACATTCCGTTAGACCAAAGATATAGCTTCAAAGACGGAGTTCGTCGGTTATGGGTCTATGCTAATGACAAGCCTCACAGTCCTAGCAGCCATACTAGGCCCCGGACAGAAATTCGCATCGAAGTACTTTTTCATACTCTTAATTTACAAACACATCTTCTTGTTTATATTTGCCTTTATCTCTACTATTTTCATTGCTCATTAAAATTCAGGTAAGCTCATTGTTCTCTCCTTATAAATAACTCCCAAACAAGAAAGATGTTTCCATAAAAGCCTCCCTGCCTGATAATCTCATAGCAAAAACTACTCTTGAACATCATCAAATGGTATCGTTTGCATTCAATCATTCATATAGTCAGAAAAAAAGTGACACAAATGAATGTAACTACTTGGAGTAAGAATACATCGTGGTGCAGTGTTCTTTTTTTAGTTTTGAATAAGTTGCATAGGTTTTAGGTATGCACAAACACTTGACTGTTTTTGCATCTGTAGGGATATGACTACCACTCAGGGGTATGGCAATTTGAAGGGTATGGATTTGTGCCAAGTGGAACATCTGGGGCTACAATAGCACAGATCCGAGGAGCACCCAAGGGCAAGGGTGCGACCACATTAATGCTGAAAATAGACCGTGGAAGTCTGTGGTACTATAACGGAGTGCTGGTTGCTGAGAATCTCTATGATAAGTGGTTCAGACTCAACATGATCCATGATGTTGATGGTGGAACTGTGACTGTGTTCATTAATGGAGAGAAAAAGTTTCGTGGGAAGGATAGAGGACGAGCCAGTGACTTTTACTTCAAATGTGGGGTCTATGCTTCTTCTGGTGATCAAAGCTATCACATGGAATCAAGGTGGAAAGACATTAAGATATACAAAAAGTGATTACCTGATCACAGCAAACATGCATGGTTTCTATGTACTTGTACAATCTTGTTATTGACTTTATAGAGTTTTGCATTAGTTACTGTTTTCTCCACAGCTCACGACCGTGTTTTACTTGTACACTATCCTCTTGCGTTGCAATCATGTCATTCCTATTTAAACATGATTTAATATAGTGCTTTCTTCTAATTCAACAATCTACGAAATATGATGAGATGCTAAAAGATGGAAATGTATGTCATTTCTTACATTGCTGTGCATATATAAGTGATATTCCTCTGCCTGATTACTCCACACGAAGAAGTTGGGAGTGTGCGTGGAATTTTAAATTGAGCAATGATAATAAGTTAAAAAATCAGAACTGCCATCGCTCATGGTTCTTATTTTTGTTCATTTATATCCACCTTAATTGTCATTATCCTCTTAAACACACATTGTAAGCATCTTTAAGTAAATGGGAACAAGCAAAATTCATTTCAACCGACCAGGGTAGGCGGCTATTTAAATTGAAATCTATTAGTCAAATGCGGCTAAAAATCATCCTGTTACGTAAATGACATGACTTTAAAAGTTCAATAATATGGTCAGTTTCAAAAGTTACTCGACTTAATTAGGACACTAATTCTAACCATTAATGAGGAGGCATGCCAATAGGCCCTTGGCTTAAGGTTCCACCAAAATCATATATGATTCCTTTCAGTGGTTGCAGCTTCCATTCCCAAACCAATATGGACTAATCACGAAAGACAAAACTGACTCCAGCAACTACATAACCTAGAAAATGAATTGTTTAAGCCAGTATAATAAAATAACAAAATCTCCAAAATATGTCCAACACCACAATGATGGATATCCCAATCGCTATTCTTGTCCTCACACAATGTCTTGCCGTCACCTTAATGAGATTATTTTTTCGGTCTCTGAGTGGTTCTCCCAAATTCACAGTACACACATGACAAAACATTCATGTACCTCCAAACAACATACTAAATAGATTTGCATGGATCTAGCAATTATTTTTATCAACTTAAAGAAAAGACTTAACTAGTCGTTGTCTCATTGACTCGTTCTATCTTGAAAATAGGAACACCTTTACTAGAGTTCTGTTTATGTTATTTTTTAAAATTATTTTTTGCGTCACAATGTAGGGTATGCCGATTTCCGTCTCAACACATGGATTAGTGTAAATTCCATTTATTTTTAAGAGATTAAAATAGGAACTGAAGTACTGAACCTATATTATTGTCCATGTATATTTTTAAGAGAGAAGGGCATAGGGATTGCTATTGATATAAGACACATTAATGTTTTAGTCGACCCTAAACGATAGGCGGTTCATTCCAAGTCTAATAATGAATTAAGCTTTTTAGCTCTTTGCAAGAATGCTTTTTCAACAAATTTTCAAGTAACTTTAAAAAAGTCAAGTGTTTTGGGTTTGTGTGTGTGCGCGTGTATGGCCTCTGCTGCTTAAGAGCTCACACCATCCTTAAGAGAGACATCCAGGGAAAAGGTTGAGCAAAGAGAAAAATGATGACGATCACTTTGAGCATTCTGCTTGTGTCTGTACTAGACCTAATTTCCCACTGTTTTGACAACTACTATTTTTTTGGCCAAAAAGAGTAGACATTTTTTTTGAACGACTAGCTTGTCCCATACTCTTTCCTATCTTGAAAATAGGAACACTCCCAACATAGAGTTCTATTTGTTTTACTTCTAAAATAATTTTTCGTGCAACAATGTTAAGTTGATGTCCGTCTTCACACATGTATTTGTGCAAATCCATTTGTTTCTAGGAGATAAAAGTAGGTATTGGACCCGTATAAGTGTCTTTATTCCTTTATTGGAAGGAGGGGGGGAAGGGGGGGGAGGAGGAGAAGCGTAGGGATTGCGCCATTGACATGAAACACATTAATTAATATTTAAACCTCTTGACCATTGCATTGTTTCTACCCTAAACATCGTACAATTTGTTCTAAATCTAATATACTAAGCCATTAAGTTCTTTAAAAAAAATATTTGTTTTAACAAAATTTTAACTTTAAAGTAAACTTCACAGTTGAACCCAAAAAAGTTAGTGTCTTGGGTTTATATGTATATAAAGGCATTGGTCTTGTGCTTAAGAGATCACACCTTCCTAAAGAGAGATCAAAGAGTAAGATTGAGCAAAGAGAAAAATGAAGAGCACTTTAAGCTTTCTGCTTGTATCTCTATTCCTTTCGGTATGTGTGGCAGTAAATGGTGGAGATCCTACTGATGGCTTCACCCCTGTCCCTCTAACAGATAAAAATATTGTGATCCAAAAGCCATATAACATTCCATTAGACCAAAGGTATAGCTTCAAAGATGGAGTCCATCGCATGTGCGTCTATGCTAATGACAAGCCTCACAGTCCTAGCAGTCATACTCAGCCTCGCACAGAAATTCGCATCAAAGTACTTTTTCTTCATGCTCTTCATCTGCATATAAACACTGTTTTGTTTGTCTTCATATCTATGTTTTCTCCTTAGCTCATTAAATTCTGACATTTTTAGAAGGAGAGAGGAGAAAGGAAGAACAATGAAAGATTAGTAGTACCTCCCAGACAAGAAAATGTCTCACTGGAAACTTGCCGTCTCAATCAGCATGTATTTTGATATAAAGAAGCACTTGACAGTTATTCTATCTTTATTTGTCTAGGGGCTTGACTACCATTCTGGGGTTTGGCAATTTGAAGGGTATGGTTTTGTGCCAAATGGAACATCTGGGGCTACAGTAGCACAGATCCATGGTGCATCCCACGGTGCCACCACAGCAATACTGAGGATATACGATGGAAATATGAGGTTCTACAGTGGAGACTTAATAGCTAAGAATCTCTATGATAAGTGGTTCAGGCTTAACCTAATCCATGATGTGGATGGAGGGACTGTGACTGTGTTCATTGATGGAGAGAAGAAGTATCAAACGAATGATCAAGGGCCCGGTGACTTGTACTTCAAATGTGGGGTCTATGCTGCTCCTGCTCATATAAGCTATTACATGGAATCCAGATGGAGAGATATAAAAATATACAAAAAGTGATAATTTAATCATAATATGAAGTACATTAAACATGTATGAGTTTTAAACACTTGATTGTACCATCTATATTATAATTATAGACTTTTCTATTATCTGCAGTCCAAGTTTTATATTATTTTCCTTAGCCGATGATTATATTTTCATTTAAATAAAACATTAAAGAGAATTGTTTAGTGAACTAGTATTTAAGATAATAATTAAAAGGAACAAGGTGCCTTTAATTGAGAGTGTTTCATATCACAGGGAAAGAGTTTCAGGACAAAGTTTTCATCAACTGGGGCAGTTGTAACGGGAATTTTCGATAGAAGAACAATATCAGCTCAATGAAATATCCCATTTATAGATCCGTTTTGGCGCGTTGGGCCTCAAGTCAACAGGTTTTCAAATCGGCTTGCAAAAACAATAATAACCATAACCAACTGAATGATAAACCATCCTGCCAAAGAATATTTATACTTTGTATAGTTGTTACAAAGAGAGATCAGATGTGGTCTACGGACAATAGGCTGACTAAGTTAATCATAAAAGGACAAGCATGTCAGAAGAGTGTCTATTATTAGTTTGGTCTACTTATATTTTGCATTGTGAAATCTATCCAAGAATGTTTCAAGGTCCCCTTCAGAGGATGCGTACATCATATACGAGATACAAAGACCAGACCCCCGCCTTTCTATAACCCCAAGCTAAATGATTGAAGAGAGGAGACAAAACAGAGCAATTTCAGCTGCTTGAAATTTGCACGATATCATTAAATATCAATCAAATAGCCAATAGCTAATCCTAACAATCCAATCACTCGACATCAAGCATCTGTAAGTAATTGAGCTTTTTGAATGGTGAGATCCCTTAGCCTTGTCATACATACGACAGAGCTTCCTAAATGCGGTGATTATTGAGCTGATAGCTCACATAGCACCTGCTATGGTATGAAGATAAAAGTGATACTGCTCTTTTCCTAAATCCTACCCTCTAGGTTATGAACCTCTCGCGTTATTTTTGAGAAAAAGACTTAGTGGTCAAACCCTCCCAAAAGAGATTTGACTGCAATGAATGGAATACCCGCGAAGAATACTGAACTGATGTTCCCCAAAAAAAAAAAAAAATTCGAAGCCTTCTAATTGGTGAATGGATGGATTATGACAGTTAACGCACTAAATCTACGCACCACCACATGGTAGGCAGCACCATTTTCCAAGTTGAAGAAAAAACCACTGCAGAGGATTTGGATGGTCCTCCTCTACTGGAGATGGGCTTGGCAGCGGTAGCTCGGGAGGCAGATGGCGGTGAAATGCATCAACAGCAGCCGCAACACCATCTTCATTCTCTATCAGCTCTGCAATTTTCATTGCCTGAGATTTCACCTGAAGATTCAAACCACCATTGACAGTCACAACTCATAATCAGTGACTTTACTGTAAAAAAAGGTTTTTGAGAATATAGTTGAACTTCAGAAGCCACAGGAGAAAACTGCACCAAATGACGGAAGGCCATTAATAGTACAGATTCTGATGCAGACATTGATTCAGTTTATAATAAAAAGAAAACTTATGTATTGACCGTTGAAGAGAGGTTTCACAAATGTTCAAAGATTCACAGCAAAAAATGGATTTGAAAGTTTGTACATGACCTGACATGACTATTTTAAAAATGCCAGGTTAAGAGCTCCTTGAATCGTAGTATTTTCAGATGTACAAGAGAGGAAGATACACCAATAATAACAAAAAGCCTTATCCCACTAGGTGGATGAAGATGTGAAAAGGAAAATACAAAATGGCAGATGCAATAAAAAGGGTTACCTCTGGCTGCAGCATAAACGTTATTGCACTTGATAATTTATCAGCACTGAGCTCAGATATTGGAATCGGAGATGGTCCCAGACCTTTCTGATGTATTCTATCACCCCAGAAGAACTGATCCCCAAAGAATGGAACTATGGTTGTCGGACACTGCAAGTGATAACAATGACACAAGTGAAAAGATTTTTAATTTGATACACTGCCTAAATCGTCTCTTCATCATCAGTAATTAGAAATTGATATGACCTTAATGTCATATTTTCATTATTTTAGTTATATGAGCAAGCTAAGACATACGGTAAATCCTAGGATTACGAAAAATGGAAAAGACAATTCTGAGAGCACTTTTAAACATTACCCCGGCTTTTAACCCTGCAGCTGTGGTTCCAGCACCACCATGGTGCACCTGCAAGTTTGTGCCAAAAACATCTTCCAGTGATTATTAACAACTTAAATGTGGATCCTGGTGTCAGGAAATAATTAAAGCAAAAGTGTTAAACTAGGAACAAAAGGTAAAAACCTTTGGCGCATTAAAAAGCACTTTATTTCTTTCTTTCCCAAATAACCCACAAGAAAAGATAAATAGAAACTGACCACAGCAGAACATTGAGGAAATAACCAATCATGAGGACATTCCTCTAGAAGGAAAATGTTGTCAGGAACTTCGGTCACTGCATTGGAAAACATAAAGCAACTGAAACCACGTTAATTATATAAAATGCATGAAACAAAGTATATGCATTTGTCAGCCTGAATACAATTTGCCCTTTTAATTCATAAGACATGTCATGAAAAAGCATATTAAATCTTTAAGTCAAGTCAAAATGCAGAAAATTCAACTTATAGTTTTGACAGACTCAAGTTACAAGCTGACATGAGATAGGAAAACATATTTGATTGAATGGACATTGATCTTTTTCTCAATATTTAGTAAAATATTTAGTCTCCTGGTTACTTGTGGTTGGCTGCTTGTTTTAGGCTTTAATTTCTTTTACTTGTATAATCAGTGGGGAAAACGGTTTAGTTCAACTTGGTGGAGAATCTTTCCGCTTTGTCCTACCTCGGAGCCAAAACATGGACATGTGGCATTCATACATATCAACAAACATATGGAAATTATTATGCTTAGTAAATCCTATCTGAATCAGCAAATGGAGACAGATATCAGTTAATTGCAAAAAATTTCAGGCAGAAAATGAGCATCATTTTTTGGAGTTTTACCATAATTTTATTCCCATCTGAAATCAAAAAACACTCATGTTAGATTCATGAAATCATTCCATATTATCCTAAAGGCCTTCCTCAAAAGCCTACAGCACTGAATCCATAATGCACATTTGTAAAATCTCAAAAGGGCTAAAATTAACAAATCAAATAAGAGTAAATTAAGATACAAACGAACAACAAAATATCAGACAGAAATGAAAATGAATTAGGATATACAGACATACATACACACATACATGTGTGCGTGTGTGTGTGTAAGATCACCAGAAAGAGCTATTTAGCAAATAAGAGTCAAACAGATATAGATTCATCACGAAGTGAAATACTTACGACTCCCTAGATTTCCCCAGCCCCTGTCAATAATTCCCCGCTGTCCTGTATCCTTTAGTGCCTCCAATATAGCATCAGTCGTTCTTTTGGAATCTTCAAGAGGCTAGAACGTAAAACACACCGTTTTCATTGAAAGCAGCCATAGGCTACAATGTTTTGTTTCTATGCTTAGAACATATTATCAGAAGAAACTGCTACTCATGACAAGATATAACATTCCATTGATTCGATTAAAAACTAAATCCTACTCAGTACAGACAAATCTAGGTGGTCAACAAAATATTTGAAATGATTTTGACTATGGCTGCTCATAGTCACCATAAATAGTCATTTCTGCTATGTAAGATAAATCAACCAAGCCTCTACAACAGAAGGGAGAAAACCCAAGGAAAACTAAATATTAGTGGATAAACATTTAAGCTACCAGAGATATCTCTGTTTTAACCAGTTCGAATATTAGAAGATTTATTTCCATTAATACGTAGATAGTGTAATCTGTACCATAATCATAGGGATAGGATGTTATTTCTTAGGTATGAGTCATTAATGTCAAGGCTCCTCCCTCTTGCATAAATTCCAATCCTCAGAAAGAATATACACAACACTTAAATCATATTTTCCTAGATACCCATGCATAAACAATTCCAGAGGTCTCCGCTTACATATTCTAAAAATTCTAGTGTCTTGGGTGTTTAGATTAGCTGTGCAGAATTGATTTCGCATTGTTGGGGTAAATATATGAAAGGAGTTTTGTCTCGTAAAGTGATTAGGAAAGTGCTTTTAAGGGGTATCGCTTGTGTTCTGCATCCTTGTGCCGTTTTTCCCTATAATGAACCGAATACATATAGTTTCAGTATGTTATAAAACGGGAAAACCAAAATAAGTGGTTTACAGTCAGGACACAGAGATTGCAACTGCCATGGTCTTTATGCTTTTGTTGAATCTTTTTCTCTGTTTTTTGTGCTTTTATGTGCGTTTTTAATCGTCTATGACATTTTTCAGGGGAGCCATATCCATGCTAGAACAAATAGTGTGCTTGCTAGCTTACATCTATTAGATAGTCGAACCCCATTCTCAGACATCAAATGTAACAAGTCTTTAAAAAGAAGGATGCAAGTCACATACAATCAACAGAATGCCAAATCTCATCCTACTCGATGTAAGTAAAAGCTGAATTACCCAAGCAAGAGGTATATACCCAAGCCCATAAATGGCTATAATATCCTTATAGTATGTAACTTAATTTCATACTTAAGAGAGATCACCATACCATGCTCCCAAATCCGAAATATAAAGGTTTTGGTTCTTTCTGAATCCATTGGACAAATCTTCCCGAGGCTGATACTTTGATCCAAGGTTTAAGAAACAATAGCCAACAACGTCAACTAAAGGGCCCCAATCTGAAAGGTTTTAAAATCTTGTTAGCCCCTGAGAAAGATTAAGCAAAACATTCCACCAAGCATTTTAAGACGGCAATTATTTACAAACACTGATATTATGAGCATTCAAAAAGCTTCTCTTTTGAGTCACATTAATGTTGATTTGAGGAGAAATGTAGAATCTAGTTCAAACCAGAGCAAAGCCATAGCTGTTCCTTGATAAAACCTTATAAAAATTGGACAAGAGGACTACAGTGGCCTATGTAGCTATTTTTTTACATCTCTGTCCATACCACTTGGTTTTGGAACAACGTGAGGACTCCACATATAGCCAGTTGGCAAATGAGATATTGATCCACGGTACGTGCTGAAGTATGCAATAGGGGCCAGCTTCAGTTTCTTTTTCCTGAAGTCATTGATAATTCCTCTTATTCCCCACCATATTAGTAGGTCCACAAGGACATAGGATAGCTGGAATAAGCGTAAATATTTAAAAAGATCAAGGGATGGAAGTAATCCTGCACTTCATTCATAAATATGTTGCACTCAGACCAAAGAAAACTCCTTTAAAAAAAGACATACCCAATAAGCTGCACTTTGAGGAACGCGTGCCAAAGGGTGAGGGAACTCATTTGTTGGCCTGTCTATTACACGATATGTAAGAAACAGAATCATAATGGATTGAAAGAGAAAAATAAGGAAAACCGAGTAGCAGATGCATACATAAATAACACATGCATTATGAAGGAATAACAGTTCATGTTACATGGACCAATTTATGACGTAATTAAAAATTTTCTATTTTGGAATTCGGCGTAGTTGATTAGTTGTCTTTGTTTGGATAGTTTAATCTCATCCCATGATAGAATTAGAATTTTATCGTCCATTTTTAACACTTCTTGAGTAAAAGTTTGGTGTTGAATGAAGGTTGTGTAAGTTCTGTACGCAAAGCCCACAATTTATCTTGGAGATTCAATTTTTGTATCATATTTTTCAGAAATTTTCACTGGTCCTTGATTCTCAATCTATGTCAAACACTGCAATAATATTTATAGGTCTAGCCTGAAGTCTGAAAAACTAAATTCTAGGGATTTGATGAGTACATACATCGCACAATGGTACCAGCATCAAAGTAGTACTTGATTGTTAATATCAGGCAGGACCTAACTAAGAAGCCTTCCGTTGGTTGGGTTAAAGAAAAAGAGAGACGGGAGTTCAGATTTCAAGTGTCTCCCCATTCCCTATCTCCATCATCACCCTTAAGCCATTAATGCTGCTGACCAGGAGAAGAGTTATTTGATCTCACATCCCAATAACTAGTATGCTAATTATAATCCCTTCATGCTCACAATATGTAATTATTGGAAGTGTCAAACCTTTCCTCGTTAACAAATTTATTCTGTAGTCCTCGAAATCAGTATGCAGCTTATTTTACAACTAGAGAATGGGTAAGTGATTCCAAGGGAAAACAGTTGTTTTTATTTAAAATTATTACATGGTATCTACACTCTGAAAGGAACGAAGAATTAGATTGTAGTCTATATCTTCTTATGGAACCTCTACATTCCGTATAAAACGTGATGGAATGTCAAAATTTTCACTCAATGCTTAAACTCACGTCCAAGGCATTGTGAAAAATATGTGTAAAGGCACCCCAAGGGCTTCAGCAACATGCGCATGTCCTGCAATCCGCAGAAGAATATGTAATGTATCTAGCTATTTGAAAAAGCAGTGCACTAGACAAGATTATAGAAAACTGTCAAATTAGCAAATATAATTAAAGTGAAACAAAGAGAAGTACGGCTTAAGAAAAATACACGCATTTGAGAATAAATGCATTATCTCACACACACGATCACGCCACTTTCAAAGGATTCAATCTTTGTCAAGTAGTCAAGCAGCTTGTGCACTTTGAAATGGTTTGCTAAATATAGGGCTACAAGAAGAAATACCGTTACTACAGAATGGCCATGAATTAAAATTTTTTAGTTCAATACAGGTAAACATGCCAAAGCTAAAAGATAGAATCGCCAGACAGCACACTTGAAGAACACAAAATACAATCAGCACGTTACATTACAAGAAATATTTGCCACAAAACCTGAAAGATACATGAATCATAAACAAGGTATGAAATGAAGTAAACAAGAATTTAATTTTTGTAACTTGTAACCACTCACCATATACAGGAGGGTTGGCAATAATAGCCTGAGATCGAAAAGGAACACCTGTTTCCAAATCAGGAGCTGTGCAAGCTGGAAGAAGGGAATCAATAATGGCCTTCATCTGCTTTCTTTGAATAGATATTTCTGACGGATTAGAAGGAATTAAGCCCTTATTTCTGGCCATATCTACAAGTGGAAAAGCCCTTTTGTATATTGGTAAAGATACACAGTGAATAGGTAAAAGCAGATTGGGATTAGAGCAGAGGTACACCATTAACCACGTTCAATCATGTTTCAGAGAAGGGAAAGCGAACCAATATTACTTCTATTGCTTATGGAAAATCATTTAACATCATCTTGAAAGCTGCTTTTGTAGAAATCACTTTACAAAAAACGAACTTGAGTGTATCTGGGAACTGCAAATATATTATATCTTCATAGTGCCATAGTTACTGAAAATCAAATGGAATACATATCTCAAAGAAAAGGAGTCAAAAGTGGGTCTTATAGCCAAATCAATACAAAGTTCAAGTAAATTGCATCAAGAGGTATTAATTATTTATGAAAGTATAAATAAGGGACCTCTTACATCCTGCCAGAATTCGAGGATCACCTCCCAAAGGATAGAAATCTACACCGGCTGACTTAACAAATGTGTTAAAATTAGCATGAGTTGCCAACCTTACATGATGACCATAATCCTGAAAGTAGAAAATGAGATCACCTTTAACACTAAGGAAGAATAAATTCAACCAAGCAATCGTTGAGATGTAGAATCCATGAGTGATTGGAAAATCAAGCACTGGCATGCTCTTAAATAGATCAGCGGCACAACTTTCATGACAATGCTCATAGCAGTTGCTTCTCTACAACTGACATGTGGATGAAATAAATGAATCAGACACTTGGCATTTTGATGCCATGCTGTTGAGGCAGAAGCATTCAAGCCATTGACATTCTAAAGAATAGCGATGGAGATATGATATCTCATGGATAATTACAAAAACCACCTTGTCAAACATAGCACAAAGTTAGACATCTGCATTATTTGCTTCTTTTTTTGTGGGTTTTTTTTTTTTTTTTGGGGGGGGGGCGCTCCTAATCCACTTATAGAGGACAGCAACGAGGAAGGGCTTCATATATGCATACTTTCACAACAAGAAGCTTCTCAAAATTTGAGAGGGAAGAAGAAGATTGAATAATTCTGACTCTAACAATGAGAACGGATGATACCAGTTGATGTGACTTCCAAACACTTGCAGAGGGCAGATTCCTAGATCCTATTAAGGTCATCTATACCGCAGGACGTGCAAGTAACCACTAACCAAAATCACTATGATTTGATAATGCATTCCTTATTTGCAATCTAATTAATCAGACAAAAATATTTGAACATGCCTGAAGCCTCTTTGCAATGGCCAGAAAAGGTTGTACATCTCCTCTAGTTCCAACCACGAGTATGACAATTTGTAACCTTGGAACTGGTTGTTTGGATTCAGAAATAAAACTTCTGCTCGTCGCTGAATCTTCAAAAGATTTAAGCTCTAACAGTTCTGAAGCAACAGGTGAACTTCTTCCAAGATCAACTTCTACAGTCCCATCATTTTGTATCCTCACTAGTTCCACGATCAATTTTTGCTGAGAAGCAAAACAAGAAAATGTTGTGACCAACCTAATAATATCAATATTTGAAAGGGTAAACCATAAATTCAGACATAAAATCCTCGATATCAAAAGAAATAAATAAAAAGAAATGTGAGATAGTTTTCAACTTTCAACAACCCGACAAACAAGTGGAGCCGGAGGACTAAGATTTGATGGCCCTACCAAAAGGCAAGTAGATACATTACTGATGCGTCACTATGAGCGGGAAAAGGAAATGAGATGAATATGTTAAACGTTCAGCTTTCGTGACAAGTTTGAAATTCAACATCATGTGCATGTAATGACATCAGTAACAACCTTCTGACGCTCTGACAGCCTGTCCAACATCAGATCCTTCCTAGGAGACTCCCTCTTTTCAGTCACAGATCTATGAAACACAGTTTCAGGTTCAGCAAGAAGCTTGCTCCTCTCAGTTCTAGCAGGTGCCGTTATGCAGTGGTCCAAACCTTAAAATTATCAACGATCGTCCAATGTATTCAAAATGGCAACAAGAAACAAAACCGACAGCTTTCGCTCATGCACGATGGGGAGCAGACATCATATCCATTTATTTAGATTAAAATGAATGTAGTTGAGGTCCAAAAAGCATAATGGAAAATGAGAATGATGTAAAATTAATTTGGAAGCTTCTTCTTCTTCTTTGTGTTTTCTTCCCTGTGACTTACCTCGAGGTGAAGGACGAGCTTCCGATGACTTCTGACCCAAAGCGGCTTTCGAGCACTCTGTCTCCCTAAACAAAGATGAAGATGAAGCAAATGTTTCCCCGTTAGACCTTCTACCGCCAGTCACCGATTCATCATCATCCATGCGCCTGATATGTTGCTTCTTTTGTTGTGTGACAATACCTTCTCCTATTAATCCTTTGGGCAAATTTTCAGCCCATTACTGCCCATCCCCAGAATTTTCAGGTCTGAAAATTTTTTAAAACCCGACCAAATCCTGAGTATTCAACTAAAATACCGGCTCAACAACGTCAACTGTACCATATAATTAAGCATTCAAGCCCACCGAGCGAACCAGGTCGGAAGGACTCCAGCACTTCGGTTTCTTATACCATGTGAACATCTTAAACTCTGCTCACATGCTCAAGCTCGCATAAGCACGTGGCATGCTAGCCAAAGTCCAAAACCGAGCTTTGATAACTGGAGTCCTAAATAATGAGCATAATCGATTAATTAGCTCATCCAACAGTCATTCAAACACGAAGAAAGTTCGTTGAGCTAATAGTTTGGAACAGGCTTAATCAGATTACGGTCCAGTTTAAGAATGGAGCGGCACTTAAATATTAGTTTCAGGTTCAAATAAAACAGAGAAATCCCATAATCACAGAGGAGAGGAGTACATGAAATTGCACAGAGGATACACAAATAACATGAAATCACCTTATTCACCATCCACGCCAATCATACTGTGTTCTATATTCACATATGAAAGAAGAAGGAAATTAAGCAGAATATTTTTATGGGGAAAATTGAATTGAGTTTCGGGAAGTAGGTTGTTTTACAAGAAAGCTCCTCACCGGCTGAAGCTTATGACTTGACAAAAACTTCTCTTGACCAAAAAAGACAACTCAATATAATCTATAATACAAAACTTTATGGTATCAACTAAGGGGTCTCAAGAGTCAAGATTGTCATCTTTTAATTGAGTTCTAAGCAACGGAATATATTGATATTTTTTTCCGTTAATGAAAACAAGAGTGCTAGAATTATGGGACTAAAAAACACTTTATAAAATCAGCCAATCAACATAAAATTTTAAGTGAAGTTGATGGACTAAAGCAGTAATTTTGCCTTTCCATGTTTCGGCTCTTTTCTTCGAAGTGTCGAAGAATCCTAGAAACATTGCTATTTCACGGACGTTGGAATCTTGGCACGGGAAAATCCCGCAGAGCATTTCTGGAGGTGGGGGAAGAAAATTCAAGACACTGTCATGTTAGAGAACATGAAATCTTTATTTTATAAATTAAAATTTATTATTTACATGATTTTCACACACAATTACTTTAGAATTTATTGTCCAATGCGTATTAAAAAGTTAAATGATAGGAGCATTTTTAGAATCTGTTATTTTTGTAAATATCTTTAATATAACAACTAGTTAAGTAATTTGAGTAGATTAAGAAAATTAGTTGAATTAATTATTTATAATAAATATGTATTATCTTTTTCAAAATATCCTTGTTAATAATGTGTATTAGCTAAAGCTATCATTTGATAAAATATTTAACATATACCACTATTACAAAATTATCTTAAAAAATAAATAAATATGAGAGACAAAATAAATTAGATTTTATATTTAGAATCAAATTAAAAATTAAACTAATTTTTATATTAAATATGAGAAGAATCTATTCCTTGGAAGGTTGCTGGTTGGATCCGTTTGCAAGATCAGGCTAATAGTATATGCTCTTCTAAGGAAAAAGATAATGACTGCGGTGATTCCCCTCAAAGCAACAAAATGACCGTGGGGGAGGCAGCAAGATGATTTGGGAGTGGCCAATGATCTCTTTTTTTTTTCTTGTGAACATGGCCAATGATCATTTTGTTCACAGTGTAGATTGGCTTCCCTATTGGGTCATACTCGAAACATTTTTTTTTTTTTATAAGTCCAAAATTTTACTGCCTTTTACTGTGGGAGTCAGTGAGGTAAAGGACGTGAGGCCACGACTGACTGGCGCTTGTTCAAACTCTTTCTTTCTCAAAAGCCTAACAATTCTGACAATTTAACAGTCTCCTTCTCCCCACACACACTAACCCACCACGCACAGATTCCAATTCCTTTTTCTGTTTTGCCAACCCATCATTACATTACTCACAACTCAGTACTCACTCATCTCATCTCATCTCCCCCATTATTCTGTAAACCTAATTTCAAAGCTTCTTCCTCAGCCTCCCTCTTCATCCTTCCCTCCATCTCTTCCCAAACAAACGAAGGAGCTCCTTGCCAATATATACAAATATCAATGTCTGTCGTCACTCCCATTTTCTTCTTCTTTGTTCTTACTTGTATCTTCCACTCTTCTGATGCCTCCACAATTCTGGTGGATGGAGCTTCCCTGTGGGAGAATCCCCCTGGTGGTTATATGAGGGATTCCGTTGGTGAGTATAATGCAAATACATTCACAAACACTACTCTGCTTTCTCTGTTCTCTCATGTGTGTGTCTACATTTTCTTCTTACTCAGCACTGCCCCCGCAAGAATCGGCAATGTCGCCGGATATTTCTCCGACAGAAGCTCCGGCTCCTTTTTCCGGTGCGGATCCGTCGCCGTCGCGTACATTTCCGTGGCCATTCCAGGCGGAATCGCCGGAGCCTTCGACGGGTAAAGGAGGTACTGGCATGCCGTTGATTAACAGCAACCCTGCGGCTCCTCTGCCGAAGGGCGAAGTTGACTCCGCCACCATACGGCCAACGCCAACCTCCGCCGATCAACGAGCGGTTGGCCATCTTTCCTCTTTCTCTTCATCTTTATATTTTCGCACACCACCGAGTATATTTATGCGTTCCGAGTCATAAGAAGCGTCCTAAATTGTACTACCGTACAGTATAATCATGATGCAATAATTATCAATTTAGTATTTTATTTTATAATTACTTAAGATACTAGTTAATGAAAAATCAATGTGAATTTTTTTTTTAGAGCAAGAAAAATCAATGTCAATTACTTTGTAATTTATGGGTTTGAATATAATAATAAATTCGATAAATGAAAAAATATACTAGGATTATTCTAATATTTAGTTGATTTATTATTTATATAATGAGAAAGTAGTAAACCCAGCAGTTTTGTGAAGAATTTGATGGCTTAGTGATTGGAGTCTGTGTTGGTTGGTTGCAGGTGATGGTTGAAATCCTTCCCTTTCATGTTGCTCTCCACTCCATGGCTTTCTTCCTCCCCTTTCTGCTGTAATATCATTGTAATATCAGCACTTTTTCCAGTAATATATATTTTTTTCAATGTAAAAACGCTTCAACAATATACGTGTGAAAAGACTAATTCCTCTAGCACGTTTCAAGTTAAAAATCACAAACAATATCAATATATACATACAATTGATGAAACCAAATTATTCATATGTTTTTAAGTCATAAATAATGCATTTTATTTTATTTTATATATATATATATATATACATACAAAAGGTACAGGTTAATCAGGCCCAGGAGTCTAGTTGAGGCCCAAAAAAGAGGAGTTAATGGCAACACTAGGCCTCAGATGCAAGAATTCCTTAAATTGATTGGGCTTGTCCAAGCCCAATCCAGTGTGCCTAAAACCCTAATGTTAATTAATGGACATTCCGGTCGGGGATTATAGAAAAAGCGGTGATGGTAAGTTTGGTAATTAGCACTGATCAACATTAATTACTTCTCAATAACAGCAATCAATTATCAAGTTCAAAAATCAAATTCTCTGGGATGGCTCCAGTATTCACTTGCGTTCTAAATCAAAATAGGACGTAAAAGCAGGATCTCTAATTCAGATGGCTAATCACATTGGTTAATAAGTTCAAGGTATGGTAACATCTGCTTGATATCATTTAATTCATTAAATGATTTTTTTTTTTTGATGAAATGATTCATTAAATGATTTACTTGATAACGATTCACTATTCACTAATCACCCTAGACGCTGCGTCCAAACAAAGGCAAGAAGGTTTTTTTTTATTTTTTTATATTGGAACATTAGCCACCATAGTTGACTACAGTGTTTTATCAGGATTTTTCCCAGCATTTCTGAATTTTTTCTAAATGCATATGTATTTACACATCACCTGCACATATATCCTCAGCTAAACTCAAATGACAATTGGTACAGATTCTATTATAGGCGTAGATATTGATTTTATACCATTATATATGCACACACATTAGAAAAAATTAGTTCTCAAAAACCACCTTCCCTCTCCATCCCAAGAGAAGAAAAAATATAAAGAATTAAATCAAAGAATTTTTTTTTTTTGGGGATAAAAAAATGAGATTCGAGAAGCGCTGAAAATTACAATAACAAAGTGGATAATGAAAAGAGATAGGTCAGTAAGTAGTACTGTGGAAGCGTCTCGTCAAAACGTGAATCAGTATATATGGAGTTTAGGGCTTGAGATGCACGACATCATGCGTTGCTAGCAGCCCTGCGTAGCCCTCTCTCCCTCTCCCTCTCCTCCCCAATCCCTCTTTCCCTCTCCTCCCCGTCTTCTATCTCCCCCCGCAGGCACTCACTCTTCCTCAGGCAAGTTCTTTCTGCCTCTCGGTTTCACTTTGTCATTTCAAACGAATGTGCTGTGCGTCTGCTTTCTGCCGGATATCGCGATGTCTAGAGAAACTTTAGGGATGTGAAATTGGAAATTGGTGCTAACCCCTCACCATTCTTCATCCTACTTCGTCTAGATTCGGGATTTTAATGGATATTTCAGTTTCATATATTCACTTGGCCCTGTTAGATTCACTTCAAGATTCGATTTTTTACATTTATCTCTTAGGTGCAAGCCTCTCAATTTATCTCGTCGTTTAATGTTTAGTGCAATCTTTCTGGTTTTCAAAAGAAATTGAAACGGGAGTGAGTCTTTGCATTCAGTCTTAAATGACTTCACTCACTGGGATTCAGATCAGTGCATATTAGGGACCGTGAATTGGAAACCGAAAAGCTGATGAAAATTCTTCTCTTTGTACAGGTTGGTTTACAATGACAGAACCTTCGAAAGTCATTCACATTCGAAACGTGGGACATGAAATATCCGAAGTACATTCTCATTCTCTGATTTTAATAACTGGCATTAGTTTTCTTAGTATGATCAGTTTTTATATATATAATTTGTTTTGATTATGGACAATTTCTTTAGTTTCGTACATTGGCACAGAGAGAAGGGACTGGTGGAAGCATGGCTCTAAGTTTTCAATTTTTCCTTATTGTCATAATTTCTCTTTGCCGAAGAGGAGATGTGTGTGGGTTCGATTCCTGCAATCCCTCCTGTGCCCCCTATTCATGTATTTAATAGCACAAAGTATTATGGATGTTGTCCTTAGTTTTGTACAGTGGCGGAGAAAGAAAGGACTGGTGGGAGCATGGCTGCAAGCTTTTAATTGATCCCGCGCCCCCATTAATTTATTTAACAGTATAAAGTACTCCTCCGGTCCTAATTATAAGACCCAATTAACTTATTTGAGGAGATTAAGGAAGTAAGTTAAGTTGGTTATTTATAATAAATAAGTGTTGTCATTCCTAAAATATCCTTGCTAATTAAGTATATTGGCTAAAACTATCATTATTAGAAGGATTATCTTGGAAAAAAATGCATAAATATAAGAGACAAAATGGATTGGGGTCTTATAATTAGGACCAAATAAAAAGTCAAATGGGGTCTTATAACAAGGATCGGAGGAGTATTAAATAGAGTTGACTTTGATAGTATAGTGTATCCCTGTTCTTGAACAACAAGAAGCAGCTGCATCAAAGTCTTATCCCATTAGATGGGGTTGTCTACATGAATTGCACGGCATCCTTATGCTCTATGAACAACCAAATGTTTGGATGGATTGTTAATCAAAAGATCTCCTTCAAAAAAGAAAAAAATGTTGAACCCTCAAAGAAAAAATTGTAATTCATTTCTAATTAATTTCTAGTTAATTAAATCAAACCTCTTTTTTTGTCAAAAAAAAAGAAAAGTAGCAGAGATAGAATTTGAACCGGTGACCTCAAGGTTATGAGCCTTACAAGCCCTGCCCCGCCCTGCCCTGCGATAAAGAGAAGACTTTTAGAACTAACGAACAAACAAAGATTTAAAGTGTTTATACGTCTTTGGCCTCCCAAAATTTATGCTAACCTTTTGCTACATATGCTTTTTAATTTTGGCCCCTCTTGTAACCAAATCGTTGTTTTGCCCTTCACTCTGTTTTGAGGTGGCCAAAATAATGATTGTCAATGCCAATGGATGAACGCTAAAGCAAGATGAACAATTAAATTCCACTACATGTTCAGGTTCTAAAGTTCTTCAAGTATTTACAAATTTTACCTTGTTTGGTTGCAGAATGATTTGCTTCAGCTGTTTCAGCCTTTCGGAGTCATTACTAAGCTTGTCATGCTCCGGGCGAAAAATCAGGTTTTCTTTTTCGTGCATTCGGGGAAGATTTCCTGTCTGCCCAAAAGTCGAAGTTTGCTGCAAATTAATGTTTGTCCTGTGTAAATACTTGCCATCATTGCAGGCTTTACTCCAAATGCAAGATATTTCTTCAGCAGTTAGTGCTTTACAATATTATGAAAATGTTCAGCCTAGCATAAGGTAGAAGTTGACTGCTTATTTTGGCTTTAAACTGTATGGGCTGTTTATAATGATTTATAAGGAACTTGATTCTTGGTCTCCTTTTCAGAGATGAAAAAAACCACTATATATTATCATTGATATAAATGTTGACTTAATAGTTTAGTTCTCCTTTTCTTTTCTTTCCAGGGGGAGGAATGTTTATGTGCAGTTTTCCTCTCATCAAGAACTAACTACAATGGATCAAAATCAAGGACGAGGAGATGAGGTTGGTATCTTGGGTTTCTATACATGTGAATTGAGATGTTGGCCAAAAAAAAAAAGTGGAGTGAGCTCAATTGTGGTTGTTTTGATGTTTGCACAAAGCAGAAGTGAAGTGACCTTTTTGTAGCATTCGCCCTTGTTTTAATCTCTTCCTGACTCCCCTGGATACTTTATATTTTTTAATTTCCTTGGGTTTAGTTTGTTAAACCGTTATGCTCTTTCTCTTTTCCTCTTCAATCATGTACTTTTCTATTTATTCTCCTTTCTCTCTATCTCTCTTCTCTCTCTATGCTGTTCTGCTGTCGGGAACTCTCTGGATGCGCAGCCAAATCGAATACTCTTAGTTACAATTCATCACATGCTGTATCCTATAACAGTGGATGTGCTGCATCAAGTGTTTTCTCCCCATGGATTTGTGGAAAAGATTGTCACATTTCAGAAGTCAGCTGGTAGAATTTCTCAAATTTCTCCCTTTCTCTTTCTTTCTGTTCTTATTAAGTTCTTGGTTCTTGTCGGTTTCAAGCCTTCTTCCCACGGACTAAGTTTTATTTTTGTCATGAAATTATTTCTTTTAAAACATACACGTTTATCAATGGAAGCGAGAAAAGTAACAGGTTAAGTTTCTTTGACGTTAATGAAACTGTTTTTTTTTTTTAATCTTTAATGTCAAGGAAAGTGCTTCAAATATTTTAATAAATATGCCCCGTGATTTCATATGAAGCTTTTTATTGGCTATATGGAATGGTCGATAAAGATTATCCTTTCACTTGAGCGATGCATGTATTGTCAGTATGGATGTTGCTGACTGTTTCATCCTGCATTTGCCTACTCTGTAGGTTTTCAGGCTCTCATTCAGTATCAGTTGCGCCAGAGTGCTGTTATTGCTAGAAGTACACTTCAGGTTGTTTTAACACTCACTGAACATTTTTGTTGTTTTCTTTTTTTTTTTTTGGGGGGGGGGGTGTGGTTGGAATTAACTCTGACATCGTTCCTAAAATAATTGATTGTATTTTGAAATCTTCTAGGGACGCAATATTTATGATGGTTGCTGTCAGCTGGACATTCAGTTCTCAAAGTAGGTTTTACTTACTTTAACAATGTCATTGTCTGCTGGTTTGTGAGTTTAAAGATTTAATTGATGCTTCTGCACTAGTCCATTTTCACACCCGTCTCCATTTCCCTTCTTATCCATTTATTTTGGCATGGTGTGAACTTCTGATTCGTTTTTATTGCAGCCTTGACGATTTACAAGTGAACTACAATAATGACCGTTCAAGGTGATTCTGTCAATTCCTTTTTTATGATTTTGTTTGTATACTCTTTTATCATCTTACATTATTATTGCCGTTTATCAACCTTTCACAGGGACTTCACAAACCCAGGTCTTCCTACGGAGCAGAAAGGAAGATCTTCTCAGGCATGTTTTGTGGAAATTTCTTTATCTATTATGAATCAAATCTTCTCAATTCATTCTTATAATGTTTTAATTTTTTGCTGAATTCTCCGTACAACAGCCTGGATATGGTGATGCGGGAAGCATGTATGCTGTTCAAAGTTCTGGTGCCAGGGCAGGTGCTAATCTTTGAAATTCCATTGGTGGGTTTATTGTGTCGGTCAAACTGCACTATTTCTTATAGTTTACTAATGCGTATATTTTTTTTCCCAGTTGGCTTTTCACAGGTGGGTGTTATTCAGGCCAGGTTGAAGTATCAGTTGAGTTTAATCGTGAACAGACTTCTATGAAAAGTAGCACTAGCAATATACGATGGCTGATGTATCTTCTTTTGCTAATTTTTTTCTTATATTGTGGATGTACTTATTGCCTGGTATGTTTTACAAATCGTGGAAATTTGACTTTGTTGAAAATTGAAATTTTAAAAAGTCACCAAATATTTTTTTTTTAAAAAAAATTTTTATAAGCTGGTTTTGATTTGGGGAGGGAAGGGAGTTTGATGGACCCTCTGCCATTTTAACTGAACAATATTTTTTTTCCCATAGATGACCCTTTTGTATGGTTAAAATGGATAAACCTGATTTTGTTAGCACATCAAGCTTACTTATCACCTCAAGTTTTGATTGTTGTTATGCATGCGAGTTTTTTAACCAGAAGCCATGTGTGGGAGTGAACCCTGTTTTTTGTCAGTTACTTATATAATTTCTTTTTAAGCATAGATGGCAAATGCTGCAGCCATCGCAGCTGCCTTTGGCGGAGGTTTGCCTCCAGGGATAACTGGGACAAATGACAGGTGTACAGTTCTTGTCTCAAATCTTAATCCTGATGTGAGTACTTTTCTGAAGAATTTTGTTCTTGGTTGAAATATGTCCGTCTTTATTTGGCTAATATATTCTCTATTTCAGAGAATAGATGAGGATAAACTCTTCAACTTGTTCTCCATTTATGGGAATATTGTGAGGATTAAACTTCTCCGAAATAAGCCAGATCATGCACTTGTTCAGATGGGAGATGGTTTCCAAGCTGAATTGGCAGTGCACTTTTTGAAGGTTCGTATAATGTATAAATTTTAAACTAACATCTGTATTTTCATTTGGACTATGATTGGAGTATATTCATTTCAGTGATAATTTTTCTCTAACTATTATTCTTAATCATAATCATTGCATGTTTTTTTTATAATTTTTAATCTCAAAGATTACTATCCATATATTTTTAGGGAATTTATTATAAAGTTTCTCAGATTATTTTGCAGTTAACCAAAACTTGCAATTTTCTTTATTTAGACATTGTTTATGTTGAAATTCTGTATGAATGTGTTTCTTTCGGCTAAAGATGCTCTAGCTTTGAGTAGTTCACTGAACCTTTCAACCATGATATATAGGGAGCCATGCTCTTTGAGAAACGATTGGAGGTCAACTTTTCAAAACATCCAAACATAACCCAGGGTCCCGACACTCATGAGTACCTGAATTCTAATCTCAACCGTTTCAATCGCAATGCTGCCAAGAACTACCGTTACTGCTGCTCTCCCACAAAGATGATCCATTTGTCTACTCTCCCTCAAGATATCACTGAAGAGGAGATTGTGAGCCTTCTGGAGGAACATGGAACCATTGTAAACAGCAAAGTGTTTGAAATGAACGGGAAAAAGCAGGCCCTGGTTCAGTTCGAGACTGAGGAGCAGGCTACTGAAGCCCTTGTGTGCAAGCATGCCAGTTCACTTTCTGGCTCAATAATCCGGATTTCGTTTTCCCAGTTACAGAATATTTGAGACTTAGTAACAACTGGGGTAAGGGTTGTGAATCCTAGTAGGGATAAGAATTCTGAAATTTGGCTAGGGTAATTTTCATGCAGATGACAGTCTTCTTCTATGTTGTCTTGTAATTGTCCCTTTGCTTGCAACTTAAATTATAAGACCTGCTCTTGGGCTATTTTCTGTTCTTAATCATTTGTCTTCTCAACTCCATTGCCTCTACTAGTTTTCTTTAGGCTGCTAATATGGTAGGGTTGGGGTAGATTTGTTATTACAGATGTAGTGCCCTGAAGAAGAAAGGGGAAATCACTGCTGCCTTTAAAAAGAGGGATTGCTTTTTGGAGTTAACATTTTTGTTGTACATGTTTCATAAGTCAGGTCAGTCAGGCCAGTTTTGGTGTAATCTCAATCCATTATCTAAAGTCTCTAGCCCAATTGATTAAGGAGCTATATTTGTTTTTCGCGGATGACTGTGTCTGTTCTGCTGTCTGTCTCTCCTCTGCTTCAGCTTCTTCCATTTCTGTTGACTTCTCCCTCCCTCCCTCCCTCGCAGACATCTTGACACTTTCGCTATGCTTCCTTTGTCTTCCTCTATGGAAGACTGCTCTACCCTGCAAACGTTACAAATAAACTAGTAGTATCATTTTGACCCATAAAATTATGAAAATTTGTAATTAGATCTTCATGGTTTGAAGACTTTCAATTATTAGTATTCCTCCATTAATTATTAATTTTCATAATCACATCCGACAGTATTTTATATGAGCAATTCTTGTAACATTATTTTTGAACTGAAGACACTTTGTCAAAAAAAAAAAATTACTCCTTCCGTTTCTTATTATAAAAGTCATTTGATGCTTATAGCATGTTTCTATATATAAGAAATACTTAAAAGTTGTTTCTATTTTTTTGTATTGATTTTCTATTTTACCCCTATTTATTTTGTCTCCAACTCATACTCTTTCTCCCTTCCATTTTTTTTTCTTTTAATAATTTAATTGTTCTCTCTCCTTATTAATGGGGGCATTGTTGGAAAAAACTTACTTTTTACATATTAATTGTTCTCAACTAATTTTAACTGTTTTTTTATCAACGTGATTTGATTATTTATCTCTTATAATAAAGAACAAAAAGAGTAAATGAAATGGAATAGGTTGGTTATCGTGTTCTCGTGCCCAATTGAAAAGTTGTCAGTACTTTGTCCAAGGGCAAGTAAATTAACACCAAAAGGTTGTTTTATTCTAGGGAGAATTACAATTAAGTCTCATAAAAGAAAAATAATTACTAAAAAGTCTTAATAACAACCTTAACTACCTATAATGACAAGTTCTATAGTGAGAATGACAACTTCTGAGACTTGTTTTTTAATTGTTTTGCTTGCTTGAGACCTCATTGTAATTCTCCTGTTATTTTACCCCTCAGACATAGGACAATTTTGTGATTTTTTGCTAGAAAACACGTGGGCATTTATATTTTTCTAAAAAATTTATACATATAATTTGCTAGAAATTGATGATAAATTAATAAATTATACTTTTTTCAAAAAAATAAAGTATATATTTAGTCATTTAACTTTATAGAGAGTTTTAATTTAGTCTTTTAACTTTAAAAAATATACTTTTAATCCTTTTATCCCACGACTATCAACAAAAAATGACGATATTGAGATTTTAAATATCGATAAAACACGCCTAAATGTTAGCATATTAAGTTTATTTTTCAAAACAATCATGATTGTCACAAAAAATCATCATTTAATTCTACCAATTTTAGATTAAAGGACTAAATATATCTTTTTTAAAGTTAACAAACCAAATTAAAACCTTATATAAAATTAAAAAACTAAATGTATACTTTAGCCTTTTCAAAACCTTAGGATTTAATTTCAAAAATAAAAATAAAAATTTGTTTTTAATAAATTTTAAAAAAATGTTTTCATTAAGAATTGTATTTAGATTTTAAGAATATTAAAAATTGATGCTCGTAATTTCAGTAAAATAAGAAACGAAAAAAAAATTAGCTAGAGGTCTCATTTAAAAAGATTAAGGAGTCCCATATAAAAGTTTTATATTTACTTATTTTTTATTTGGCAACTAACGGTAATTTCCCGCAAAGTACTAACGATAATTGGCACCCAAAAAGACATTTGTCCAGTTCTCTTTCAAACCCGAGTTCTTCGTTCGATGGATTCATACGCTGTCCGACTATACTACCCATTCAAGCTCAAGAATTGCAGTTCTTTTTGGAATAAAACTCCTCAACTTCATTTTCTCTCTTCATCTTTTCCTTCAAAGAATTCTCGCACGCTCTTCCAGCTGGAAAACAGCAGAGGCAGTTCAGCCCACAAGAACACTGCTTTCGACGACGCTGCTTTTGAGGCCGAAAGGCTCCGCCTTGACGCCGAGGCTCGGGAAACCATGGCAGAGACTTCCAGGAGAGAGATGGACCGCCATAATGAAGACGACCCGAAAGCTTGGAAATGGGTAATCCGAAAGAGAATTTGGGATACAATGGAGGCCCAGAACTTCGCCCAAAACCCGCGACCTGTTCACCATCGGATTCCCAATTTCGTGGGTGCTTCAGTTGCTGCTTACAAGGTTAGCGCTCATTTCATGCATGCTGCATCTACTTTGAGTTTGTCTGAGAAGAAAATACGGTGAAGATTCTGGCTAGTTTCACACCATTTTTAATTTGTTTTTGAAAGATTGCAATTTGCCCCTGGCTTTAAACCATACGTTTCAATGACTTTAATATACACTTTTTCTGCTTGCAAAATTGATAAAAGTGCAAGAATATGATTTAAATTGAAATCCACTCAAATGCGACATATGGTGCCATGATTTGGGTGAATTGACTGGAGTCATGCACATTGAAAGTGTTAAAATAGCTCATGGTTGTCCAAATCAGCAGAATTTAACAACTTAGCAAAAATGGTTCGACACCAGGAACTAAAATACAAGCTTTCGAAGCCATAGGATTAAATTGCGAACTATTAATATGGACTAAATTTAAAGTTGAGCAAGATTATAAGAACCAAGAGCTAATTTAGTTCACAGTGAATTTGCCTTTTACGAGGGGAAGCGGGGATAGTTTGACGGGGTTGGGTAATGATTATTGGCTGATAGATGTTGTTAGAATTTAAGTGGAGTTGCTTGATGTGGATTTTGGCAGATGAGGGAGCTCGATGTGTTTCGTGATGCACAATGTGTGAAGGTTAACCCAGATTCTCCTCAAAAGCAAGTCAGATTTCTTACTCTCTCAGGTTAGCTACTTTATTTGTAATTTGTGTGTGAGTGTTGGGTGGTATGGCTTGCTTTCGAGGGTCTTCTTGTTTGATTGATGAACTGCTGACTTCACTGCTAAGATTTCTCCATTTGTCCTATGTCTCGTGTGTGTGTGTGTAAAATAACGAACCAATGATAGGAGGTCTGCAAACTTTGATAGAAGATTCTAATTTTTAATACGCTGGAAGGAAGAATAGTGGGGTGTTAGTATCTGCCCATAACTTTGTTTGTTTCCCACCTAATCTTAGGGCTATGAAATCTGGAGTCCTGAATGCTTTTCTGAATGACTTCCCATTGGCAAATTAAGTTCATTTTTGTGCTTAACGATGTGACTGCTCTCCCAGGATGAGCAGGTTCAAGTTAGCGGTCCATAATCTCGTGTTATGGAATGTCTAGTCTTCTAGATGTTTATGATTACATCACTACCGTTGAAATATCCATGGTGAAGTTGAAGTCTTTAATTCACTCTACTGTGGCTTATAGCAAACAATTGCCAGAGGATTTATTAGTGCTCTTGAATTAAATTTGGACTACAGTGTTGTTTGAAAGATTTATCATAAATAATAGTTTTAATATTGTGCATAGTATCAAGAGTTAAATGGGTAGTTTCTGGTAATGGTTGTGGCAGTGGCAGAGATCATAGTGGTGGTGGTTTAACGGTTTTACCTTTTTACCTTTCCTTTTCTTGGATGGATCTTGACAATGATTCGTGTTCTTTTTTAAATGTGATGAGAATATTTTAATTGTTTTATCATTTCCTGTGCAGATGGGAAGAAATTGTTAACTCCTCAGCCACGGCTGAGGACTGGATTTTTCTCTGTTCTTGAATCTAATATGTTGACCCCGGCTGCCATCAAAGAAGCCTGTACCTCTGTTGGGGTTGCCAAGCACGGGAAGCCAATTGGATTAGATGAAAAGTTAAAGGTAGATCTTATTGTCATTGGATCAGTCGCTGTTGACCCAAAAACCGGGGCTCGATTGGGAAAGGGAGAGGTAATGTTGCACATGCTTTGGTTTTCTTATAACTTATATCACCTGTACACTAGCCTTTGTGTAAGAAGGTAAAATTGTAATTGATTCCAGACTTCAGTGTTTGGACTTACCTACAAAATATGAACTCTTTTTGGCATCAGTCATCTGTGTGGACGCCTGTTCATTCCTCTAATTTGAAGAAAAACCAAAGTTGGTGCTGATCAGTTCTCAATGTATTATAGGTTATTCTATAGATGGTATTCTAAATGCTTTTTGAGGTGAAGCTACAAGATATGGGGTATAATTTATTTGGCTAATGAGTGACCTTTTAAATGCGATTATATTGGATCTTGAACATGTATTTCTCTTTAACTCAACTGAGAAGGGTGAAATGCAGGGGTTTGCAGAACTTGAGTATGGGATGCTGCGTTATATGGGAGCTATTGATGATTCAACACCCGTTGTGACTTCTGGTGAGTGTTAATCACTTTGCTTGTTGTATTCAAAAGGATTTTCTTCTGCTTAAACTTTTTTTAGACATAATTTCCGTGGCTAGATCAACCCATTTATAATTTTGCTTTTCTATTTTTCAAGTGAGCATATTATCATAAATTTAAGTTCTGTATTAAAAAAGCTGACACTACAGTTCTCTCTCTTTACATTTTTTTTTTATCTAATAACCCCAATACTCTAGCATTTTATTACTCCCTCCGTTCCTTATTATAAGAAACAAATAACCGAAGTACGTTGATTAAAAAAACAGTTAAAATTAGTTAAGAACAATTAATGTGTAAAAAGTATAATTTTTTTCAAAAATGCCCTCATTAATAAGGAAAGAGAGCATGAGAGAGAACAATTAAATTATTAAAAGAAAGAGAAGTGGGAGGGAGAGAGAGTGAGTTGGAGATAATAAATATGAGTAAAATAATAAATCAACACAAAAAAGTAGAGACAACTTGTAAGTGTCTCTTATATATAGAAACATGCCATAAGCATCAAATGTCTCTTATAATAAGGAACGGAGGGAGTACTAAATATGACCGGTGTGACAAGCTTAGGAAATGCATTGACTCTTTGATTAGTCTGTTTCATTGTCTTATTTTTCAAAAATACCACGGCTATGTTTTTGTATGATTAAACTTTATTTTTTTTTCCCTCATTAATTAAAGCCTATATTGTAATACAAGAAGTGCCATTGCAGTGCATGATTGCCAATTGGTGGATGATATTCCGGTTGAAAAGCTGTTAATCCATGATGTACCTGTGGATATCATATGCACTCCAACACAGGTTATTTTCACCAACACATCAATTCCGAAACCTCAAGGTTGGTGTGATTATGCACTTTTTGTTTTTTCATTAGTATCAAACTATGGGTTTTTTTTTAGTGACAATTCAATTGACGTGAGGAACGAGCCTTTTGCTTGTAGATCACCGAGATACCTTCTGAGGAAAGTGCAGCGCTGATACTTATGAACTGGCACGCCTGACTTTTTCCCTTATATCATTCAATTTTCCAACTCCGTATTCTGAATTACTTTTGGACTTGCATGGACCGTTAAGCCTATCTATGATGAAGTCCATGTTGTTATCTTCTTTTGCTTTTGGATGTGAAACACAAGGTTAAGATCATCTGGAAGAATACTGGAGAATGAAATCTTGAATGTACAATATCAATGAGAGAAGAATTTTATTTTGAACAGAGACACCAATTACATAAATCTCTTCTCTATTTTCAAAACATATATAAACTTACTCTAAATAAATTGCCAACCTTCCTTGAAAATGGAGAGCAAAGTCCTCGAGCTGTCTGTCCAAACACACGCACAAGCCTTCACTGACTTTTGCTCAAGAGAATTCTACCTAGTCGCCATCAGTTTTGAAAATAGTTAAATATCTATGTTATTTCAACAAAATTTAATGATGGCATGTATAATGTGTTGTAAGTTATTATTGTATTGCAATCTTTCATTTCCGTTTCTTTAATTTTATATTACAGCAAGTATGAACTATTTCCAACTGTGAACAGTGTAACCCCCCCCCCCTCCACTCTGATGTCAGTTTAGGGATATTGTTAAAAGACCAACTAAAAATATTTGGCTACAGGGATTTATTGGGACAAATTATCTCCTGAAAAGCTTGGACAAATTCGAATACTTAGAGAGCTCAAGAGGAGGATCGAGCGACAGACTAATCAGAAACTTCCTACTGGTCCCTCAGAGAAGTTGCCTCCCACGGCTCAACGAAGGCGGTAACACTGCATATGTGAGTTATTCTTATTGGTGGATTGATGTAAATATATGTTCAGTTAGTCAAATTTAAAATATCTCCTCTTGTATGTGAGCTATTGATGTTTGAGCTACAATATTTTGGAATTCTAATCCACAGGGAAAAAGAATTGCAAATCATACAAATGTTTGCAGTATACAATATTTAAGAGTCAAAATATTGTTTCATTGGAATTTATCTTTGTTCTTTTTGGTTAAATGTTTCGTTGGAATTTCTATTACATAGATCCGGCTCGACTAGCTTAATTCATCAACTTCTTTTTTGGCTAACTCTATTTCGACTAACTTTTGTGCATTACCATTGTAACTGATTAATTTGCGTCTTCTTTTTATAACAAACTGAATGGTCTTGGTTTCTTTAGTATCAATGACCGAGAAATCCTGGACCACAAAATTGTCACGTCTTTCCCTTTAGATAAAAACATGGCTTCCTTATTTTTCTGTCTTGAACATCAATTTTGGCGAACCATGTTAGGCGTAGAAGCCATGCGTGTATGTGTAAAAAAGGCGTATAAATGGGCATTGGCCAACCACACTCTGTCTCCGCATAAATCTGAATGCTGATTCAGGGTTTTCTATGTGCTTTGTGTGCAAGTTTAACTACATCTTTTCCATTTTGTTGTACATTGTGCCAACCCTGAGTCTGGCCTGCTTATGATGGGGAGAAGGAAGTGTGTATTTGCAAATTGGTCCCCCCATCATGTCTACTAATTCAAGAGAGAGCATGTATTAACATCAGCACTGTAGCTGTGTCAAATGAATAGATGATACCAAGTGGCATTATGCAAAGAACAAGCATTACAAATTCAAATTAAATTCTATATATTTATGTAGTCATTTATTCAAAAATAATAATAATGCAAATGTAACACTTGTATTATATCTCCACATCTATTAGTCCTCTGATGACTCATTTTTTAATATAAATTATACTACAAAATGGGTCTTATATTTAGAACCAGAAGAGTATCATTTATCATACTTCTATATTTTATTTAAACTTTAATATATATTTATCATCAAACATCAATATAGAAAATATGGTGAATCACACTATCCATAATTTTAGTATTATAATATTCGAATTAATTTTACTTTTTCTTCTAACATTTTAATGTCGGAACCAAAAACCATACCCCGAACACAAAATAAGCCAGCATAAAGAAACAGCAACAGTCAACAGAGCTAGTAAAAGGCCATATTAAACGACTGAACTATAAGAGTATTAGGGCACCTTTGTGTTCTAATCATTATTCGAGTCTGTTTGCGGGGGATGCTACTGGGCCTTGAAAACCTTGACCCACCAGAGCCAGGACAGCATAAAAACAATATCTATGAACAGAAAAATCAGGATCCAAATCTTCACATCTGCACAACAAGTAGATTGCAATCACAAAGTTTGAAATAATTGCCTTATCCAACAACATTTTATGGGCCTCCCCTTGGGCAGAGGGAGTCAAAGCAACAAGTTAAACTTTGGATGTGAATCATTCTTAAGGTAATGTGAGTGGTCATTTCTTTCTTCTTAATAACCTGAAACCGAAATTAGCTAACTGTTTATCATTGGTGAAAAATGGTAGTGAAATTTGAACCTTCCTTCTCCGCTGGTTGAATCATCAGATAATTGGCACAATTTGTGTGCAAAATATGTTACCTGTAACATAGGTCAAAAGAGATCAATATGCCCCTTTCGTGGGCATCTTTCTCTCCAACCATATTTAGCATGGAGTCGTGATATCAGAGTCTGATGACTGATGATTCATTTTTCTTCTTTTAGTTCTTTCAGTTTAGATTCTCACTATCACTGGGGCTCCCCTAACACGATCGTATCATATCTGGTCTTTCTTTTCACCTTGTGACTGATCGTAATGCTTGGAATGTGCCAGAGATAATTACTGTTTTCTTTGTGGAAAATGACTTTTGATATTTGTGTCTGAATAGTAATTATGACACTAGTTTTGTTGATGTGGATGCTTTTGACATGAGCTAGAGAAGAAGACTAGAACTGACTCAATTTTCGTTCTGAACTTCTTGGGGGAGGCGCATCTTAGATCTTTTACATTCTTACATATTAAAAAAAAAGAGTGATACAGAAAAATGTGACTATGTAAGGAACTCAAGTTTCATTTGTAATCCCATAATTTTTTGTTTTTCCAACCTGTTTCTCTGAATATGTTATATGCATTTGTTTTCTAAATGTAAATGATCCAGACTTGAATGCTAGGTGGGGAGATATGGCTTTTGTCTGGAAGTCAAATACTATGAGTCATACATTGAATTTTTAACTTGCTGGTTTTATTCTTTTCCCTCCACCTGAAAAGTTTTGTTGCTTTTTTCTGTGAAGAGATATCGAAGCAATAGTAGATTCGATAGGGACGTCTAATAGTTGGAGGTCAGCGTAACGATTTATTTTGTCAACTCAACGACAACTTGGTTTTTCTTTTAACATTATGTGATGTTGATGCTAGCATGAGAATCATGTGAAGATTTTCATACTGTAAGTTCAAGGAATCAATTGTTCTTCGAGCACTTTTCTGGTATAATCTTGTTTGACAGGGGAAATATCACAACCGAGACAAATACTTCGTTGTGGACTAATAACAGAAAAAAATTCTCATTACTTGAAAGGAGGATTAGATTAAAGAGGATCAGCCTATCGTACTTTTCAGTAAAAAAGTTATTGTATTATGATTAATACTGGCCGCTCTATAGCTTGATTAACCACCTGCTGTTCAGTGGGCCCTTTCCTGCAAAGTGTAGCACAAGTTGATCCTTTGAATCTGCTCATGACCGCAGCGTGCATATTCTGCATATTCCTTAATGGACTTTATTATTTGTAATATATTTTATGGCTTAATCGGCTGTGAGTGGACTTTATTTCTGAAACCGTGTATACCAGTTATAGTTAGTGCCGGAGGCTCATTTGTGGAAGACTTTGAGATGCTTTGCTTGTGTTACAAGTCATAAGGATTTTAAGTTCAAATAAGGTCATAGGTATCTTGTTTAGCTAAAGTTATCCTTGAATAGACAGGACTTAAAAAAGTTTTAGACATTTGCGATGCAAAATCAAAATATATGTGGTCAATTATGCAGACTCGATCCTCCAAAAGATAAGAAGATGAAATTGATGAATAGTTATGTTACTGTAAGCAAGTTAGAGGCAAGGTCCACTAAAAATTTCGGCCGACCTACTTCTATGTGCGTTTGTAATGAGTTTTACTCTATCTGATTAGTCCAGATCTACTTGGAAATGGTCCTTGCTTATGAATGAATTATTAGCGGGCGCAAATATGACTAGATATTAGAAGAGACGACATTTTAGATTGGAAATATGTATGCAAAGAAGATAAGACCTTTGAACAATGGTCTGATTAGTGAATGTATACTTCTGTAAGAATCTTATGCAGAAAGCTGTGAAGCAGAAGCTCTGTTAGAAAAGAATTGCCTCTGTTTTTGACGCCTATCAAACATTAAAATTTGATACGCAATGACACAATTTATTATGTGAAACTTAAAATTTTATACAGATACTTCAAATTTAATTTGCTTGAATTTTTATGTCCATATGTTATATGTTGTCACCATGGAAATAAAGAAGAGGTCAAAATAGACAAGATTTGGTTGCGCATGGCTCTGTGATTGACGTGCATCCTCTATGATGATGGTGAAGTCTTCAATTTAAGCTGTGCAGATCTTATGCTATCATTACAGATTGCTACTAGCTATCTTCTTTTTTGTTTTGTGTTTTTGTATGTGGATTTAAAAAATTTGCGGAATTCCCTCTTCCCTCTCTCCACTCCAAATAAATCGTTAGTGGAGCTTTCATGATGCAGGATGCAGACTGAAGTAGCCGCCCTTCTTTTTCACGTATCATAACCTTTTCCCTGTGTTTGTTTGTTCCTTCTTATTTAGGTAATAAAGAATCTCAAAGAGTGTGCTATTAGGTCGATTTGGTTGGTCCATTGATGGGGAATCTGTTTCTCTCCTTAACAAGGTAAGAGATACCTTTCTATGTATGTAATATTCGTATATTGATCTAGGAATACAAGTATTTTGGAGAATTTTGATGTACTTGTAATTTAACATATTTGAAATCAATACGTTGAATGCCTAGTTATACTTTATATTATCTTATTCTTAATCATGCTTATCGTTTGAACTGAAAACACAAAAATAATTCATCATATTACCTTCTTTTTTTCCCTCCTAATTTCATACTTTCCAGTGTTTTCCTTTTACTAAAAGCCACAGGATTTGGCAATAAATTCAAATAGAAAGTTAGTGCAGAATCTGCTTTCCTCTGAAGTATTCTTCATCTAGAAGCCCTTTTGATCTCTTTCTTGTTCACATTTCATTCCAAAATCATCTTCACCTTGATCTCCTTATTGATTTTTGCCTAGTTTTGAAAACAAGGAAAAAAAAATCTGATTATGAATAGTAACTATAAAGAATCTAATTTGTTTCCGTTCTGATTGTAGGATTACGAAAATTGCAAGGATTATCTCTGATCTTGATTAAGATGAGATTAATCCTCTGCTCTCAAGTTAATCTCTGGTCAAGATAGTATTTGCCAAGCCAGCTTCTAATTAGCATTAATTACGCCGCCGCCCTGTCTAATCTGGACTTAATCTTTAAGCCACTTAGTCTAAAAAATCGGCTGCTTGACACATTTCTTCATGGAAATTAAGTACAAAACCTACCTCGTACCCATGTGACAAGCATACTTGGTCCAAAGACTGCACCTGGACATATTCTTTTTTGTATTTAGAAACATGAAGAAATATTGCGAAAATAAATAAAGAGAGAGTTGCACAGAGTCCAACTAATTGTTTGGACAAAGTTGAATACAGGTTTTATATTTTATTCCACTAATTTAATTAATTCAATTAAACCACAATTTGATTTGAGGAATTAATATTTTATATTCCCCAAATCGCAAACTACTACTGCTTTTTTCTTGTCCGAGCCAAGCGTGCTTCCGGGATTATAAATATCTTTTTGTCTCCAATCTTTTTCTTTCTGTCTCCTCCTTCGTTTAATTTAAATTGAAACAAGCAAGGTTTGGTCTGCTTTTTTGTCTCATCAAGTAAAGAATTTGGCCCTGTTTTGTCTGTTCTATGCAACATCAGGAATTCTTTACCCTCTAATTTGTTTTTCGGAGCAAGTTTCAAGAACACATTTTTACAAATTAAACTTAATCCACATAGAACAGCCAGCCTTTAATTAAACATGAGAGATTAATTAGTACACGGAAGCTAACAAACTCAAAATATTCTGGAAATCGAAGGATGATAACGACATTGACGTATTGATTTGGAAAGAGGAGTTTCAATTCATGGAACCGTTCCCACTACTTTACACTTTTGAGAAGGAAGGAATCGGCTTTCTTCCAGGTAAAGATTTAAAGGGAAATCAGATTAGAATGAAATCAAAGTCTAGGTTTAGGGTTTGGAAAGTGTTGGCTGGTTCGATTGAACAGAGATTGATATTATTATTATTATTATATTATTAAATATTCAAGCGTGACCAGATCACAGTCCTTTGATAATTATAAATGTGTGCGTGGATAGAAGATACTTGCAAGTACCCTCCTATTTGCTTTGTTTTGTGCACGCTTGGCTCATTCCATAGCTTTCTTGCAGACCCTAATGATGCAAAACCCAGTCTTTACCTTTATTTAATTTCTCTCTAACTAATACCACCTAAAGATACAAAAATAGTTAATTTTAGATGGATAGAGAGAAAGTAACTTTAAAATTTAGGGACTGAGTTAAAGAAATCAAAAGATTATTTTTCTTTGCATGTCAAATTTTAATCATTAAATGACAGTTATTTTCTCTGGGTATTAATTATAAATAATTAACTTATATTTTAAAAAATTAATTAATACAAAAAGTCATGAGATCAAAATTGGCTCCTCCGCCTATTAAGGGACCCATTAATATCTCAAATGATGTTATCTTTATATAATCATTGATAGCATGTTAACTTTTGAGGTCAGAAACATTTTTGATTATATCCAAATGAGTTATGGGTACTTAAAAAAATTGTGAAATAATTTAATTAGAGTTAATACTATATCTAGTTCTTAAAATTTGGCTTTATTTTAGTTTTGGTTTCTAAAATTTGATCTCATTTGATCTATCAAAAGATTTTTTTCCCTAAATAATGTGTTTTTAAAATCGGATACATATATATGGATCACTTGCTTGAAATCTGATGTGTCATGGGATAACTACTCTTAAAGGGCAAAAAAATGATTGCCGTGAACAATGTGCTTGATTTTTATTTTTATATTTATTGTGCCGGATTTGGGTACTTTTATTTCCCAGCCGAATCCAAACAAAAATGGCATATCGCAGAACTTATCAGGATCGAAAACTGGATCATCCTTCACGCACTTAGGGACCCATTAGTCATTAATTAATTGTTTTATCTTGTCTTTTAGTAGTAGGATAGTAGGATCCTTCCTTGAAAATTTATCTTGTCTTTTAGTAGTATAATAATAATAATAATACTTGAAATACAATTACCCCACTCAACAACAATTGCCGCTCAACTCATGCCCCTGTAATCTAAATCCATCGTTTTTTTTTTCCCATACAGTATATAATATTTAATACTATTACCGATCAGATTTGTTAAACGTTTTCCGACACGTGTATAAATAAGAATGATAAAAAATTTTATAGAAATTTTTTTTAAAATCCTCTATTGAATTACTCTTCTAGTTTTATTTATAGGGCACTGCAAGAAATTTTTATGTGGATATACATTTTTACCTTTCATTTATTATTATATTGGCTTTATTTACATGAGATATAATATATATTAGATAGGGATAAAATTAAAAAGTTATTAAATTTTAAATGAAAGTTAATAAAGTTTAAGGTTTTTTTTTGTCTGTGTAAAACATATTAGAAGTGACTTATAAATAAGATTAAAAGAATACTTATTACCAAGTATCTAAAATTTATTTAAACATCCAAGTAAAACGTATTTTTAGCAGGTTCGAATTTTTTTGGTTATGTACAATAGATCATTAACTGGATAGAATAAAAGACATTTGCATGTAATTAAAGATATGTTACACGTAACTAAATAAAAGTCACGCCCGCTGAGCATGAGTTGTACTAGCTCAATTCAAGTCCTTTCAAGTAAATTTTTTTTATGAATGGGACTTTTCTGCAATTTTTTCAAAATTGCAATACATAAAATTAAAGAATAAAAATATCTGCCGGAAATATTTTTAAAATATTGCTGACATCAATAGCAAATGCATCACTAATTTCCATAACTTAATTAAATCATATTATTTCACATGCAATACATGTTTAAAATAATAACCTGATATAAAATTTTTTATTGGAGAATATTGATTTGAATAAAATTTTAAATTGAAAACTTTAAATTTTAAATCCAACAGTACGAAAAGTATATAGAGTATACACACACATGCATGTGTACTAAAAAATAATACTCGTGCTACTGGTATCATAAAGAGAGACACAGAACCTAATCCGGACTCAGTTTGCACATTATTTATAAATAGTTAATTATAGAAAATAATCTCAATGTTCAAAAATATATTAAAAAATGAATAGTCCTTTACCACGTGTACGCTACTTTAAGATTTTAATTTGCATGACTTGTCGGCATGCCCCAACAGCTTTAGTTTGAGAAATTGGGTTATAAATGATTGAAACGAAATCATGCATCACATTAAATTAATAATTTTTTAAGAACATGTAATAATTAATATGTTTTTATAAAATTCAAGAAGAGGTAACTAGTTTATCAAACCAGCATGTACGGGCTTCGAATTTTTGAGTACGAGGGGCGTTAAGGTCCTAGAGCTAGCTAAAAGTAATACGAGGATGCCAGTTTTTGACCTTGCAGAGGTCAATATATATATATACTCCTCTGATTCTTAATATAAAATCCATTTAATTAATTTGATTAGATTAAAAAAGTTAGGTAAATTAGTTAATTATAAGAAAAGTAAAAAAAATTTCTAAAACACCATAATCATTTTTCTTAATACCTTATCTCCCTCTTCTACTTGATATAGTTGAGAGAGTATCAACAGAGGTAATTTAAAAAAATTAATAAATATGAAAAATGAGTTTTATATTTAGGATCAAAACCAACTCAAGAATTAAATTTTGTATTTAGGACAGGAGGAGTATATATAAACTTGTTGAGGTGTAAATTTCAATTTCAATTTCAATTATTTGCGTTTGTTAATTTTCCTTGTCATGACTCACGAGTCACTCAGTGTTCATACTGCACGTTTGTTTAAAGTTAATAAAGTTTAATAACTTTGAATCGGGTTTTGGGTCCCGCACTGTACTATCATTAACTGAACACGAACATATTCTTTCATGTGTCTATCTCTTTAAGATCAAGATCCATGTTTTTGTTTATCCATCTCCGCCTTTTTATTTATTTTTTTAATCATTAATTTTAATTCACTGTTGTCCGACCACGTGTGCCTTTTGTGTTTTCCAATTATGTCATCCCAAGGTTCAATATTTCGTTTCATTATTACGAATGTATGATTATTAAAGCACGCGATAACACTAATATTGACTAATGAAAATTAATTAAGCAAATAATTGACTTGGTGCGGTCACATGGATCAGAAATGAGAGTAATTAAGTGAAGCTGAGAGGAAATTAAAGTTGATGTGAATGATCACATACTGAACTAACGGATCAAAGATTTCATCATCACAATCTTTCCCACTAATGAGGAGGGATTTAATTTCTTACCACTTAATTCAAAGGTACAATTAATGCATAGAATTGGTGGGTGTAACAACTACGTTGGTGTCACACTCACTCCCATTAATCACATACTCATTTTATATTCATTCCACAAGCGTGCTTCTTAATTTGTTCTCTTCTTTTTACGCTTGATCCACTCAGCTATGGAAAAGATTCCAATATATCCATGAAATTATAACACAATTTAATACTTACGTGTCCAATTAAACCCCCCCCCCACAAAAAAAAAAAAGAAAGAAAAAGCACGCGCCTTAAAAGTTTTAGATCTTCAGGGCAAATTACATACAAGGACCCAAATTTAATGAATTTGAAGATTTTAGAAAAGTAATTATTTCTACAAATTAA